AGCTGGACCAGCTCAAGCAAGAAAATACCCACCTTGAAACTCGTGCTTCGGATGCAGAGCGTAAAGTCAACATGCTTCTGGAGCAGGTTCAAACATCGGTTGGTCAATATCGTCGTCAATCCCAGCATGGTCAAGGTGCCAATGGAATCTCGCGCACACACAGCAACGCCTCTAGTAACACAGTCGGCGGAGGCACTGGGCGGGCACGAGCTGATAGCAATGTCTCTCAGGACTCTACATTCCCTGACAACCGTGGTTCCATGGCTCTGGACTCACTTGCCAATGAGTTGGACGCTTTGCGTAGTCACTGGGAAAGCACCAACCGCAATTACCGTCTAAGCAGCCAGCTGGATCTGGACCGGACCCCCACTAAGGATAATAGCGAGGGACCCGCACTGATGAGTGATAGCTTGGCAGAATGGAGGAGGAGACTGGACGATGACGACCGGGCTGGGTTTGATGTGCAAACTAAGCCATTGAACACTGGAGCTGCGCACTCCGAACACCCTAACGTGATCTAAAGATCTTGCCTTCCATTGTTGTTCTATGACCATGTGCCCTGAGATATGTCAATTTGCACCGTCTGAGCGTTTTTCACGTGTATTTTTCAATACTTGTTCTTTTTCCCCCGATGTGTTTTCTACTCTCGTTTCTATGTATGATGGGTGTTTCTACCCTGCGTTCAACTACACCGAACACGGTGTGTTTCTTTCTTTCTGATTCTCTTCCGCCACTGCGCTCATTCGTTTCCCCCCCCCTCTTCCGTTCTGATTTTGTGTTTATCCCCCGGCTGCCCTTTTTATACCCCGGTTTTCTGATGTTCATTGGACTCTGGCTGTACCACTAGCATATTCCACACGGATTCCTTGTTCATCCATAGCTAAAAAAATCGTTCTAGTTGCCCTATGGAGGCTCTTATTCATCAAGACTATCGTGACAAGGGTATCCTTTTCCGTAAATCCGATTTACTAGGGGCCCAGGCGGGTGGTAATGATGACCTGTCATCAGCCCGATTCGATAGGTACAAGCTTACTCCGCGATGCTATTCATGTAGAACTTGTCTTTATAAAATTGGGATTTCTATCACATAGTGACTAATTCCAAGCATATTACCCCACGTTTGCCCTAATTAGGAGACAAGTTTCCCATTGAGGAAAATCGCGCATACTATAAGATCTGGTATTATTGATTCAAGATCTATAAGTCAGGGTCTAAAAGCTGTGGATACCATGTCTCGCAAGGGGTAATATGATTGTATATGATTCAAATAGAATATAAATCATATACATGAATGAATATCCAAGATTGATAGCCTATTGACGATTACTACGTGTATGTATGGTTATTGCCTGTTCGCATAGCTTCAAAGATCACCGGTCAGCTGAGTGTATGCCAGAGTAATGAGATGTTTAAATAGAATATAATTTATATATATATATATATATATCATATGCATATACTCTATATATATCAATATATCAACATTGAATTCTATTGAATGTAAAGTTGTATAGATGCCCAATACCAATCTTACGATACCACGCCCAATGACATCTCTCCCGAGGGTCGGGCGTGACTGCCGTCCCCTGCATATTAAAACCAAAAGGAAAATTACCCTCTCACCGACTCGCCCCCCTCTCTTCTTCTTCTCTTTCTCATCTCTTTAAAGGATTCTAAGGCTTCTTTAAAGGCTTTTGCCCTTGAATCTCTTTAGTTACTTGTTTCTTCCCCGGATCTTCCCGGCTTTTCTTTTACCATATTTCACGGTCGGCTTACAAGTCTTTGATCCCGTTATCTGGTATGTCTAGAAGCTCTTTTTTACCTTTTTGACTTTCAGGTTTCCCTATTACATGTACATTTCCTTTACTTCATCATTTATGTCTATTGTCTTTCTATTTGAGAGCTGATCTGGCCCTTCCCAACCTGGAGAGTTGGAAGTTGCCTGAGGCTGGTCAACCCCTCTCATTTCCTGTTTCTTTCCCTCACCTCTTCCTCTTTGCCTCTTTTACACACCCCTTTATACCAACATCGATCTCAGCTTTGCATATCGTTTCTGCTTCAAGATTCGAACACTAATATTCTCAGTCTTCTAGCCTCTCAAGTTTTTCACAGCTAAGCGCTGTGTCCCCATCGGTTCAATATGACGACCATGGTCAGTGTTAGCCACCCCCCCGTTTCTTTTCTCTTTCTTCACTCGGAGGCATACCTCAAGTGACTCGAATATTACGCTTGGATTATACCATGGCGATCTGGTTGTCGACAAAACGTTCGAAGGACGCGTTTTACTGACATTGCTTGCAGGATTTGCGAGTCGGTAACAAGTACCGCATTGGCCGTAAGATCGGCAGTGGTAGTTTCGGTGACATCTATCTCGGTATGGATACAACAAATTTTGATTAACGCTGTACAGCAACTCATAGCTCCTAGGAACGAACATCATCTCTGGTGAGGAGATTGCCATCAAGCTCGAGAGTGTCAAGGCCAAGCACCCCCAGCTCGAATATGAAGCCCGTGTCTACAAGTCCCTCGCCGGTGGTGTCGGTATCCCCTTCGTCCGTTGGTTCGGTACCGAATGTGATTACAATGCTATGGTCATCGATCTGTTGGGTCCCAGTCTGGAGGACCTTTTCAACTTCTGTAACCGCAAGTTCTCGCTGAAGACCGTCCTTCTTCTCGCCGATCAGCTCATCTCCCGCATCGAATACATCCACGCCAAGTCCTTCATCCACCGTGATATCAAGCCCGACAACTTCCTAATGGGCATTGGTAAGCGTGGCAACCAGGTCAATGTAATTGATTTCGGTCTTGCAAAGAAATACCGTGACCCCAAGACCCACTTCCACATCCCTTACCGTGAGAACAAGAACCTCACTGGAACTGCCCGTTACGCCAGTATCAACACTCACCTTGGTGTCGAGCAGTCTCGACGTGATGACATGGAATCTCTGGGTTATGTCATGCTCTACTTCTGCCGTGGCTCTCTCCCCTGGCAGGGTCTGAAGGCTGCTACTAAGAAGCAGAAGTACGACCGCATTATGGAGAAGAAGATGACCACCCCCACCGAGGTCCTTTGCCGTGGTTTCCCTAACGAATTCGCCATTTACCTCAACTACACCCGTTCGCTGCGCTTCGACGACAAGCCCGATTACTCCTACCTGCGCAAGATTTTCCGCGACCTCTTCGTCCGCGAGTCCTTCCAGTACGACTACGTCTTCGACTGGACCGTTTACAAGTACCAGAAGAACGCCGCCATGATCGTGGACGCTTCCAAGAAGGATAAGGATGCTGAGGATCAGCAACGTCGCCAGGCTTTGCCTGCTGCTGGCACTATGGGAGCTAGTGCCGCCCCCAAGCCTGGTGCCGTCTCCAGCCAGCGCCGTAAGGTCGTCGAACGCGGCGCCCTCGACACTCCGGACACCAACCGTGCCGTGGGAGGTAGTGACAGGATGTGAGTACATGAAACCTGGTTCCGAGTAGGGAACCCCTTCTTTCTTAACTCCTACGTTGAGTGATTTGCTTTTCGTGACGCTGGCGTGGAGGACCCTTATGTTCTGAATCTGACTAATCGCATAGTCTTCGGCGTTAGGCTACGTTCTGCCTCGAAAGGTGCTGCTTTGGGTTATGGACCTTCCGGTGGCCGTTCGAAGCGGGATGAAGGAGCGGAAGCCCAATGGTATTAATTGTGTTTACGTGACGGTGAGGCTGTGCTTCGCATACGTCTCCTGTCTGTTCACATTCTTATCTACTAAGAAACCGGGAACTCGTTCATGTCGCCTTGGAGCGGACCATGTCGCACTCAGCCTTCTCGGATATTTCTTTGTTTTTCTTTCTTTCTTGGATCTCTTCACTCTGCACTCCCCGACAGCCCTCCTATCCCGTTTTCGATCAGATTTCGATCTCAGCCGTTTCGATTCGCCTCTGTTTATCGCCTGCTCGCCTTCAACCCCATGAAACACTTGTCGATTGGGTGGTCAATCTTGTGCTGAGGCTGCGAAAATTTTGTCGACTATTTTATGTGTTTCGGATACTTGTACCCGTTCTGCGGGACAACCGATTACACGTCTCGAAACGCTTCTGATATTGTGGCTTATTTTTACGTCTTCGCCCTTTGGTTTCTCTTTACAACCTGGCATCTGTGGTCAGAATGACCAGAGGGCAAGACTAAGGGAGATGCAAACGACGGCGTCAGACCGCAATCTTTTTTTTTTATCGGATTGTCTAATCGCTGGTACTGGAGATCCTTGAATGCATCCTCGGATGTGCTGCCCATCATTTCTTACCCCTTTTTTTTTACTCATGACGTTTATTCTCTGCCCTTGATCTTTCCCTGATATTCTTTGCGTTTTTGTTGCGTTTGCCTGGCGATTAATTTGTGAACTATCGACGCTCAATGGGGACGAGGTGTGGCCTTCAATCTGGCCAAGAAGAGACGGGAGGACAGCTTTCGAGGGTTTTGCAGGCTTTCTGGATTTCTGCTCAAGCTACATGGCAGAAATTACTGTTACAGAAGGTCTCTAATGCAATCCCGCTTGCAGGGGAAGCTTGTGTGGTTGGCGACGGATATTGGTTAGGGTCGCTTCCGGGGTGGTATGCGTCGATTTGTGTCAAGTTATTTCTCTTAGCTCTCTCTTTACATTGCAACTTTCAATTTGCTCCATTCACTGTAATGCTATACAACTGGGAGACCTGGCCTTAAGGCCATGTGAACATCCGTACTTCCCGGTCCCAAAAGAGTAGAAAAACGGTGAGATCATCAAAAGTCTAGTCATGCACCGAGCAATCCTGGAAGGTATTTTAGATATTCTATTTGATAGGTAACCGAAGTATGCATTGTTGAAAGTCGGAATATAGGAGGGTCATGACAACATGGAAATCTTGTAGCATCGTACACGGAACGCCCCCGTAAAACTTGACCAGGTAATAGATTTTCATCATTTTTCCACCTTCACCCCCTAACTTTCCGAGCCCTAAAGACCTTGGGAATTGTCTAAGATATCGTAATGGATTACCCTTTCTATGATCCCCGATCACAGCCCGGCTTCTCACTCTATGGGTTGCCTACCCCCGACCAACCTCATGCGCAACCAGATACATTCGCCCCTCTGGTAAGAGTTCTTTGTCCCCGTTCGAGACTGGCCACTAATAGACTAGAATAATTACCAGAATTTCCCTGAATTTAACCCCTCATTCCCTGTCGACCCATCCTTTGTTCCGCCACCTCATTCACCGCCAGAATCAGTCAAGCACTCTGCTTCCAGTCACCACACTCGCCCCACCTCATTCGATGGCGATGAAACTCAGTTCCCAGACCCAAATGTAGGGAGTAGCAGCGAGGAAAAGGAATCAGCGCCCGCGCAAAGCAAACGCAAGGCCCAAAATCGAGCAGCGTAGGTGATATCTTAAACCCACGTGGACACCCCGCAAACACTAACATCCATTCATTACACAGCCAACGAGCATTCAGAGAGCGCAAGGAACAGCATGTCCGCCAACTCGAAGACAAAGTAAATAGCCTCGAACAAGCATCCGACTCGTTACAAGCCGACAATGAGCGTCTGAAGCGCGAGCTAGCCCGCTACACAACCGAGAATGAAATCTTGCGCGCGACATCACAAGCCAATCGCCATGTCAGCTCAAACGAGAATCCCGAACCAACAGTCACAGGGCCGATGAAATACTCCCCGACAGACTTCTATGCCACCTTCATGCCGGAGGGCGGATCTGGCACGCCTCGGAGCCCGCACCACCGTCTCACCGTGTGTCCGATCACCGGTGAGAGACTGCTGGATGCGGGTGCGACGTGGGAACTTATTCAGAAACATGAGCTGTTTGAGCGCGGTGGGCTTGATATCGCTGATATCACGGAGCGGTTGAAGGGTATGTCGCAGTGTGATGGACAGGGTCCTGCTTTTAAAGAGGGTCAGGTGCGTCGGGCTATTGAGGACAGTGCGGCTGCTAGTCGTGATGAGTTGATCTGATTCAAATGTTCTGTGGTATCGTTTTTCGTACCGCTGATACGGTTATGATTTTGCTTTTTCAGCGTTGGGGTTAGGATCAATAGGATGAACTGCGATATTACATGATCCGCTGTTCATTGGGTATATATGTGATTTTGTTATGTTTAGGAGCGTCTGGGCTATTTATACTTGAATTTTGACTTCATTTACTGTCATTGTAATAAATGCCGTAGTTTGCAAATCGAGTTAGATTGAAGTATTGATATCCACTAGATAACTAGTCGTCACTATGGATCTCAGACTGACCATCTATATGTCAAGAAACTCTCTATATATGGATGTCTAGATAGCCAGCGACTCCAACTACAGGTATAAATGTAGTAAATATAGGCAATTCAATTCGAATCGAGACCAACAAGTGCGTTATGTCGTACAGCATCATTCTCTTTGATATCGACATGGAAAGGGGGTCATCATCTTTTGGATATTTTCATAATATACAAACAAGCCTGATCATAATATTTGCAGTGGTTTTCAATCAAGGAAATCAATCCCAGTCATCATCATAATCTTCAACGTTCAGGTCATCCGCTTTCTTGTAATCGTCCTCGTTATCACGCTTCTTCAGACGAACATCACTCTCCTTCAAAGCACCAATTTCTACGAGGAGACGCTCAATATCTATGGGTTTGATTAGTGTATCCTCCTTTAATTCCCGCCTTGAACGGAACTTACCTTCAATCTTGGTCCGGGGACCCTTCAACTGCTGGAGCGTAATAAGCTGCTTCTTGATCTCGGTATCCTTGTACGCCAAGATCGTAGGTGTGTTTTTCTCCGGATAACCCTCAATACACATATCGGCACGAATCTCACAGAACTTGATATCGCCGAATTTGGCAGCAAGCTCCCGCCAGAGCTCCGTTAACACGCGTGATTCAACGTTCCCGCCCATCGATGTGAGGTTGACTAGTACGAAAGCACTGTTTGATGCTTCTGTCACCTCGCGGGCATAATCAACTTTCTGAAGTGGGAAAACCTGGTTGAAGTGGCTGGTTTGTTGGAGGGTGGAGAGCTCAGCGAGTCGTTTTTGCCTGTAATCGGACTGTGAGCAAAGGGGACCGCTTTAGGGGTATAAATCATCATATATCACACGTACCGATAGCTCTGGAGAAACTCTTCGTCTTCTTCATCCTCCAGTGCGTCCAGCTCGTCAAGGTCCTTGTCCTCAAGTCGGTTCTCGTGCGCCCTGTGCTGTGCGGCGATGAGAGCCTCTTGGATCAGAGGTTCAGGGTCTTTGGGCTTTTCGGGAATAATGCCATGTTGGCGGAGGATATCGTTCCTATATAGTATTCAATAACTGGTTAGCACACTGCATTTAGAATGTTTATACCCCGGCGGGGGGTATGTGCACGTAATAGTCTTACCACTCGGTATCCTCGTTGGGGTTAACTTCAACCTGCATGGTGGATTGAAATGATCGAAGATATATAGATCAAGTTCAATTCAAGCGAAATATGGAGGTAATGAGGGGAGTTGGAGGGATAAATGCGCTGCCTTCAATCATGATGCCACCTGTTTGCAGTGTTTGGTTCGGGCCAAACAACACAGAAGGCCACCTTCAACTTGTCGCTGATAGCCAATATCTCTTGAGGTTCGAGATTCATTACCACCTCATTTACCTCAGTCATATTCTTGCATTTTTCTCCAATTTACCCTTAACCTCTCAATTTCTGGGTGGCTATGCGAATGCTGTAGTCGCCTACACCGCCCTACCCTGCTTCTGTGTACTCGACCCGTGTCCCAATTGCACCAACTCCACCTTTCTAATACGACAGCAACCACTCATTGCTGGTGCGATACCAGCTGCTGGGCAAGATGAGTTATATGAAGAAAAACGAAGATGAGGACCAGGTCATGATCAAGCTTGATCGGACCTCCGTCTTCCAAGATGGTGTGCAATCAACAATACCCCCTGGCGCCTCCATGCGCTGTACACATTCAATGCTGACCAGATATTTCTTCTAGCACGCCTATTCAATTCCTCTCCTATCTCGCCGCGGACATGCCGAACGTTACTTACCAAGATCGCTGTCCTCCTGTTCACCGGGGAGCAGTTCCCTACAAATGAAGCCACCACACTCTTCTTTGGGATCTCCAAGCTCTTCCAGAACAAAGACCCGTCGCTACGGCAAATGGTTTACCTGATCTTGAAGGAGCTGGCTGGTACCGCCGAAGATGTGATCATGTCGACAAGTATCATTATGAAGGACACTGCAATGGGAAGCGATGTTTTGTACCGGGCCAATGCCATCAGAGCGCTCTGCCGCATTATTGATGTAGGTCTTCGGTCGCGAGGACCCCAATGGTTGAGTGGATTTGCTTACAATTTCAAAAGGGTTCTACAGTACAGGGTATCGAGCGACTTATCAAGACCGCCATTGTTGACAAGACCCCGTCGGTGTCCTCCGCGGCCTTAGTCTCTTCCTACCACCTCCTCCCCATTGCGCGCGACGTTGTCCGGAGATGGCAGAGCGAAACACAGGAAGCAGCCTCGTCATCGAAATCATCAACCGGGTTCCTTGGTTTCTCTTCGAGCTCACAGAGCCACGCCATTTCTAACTCGAATTTCATGACACAGTACCATGCCATCGGTCTTTTGTACCAGATGCGCTCGCACGATCGGATGTCATTGGTCAAGATGGTACAGCAGTATGGTGCTGCAGGTGTGGTCAAGAGCCCGGCTGCTCTGGTTTTGTTGGTACGTCTGGCGGCCAAATTGGCTGAGGAGGACCAAGGTCTCCGGAAACCCATGATGCAGATGTTGGATGGCTGGCTCCGCCACAAGCATGAGATGGTCAACTTCGAGGCCGCCAAAGCTATTTGCGATATGCGCGATGTCACCGATGCCGAGGCAACACAGGCAGTTCACGTTCTTCAGCTCTTCTTGTCCTCCCCCCGGTCGATCACCAAGTTCGCAGCCATCCGTATCCTACACAGCTTCGCCACTTTCAAGCCCCATGTTGTCAATGTCTGCAACCCCGATATGGAGTCACTCATCTCCAACTCGAACCGCTCTATTGCCACATTCGCTATTACCACACTGCTTAAGACCGGCAATGAAGCTAGCGTGGACCGTCTGATGAAGCAAATCTCGGGCTTTATGGCCGATATTACCGACGAGTTCAAGGTCACAATTGTCGAGGCTATTCGCACTTTGTGTTTGAAGTTCCCCAGTAAGCAGGCCGGTATGCTCGTTTTCCTGAGTGGTATCTTGCGTGACGAGGGTGGATACGAGTTCAAGCGCACTGTTGTTGAGAGCATGTTCGATTTGATCAAGTTCGTCCCAGAAAGCAAGGAGGATGCGCTTGCCCACCTCTGCGAGTTCATTGAAGACTGCGAGTTCACCAAGCTTTCGGTCAGAATCCTCCACTTGCTTGGTACTGAGGGCCCCAAGACGAGCCACCCCACCAAGTACATCCGCTACATCTACAACCGCGTCGTATTGGAGAACGCTATCGTACGCGCCGCTGCTGTCACCGCATTGGCCAAGTTCGGTGTTGGCCAGAAGGACCCCGAAGTCAAGTCTAGCGTTCATGTTCTTCTCACTCGTTGTCTTGATGATACCGACGACGAGGTGCGAGACCGTGCCGCTCTTAACCTGCGTCTGATGAGCGAAGAGGATGAGTCTGCGAGCGCTTTCATTAAGAACGGTAAGACCCTGTCTATGACTAGTAAGAGTAAATTTACTAATGGTTATAGACTCAATGTATTCTCTTTCCACGTTTGAGCACCAGCTCGTCATGTACGTGACGTCTGGCGACAAGCAGACCTTCGCTGCTGCCTTCGATGTTGCCACCATTCCGGTTGTCTCACACGAGCAGGCCCTGGCTGAAGAGAGGACCAAGAAGCTTACCTCGGCCACTCCTACTCTCAAGGCCCCTTCGGCCGGTCCTCCGAAGGGCAAGGCAGCCAGCGGTATGGCCGAAGCGGCCAGCGCCTCTGCCACCCAGAAATACGCAGAGCAACTTATGCAGTACCCCGATATCAAGGCATACGGTGTTTTGCTCAAGTCCTCTTCACCTGTGGAGCTTTCTGAGAGCGAAACCGAGTATGTTGTTACGGCCGTCAAGCACATTTTCAAGAAACACATCGTGGTGCAATATGATATTAAGAACACACTTCCGGATACCCTTCTCGAGAATGTTACCGTGGTTGCCACACCAGAGGAAGAGGATGTATTGGAGGACGACTTCATCATTCCTGCCCCCAAGCTGCCCACAAACGAGCCTGGTGTTGTCTACGTTGCTTTCAAGAAGCTCACCGGCGAGAACAGCGTCCCCGTCACCTCCTTCACAAACATCCTCAAGTTCACCAGCAAAGAAATCGACCCTGCAAGCGGCGAGCCAGAGGACACTGGCTACGACGACGAGTACCAGGTCGAGGATCTCGAGCTGACAGGCAGCGACTATATCATCCCGACATTCGCCGGCAGCTTCGACCACGTCTGGGAACAGACCGGTGCCAACGGCGAGGAGGAAAGCGAAACCCTGCAGCTCAGCAACATGAAGGGTATCAACGGTACGTACAAGTCCTATCTATGCTACAAATAATCATACTAACTCCTTCCAGATGCCACGGAACAACTGATCTCAGCACTATCCCTGCAGCCCCTCGAGGGCACCGACGTCGCCCTCAACAGCAGCACACACACGCTCAAGCTGTTCGGCAAGACTGTCTCCGGTGGTCGTGTCGCGTCTCTCATCAAGATGGCTTACTCCAGCAAGGCTGGTGTCACTACTAAGATCATCGTCCGGGCAGAAGAGGAGGGCGTTGCTGCGGCTGTTATTGCTTCTGTGTCTTAATCTCTGTTTCTTCTTTTTTGTTATGTGCTTTAATCCTGGTTGGGGGGACAAGAGCGTGTTCTTTTTTCATGTGTCTTGGTTCGTTAGATTGCGTCGTCCACCCCTCAAAACTTGTCAATGCAACTTTTCATCTAAATATCATATCATATTTATGCATGGTGTTCCTGGTGTTTCGCAGTATAGCGCCTACTAGTGTATAGATCTCAAACTTGCAAGTTTGATTCTTAAAGCTGCCTGGTCGTCTTAAGAGCGAAGAAGAAGCTACCGATGCACATTAACCACAAGAGGATACTACTGCTAATACTAATGACAAGAATTTATGATTTATGTATTTGAAAAGAAAAGAAAAGTATTTTGATTTTATATGCTTGTAATGTTATGAGATTGTGCAACAGTGCAAAATCAAGGACGGAGACGCTGGGGGTCACGGGGGAACAGCGAAGCCAAACGGACGTTAGGCAAGCCAAGGAAGAACATAACGATACGGTTGAGGCCGAGACCACCACCAGCGTGAGGGGGACAACCCTGGCGGAAAGCATTGAGGTAATCCTCGAAGCCTTCCTGGTTAGGCTCGAGACCCTTAGCGCGCATGGACTCCTCCAACTCCTTGATATCATTGATACGCTGAGCACCGGACATGATCTCCTCGCCACGCATGAAGAAATCGTACGAGTTAGAGAAGCGCTTGTCGGTGGGATCGGCCTTGGTGTAGAAGGGACGGACGGCCATGGGGAACTTGTCGAGGACGTAGAAGTCAGTGTCGTACTTCTCGCGGATGATCTGGCCGAGCTGCTTCTCCATTGCGGTGGAGAAGTCGTTCTCGAAGCGCTCTTGCTCGGAGACGTCGACGCCGGCTTCCTTCAGAAGGGCGACTCCGTCCATGTAGTTCAGGCGGAGAGCCTTGCCGTCCTTGGGGAGCTTGAAGTCGCCGGCCTTGGGGTAGGACTTCTGGATGGTGGCGATCTGAGTTGCGTAGCGCTCCTTGAGCTGGGTGAGGATGAAGACGAGGAGGTCTTCGGCGAATTCCAGAACCTCGTGGTAGTGGCTGCGGAAGGTCTTCTCGAAATCGAGACCGGAGAACTATAGGTTGTGTTAGAATAATCTTTTGTTTTTCCTGCTTGATAGATATCAGTAGGTCATACCTCAGTCAAGTGGCGGTGGGTGTTGCTGTCCTCCGCACGGAACACGGGGGCGATCTCGAAAACATTCTCCATATCACCGGCGATACACATCTGCTTGTAGAGCTGGGGGCTCTGGGCCAAGTAGGCGCTGCGCTTGAAGTACTTCACCTCGAAGACACCGCTGCCACCTTCCGTGGCGGCACCGACCAGCTTAGGTGTGGAGATCCATCGAGAGCCACTCTTAATCATGTACTCAGCGAAGAGCTGGGAAACACCGCTGGAAATCCAGGTGATAGCCTGGCTGGTCTCGGTCTGCAGATCGAGGACACGGTTGTCGAGACGGGTCTTGAGGGTGACGATGGGAGTACCCTCGGCATCAACCTGGGCACCTTCATCGGTGGTCTCGGGGGGAGGGCGTTCAGCATCCTTGACTTGCATGGGGAGCATCTGCGCAGCCTCGGAGATCATGTAGACCTTGCTAATGTGGATTTCGAGGTGGCTAATGGACGCGGACGAGATCGGGATCTCGGGCTTCTTGACAGTACCGGTGACCTGCACGATTGAGTTGACGTTCAAGCCGCCAGTGTACTTGATCATCTGTCGTGAGATGGGCTCAGCAGCCGCAATGACGGCCTGCACCTTTTGTCCCTGCTGGCGCAGCATCAAGAATGCAAGCTTGGCACTCTGCACACGCGCATTGTCCACACGCGCCACAACTGTCACTTCCTTCTCGTAGTGTTCCTCGGAGAGTTCGGGGAATCGTGTAGCTGGGACAACGTCCGCGTTCTCTGGGAGGGGACCGTATAGATCCTTGGCCGTGTCGTTGGCCTCCTGGGCGGCGGCCTGGGCCTTTTCTTGCGCCGCACGCGCAGCAGCCTTCTCTGCCTTGATCTTGTCCTTTGCAGCCTTCTTCAGAGCGTTCTTGCTAGCGCTCTTGGTCTCACCTTCCGCGGCGGGAGCGGAGGCATCCTGGGCCTCGGGCTTGGGACGGTGGGGCAATTCGGAGTCGGCCATAGTGCTGCGAGCACAATTAGAGGGGGCAGATTGGCGATTGGAAGCAGTGGATCCTACCTCAATAATTTTCTATCCTGAGAAATTTGCAGGACTTAATGCAGCAGGCTGATTGTGAGTAGAGCTGCAGAGAAAAGTGTTCCGTTGACTCACCCCGCCATGCCCTAAGAGGGGTAGGCGGTGTGGGGACTTGACCTAGATCTAATCTACAGTTGTATACATGCGTACAAGTCAGTTATATGTACATTTATTGTTCAAATAATTGAATGTATGGATTATGTGAGTTTGGCGCTGGTAGCTATTTAGAACAAACACACATAAACATACAACCGGCGTCATGTGTATTCCGATCTATCAATATAGAGTGTCTAGCATCCCTTGACAATCATGCAGCAGGCCAGCTCGAGCTCTTCATTGCCCATTGGACACCGTTGTGCACATTATCAGCAATTGTCTGAGGAACCCAAGCAGGCTCTCCGCCACCGTATACACCAGTGCGGACAAGGATCGAGTGCCAGCTACTGCCGATTTCACTGCGATAGGAGTTTGCTCCTCGAATATCCGACTCTGGATTATCACCAACCATGTAAACTCTTTCCAGAGGTGTGAGATCTGCAGAGCTTCCAAATGTTCTCCGTCGGTTCCGAAGCAATTGACGCTCCGCAAACTCGTAGGTGAATTGATAAGGTTTGCCGATCACGGTCTTCTTCAACTCAATACCCTTGCTGGGTCCACCTGTAGTCGCGGCCCAAACGCCCTCAAGCGCTTCTCGGAATCCGCCCTGGCCAAGACGGGGCAAGGGGTAGGCGGCGGCCCACCACAAATCTGGGTTAGAGAAGTACAGATGGGGTTGGCCATCCTGCTGGTATCCATGGTTGGGAAGACCGATTTGGCCGTTCTTTTCAGACAAAGTGCCCATACGGCCTTGCGACGAGAGGAGGAGGTCTATAATAACCTGAGTGTCTAATGCCCAGTCACGCGGATCATTGAACACAAAGATGGCGTCGATCTTCAAACTCTTCGACGGATCTTTGAAATCAATGGGGCTCGGAAGCGGTCGGGCAAATGTTTTATAATAGTCGCTGAAGTTATTCGAAAACGGCCAGACTGCAGGGTTTTCCATGAGAATATCCGCCGGGGTGACAACATTCTTAAAACCGTACCTTTTACCAATGCTTAGCATGTACCATTTAGCAGCAGGAAAGGGTCCTTGACATACTGTTCTGCCACGCGCCGACAGTTATCCCCATCGCCTCCGGCCACTAACACACACTTGTGTTCCAGAGCGCTCGCCTCGTCTGATCCCTTGACCAGTTCAGCAAAGGGCGAGTGACTCTGTACGATGTCCGTAGCATCCAAAGGAACTCCTAGTTTCTCGCTAATCTCTGAGACACGCTCTGTCTCGTGTTTACCGCCGCCGTTGGTGAGCAAAATAAAGGGGATGCCTTGCTCCTTCAAGAGAGCTAGCGAGTCGGCGGCACCGGGTATAGGTTTCGATGCACGGAGAAGAACGCCATCAATGCTGTATTATGTGAGAATCAAATCAAGTGGATTAGGCGCGTTGGTCCAGACTCACTCAAATGCAAATGCGAAGTTGGGGACGGGTCGAGAACTAGCTGTTTGGATAGCTCGGTGAGTGATAGTTTTCCGATAAAGCGATTGGCGCTGCAATAGGCCAAATGACCGCCAAAGGGTTTGCGATCTCATGGTGGAATGTGTACAAAGGGAAATGTACGTCATTGCCAGGTTCCCGTGTCGGCCAGATGTTCCGTCCGAATTTCCCCACTCTCTTTATCTCTTCGTCTTTCGTCTCTACAACTTTCAAACTTCTACACTTCCCTTTGATTTGGAGCTGGGGGGAAAAAGGGTATGGTTTTGAGTCATTGCCGAGGATAATCAAATGAACCACAACTTAACTAAAATTTTCACTATTGGTGTTATCCTCTTAAAACATGTATCTTCCTCATAACAGACTCATGTAAAGTGATGTGTATGCAAGAGCATAAGAATGCATAGGCGCTTAGCAGAATGGCTCCCTATCCATGACACCGACGCCCACGTCAGAAAGAGCATAGAATTCCTCCTCAGAGCACTTGTCAATGTTCTTCCACACCCACTTGTCAATTTCGTCATGCCATTTTTCGGGTATTATGTCAAGACAGCCAGGGCTGATACCAATATAGCACACTCGAGAAAGATCCGTTTTCAAGGCCTTGCAAAGGTCATTGGGATGAAAAACCAGCGCAGAAGAAAAATCCTCGTCATGTGGTGATAGGAGTTCCAGCTCACGAATTGACATAGGAGAACTTGGGAACTCAGATGAAGGAAGAATGAGTAAGGTGTAAAGCATATCAACGGGTATCCGGAGAGAGTTCAAAGCAGTGAGTGTCGATAAGATGTCAGACGATACCTCCATAAACATCCCGCGATTGTAGCTGTGAATGGTCAACTGCTCAAGCGTGGTGCGGAGCTGCTCGTTGATAAGAATCCCTTCCAAGCCGAAAGTGTCTAGATCCTCGCAACCACAAAGTGTCAATCCTACCAGATTGGGGGGCCACCTGAAAGAAGACATTTTCTCGATGTCAAATTTCCCGCCAATCTTGAGGTATTCCAGATTGGGTGGCCAATCATCAGTCGAACCATCATCCGTGATACACGTTGATCGTGGAAGCTCAATCGATTTCAGTTTGTCAAGACCGCTGATGGCTTTCTTGAGAGTAGAAAATGGGATTGGATCAGCCACCGTGCTAAGACACAGATAGGAAAGCTCCTTGCACTTGGCTAAAGGCGCAAGGCTATTGACGCTAGAGGAAGGAATTGGTTTAGGACTAGATAAGATATCTTTGTTGTCAATAAATATGGACTCACGCAAAAGATACCCTTGGAGCAACAAATATCTCCAGATTTTTCTTCACTCGACCTAGAAGCCGTGCGGTCAAGCTATTGGAGCTGTGATGTACCAAAGGGCCGAGGTTCAGGGCGTGAACGAGCGAGCCCAAGTCCACTTTTCGTTGCCGGGAGCGAATTGGCGGGCACACAGTGTTGGTGAATAGTGTAAAGCTATTCCCTCGGTGAAGTAGAGGTCGGTAGTAGAGATATTCGATGCCAGCAGAGTACCACTGGCGCGAAACAGAGCAGAGCCTTCGCAATCTGTCTTGGGAACTGGGTATCTCCAACTTGGACCAGTCATCAAGAATGAATTTGGCGATATGCATTATGACCTCTGTGGGGAGGTGAACATATCGGTGAGAGGTCATGGGTTGGGAGGAATCAACAATCGGCCCTGACATCTCGCAAATCAAATAAGCACGAAGTTTTCAGATAAACATCGTAAAGCACTATTGTGTGCAAAATATTATGAGGGGTTGTTTGGTGACAAATCAGGGATTAATAGCCCTGGAGGGACGAAGAAGCAACAGAGAGACCGAACCGCTTCCGAGACAGGCAAAGACACAGGTCATCTCATGTGAAGCGGGATTGTTAGGCAAATTTTCCTTCACTTGGTTAAGAAGGGAAACAGAAATGGCTATCAATTGAGACTAGTAAAAAAAAAAAGGGTTTAAGGAAAGTAAGTGGAGAGAGTAAGTGACGAAAAGGACATGAGGGGAGTCAATTGGAGATGTATAAGATGATGATCCTTATCTTTTTTTTTGCCAGCAGATGCAGGTCCCCGCCTCCGATAAACAATTATTTTTACACCGCCTTGGGTTTGCTTGTGTATCCCAATGCTATATGTAGGATTATGAGAGTAGAATAGTTAGATATGGTAATAAATTATGTAAATTATTTAATAATTGCTTATTCAATGCGTCTCTTGTCACATGCAAAAAAATAGTTAGTCAAGTCCATATTGTTGCAAGCAACATTGAGCTGTCTACAGATGGCCCAAGCTTCTCCAGCTTCGATCCTACACCCCCCCAAGTACCATCTTCACCTCACTATGCCCGGCAAGAGAAACGCCACCATGTCGTCCCGCTCCTCGAAGCGTCGTCGGATATCTTATGATGAGGAGGATGATGGAGCGTCTTCGACAGCGTCATATGAGCGTCCCCGTCAGCATCCCCTCTATGGCCAGAAGAGCGCATTTCCGGGGTTGGATGATGGAGGCGATGAATTGCTGTATGACGAGCCCGATGATGGATTGGAATATCTACGTATGGTTCGGTATGTTTGACCTTCGGTCTAAATATCTTTTCCTTTGCCTCTTAAACGATGGCGAGACTTTCCCAGTCTGTGTATCTCGTGATTCAAATTTGAACTAATTTTCGCTCGATAGATCCGAAGCAAACTCACTACCTGTGCTATTTTCTGCGCCTATTCAGTCCACAGACCCATCAGTCTCAGCATCCAACGCGCAACGCGATCTAAGGTTACTTGACCCAACTAACCCTCCTCTGCCAGCAGGCTTTTATGAAGACGAAGCCTATATTGCTCCCGTGGACGATCTAAATGAAAACAAGACCTCACTTTCCCCTTCAAAGCTCGACAAACTCTACTCTGATGCACAAAGATCCTACAACAATCTTCTCCGACATCGATTCATCCTCTTGAGATCGACTCTGCGATGCACTCCACCTGCTGGTGCTATCGACGCCCTCGACGATGATCACCCTATCAGTCTCCCCAGAAAGGCTACTTCTGCGCATAAAACATGGCGCCGGCTTTTGGTCACAGTTGAACCACGCATGGTTCAACTGGCCAGCATGGACATGGAAAGCGTGTTAGAAGTCTTGGAAATACTAGCGCGGATGTTGTCTGATGTTGTGCGGGGTGACAACACCCAGCTAGTACGGCGCATTGGAGCCTGGGCTTGGGGCTTGTTGGGGAAGTGCCGTGAGGTTGGGCAACTTTCTACCCGAGAGGTGGGAATCATTCGAAACCTGGGCAAACGAGCTGCGACGATTTTGGGCAAGGTGCAAGAGCTAGAATACGACGAGTATGAGGAAGAGGTCGATTCTTCTGTGTCAACACAACAAAAAGAAGAAACACAACGGGGTAATCTCGCCGATGATGAGAAAGATACCAAAGAAGCTCAGCAGGGATCTGGAGTCCAGGATAAAAAAGCGACCAGGCAGGAAACTCAGCCGGAACTTACAGCCCAAGGCGAGGAAGAGCACCAGGAAGGGTCTCAGTCGGAGCTTACAGTTCCGAATGAGGATGAAAACAAACAAGACGAATTGCGGGAGACCGCGGAAGCAAAAGACTCTAGTATGCTTGATGCGTCGCTAGAAGAATCTGACTTGCAGGCAGCCAAGACACGCTTGCTAGTTGGGCTTCAAACTAATCCGGACTCCGTCGAGACACCTGCTGGATGTGATAACGAAGAAGATGATTCGTCGATACAGACCCATGCCTTGCTCGACATGATCATTACGGTGGTCGGTGAATTCTTTGGCCAGCTAGATCTGTTGGAGCAACGAGAGGTCTGGGATTAAATGGATTTAATTCAAATTTTGCGAATACCCAATGTTACTTAATGTTAATACCATGTTACAACGTGCCGATGTGTGTGTTCGCCGTATAGTCACTTAGTGATCATCCCGAGGTCGGGTACTTAATTGGTCTAAGCTTCCAAGGTTCCCAAGGTTTTGCGTCATCAACCTCAGCTCCTTATCTCATTTGTTTTCGCCGACTTTTGAGGGAAATGATAGTTTCCCAATTTGAATCGAAATGGCGCCGAATGTTGAAATAGCTATCCCGAATACTACCCTCTCAAACACCTCCCCACCACACACCGTCTACCACATCACCCTCCGCCTCCCGCTCCGTTCCTTCACGGTGCCTAAACGCTACTCGGACTTCTCAACCTTCCACAGCACCCTTATCTCCCAAACGAATGCTCCTCCGCCAGCTCCCTTACCTTCAAAAACATGGTTTTCAAAAACTGTCTCGAACGAACGATTGCGTGAAGACCGCCGTCGCGGCCTAGAGGAGTACCTCCGCGCGATCAATGAGTCTGAAGATGGGCGCTGGCGTACCTCGCCCGCGTGGCGTGCATTCCTCAACCTCCCCACCGCAGTCGCATCAACTGGCAACGGATCAACAAAAACATCCACACGACTCCACGCCGCCATCACAGACCCAGCTGCTACAAACGCACCTATCACAGACCCAACGCTATGGCTCGACTACTACCGGGACATGAAGAATCATCTCCATGATGCACGACTACAACTATCTCGCAGAGATCAGGAGACAACGCCACAGAAGCAACACGAGAGCTCTGCACAAGCGAAGGGCAGTCTTGTCCGTGCGGGGACAATGATCACCACGCTAGACGAAGGACTGAAGAATATAGGACGCGGAGATACGAGCTCCGCATCGTCCAGTCTTGGGGGAGGCGAGATCCGCCGACGAAAAGACCTGCTCATTAATGCGCGCAAGGAAAAGGACGGCCTGGAGGATCTCTTGCATGCTATGGCAACTAAAAGCCGGCTTGACCATACTGTCGCATCTATCCAAGATAAAGAAGCTTTGATGAATGGTGGGAATGTCGCTGGAGATGCGGCCAGTGGGCGTAGGACGCCGGCACGAGCGGGCAGGGTCCTTGGTAAAGAGACGGAGCGGACTCGAGAGCTCGACAACGATGGGGTGCTGCAGTTGCAGAGACAGATGATGCAGAGTCAGGATGATAATGTGGATGAGTTGAGGAAGATCATTATTCGACAGAGGGAACTTGGCACGCAGATTAATGAGGAGCTCGAGGTGCAGAATGAACTGCTGAAGTTGGCGGATGAGGAGGCTGACATGTTAGTTTACACCCTTGTCCCACCTTTTCCACTTGTCTTGATCTACTTCACTAACAAAGAGTCCAGATTGAAATCCAAGATTGATATTGGAAGGAAGAGGATCGGAAAGATCTCTTGATTTTGACCCTGCATGTTTTCCATTCTGCGCAGAGCACTTGTTCTATCTATACGTTTAAGCGTGTCTTTTCAGCATCATCCAAGTCAATCTATTTGCAAATAGCATATCGGTATTGTGAACCAATCTTACTTGCACGGATACCTTTTCGCCCAGTAATAATCCTCTATAATGGGTAGAAGTCGCAGGTTCCCATTCTCGGTCGCTTCAATCCGGGCTTGGTCAAGTCTATGCTTCAACTCCTCCAAGGGAATTCCTTTTCGATCAATTGCGTCAAGCATAAGTTTGAGCACTGCTTTGTTGCCCAGCCTCATACATGCTAGGAATGGGTCGTCGTGTCCGTCGTGGCCTGTCAAACCGTTGCGCTGCCGCACAAATTTGACCATTCTGCTGGGAGGATGGTCGTCGTCATCATCATCAGTCCCGGTATTGGGACTTTGAATTGATCGTCTACTCATGAATGGCGAGTCGGAATGAGCATGGGCATCACTTGTCTCTGTCACAAGTACACCCCAGTGGTCATGTTCCGCGAAGGGATCTGCACCTCTCTCCAGCAAAAGTCGCACCTCTGCTTGGTCGCAAACCCACTCCTTTTTGGCATTGACATGCATGACGATCCGGTACAAGGGAGTCATACCAGGATAACACCGTTCCTCGATATCAGCACCATGGGCTAGGAGCAGATCAAGAATGGCTGTAGCATTACTGCTACCTTCGGTGTGAGGTGAATATATTGCAGCCACCAGCAATGATAGCTGGGTGTAGAGTGACGGCAATTTGGGATCAACTCCTCGTTCAAGTAGCCGCTTCACCACTCCCGTCATTCCAAATTGGACAGCGTGCACTAATCCTTCTTGTGCTTCGCTGCTTTCAGGGTCAATCTTCAACAGGCCCCGATCCAAGACCAACTCCGCCATTTCTTCTCCTCCCAAGAATGCCTCTTCTATTAATTTCTTGGGACTCTTTAGGAAATTTGGACCCTGGTGACTCCTGGGCCTCTGTTGCTGCTTGGGCAATGGAGGCATTTCCAATTCAATTCCTCTGTCCACCAATATTTGCACCACATCTACTGCACCGAAGTACAATGCTCTAGTGATAGCGGTCTCGCCAGAGGATGGATTGAAAGTGCCGTCAGCAGATACTGGAGTTTTCGTCGGATCAGCTCCTCGATCAAGCAACATGCGAAACATGTCTGCAGAGACCATTGCAGCCTCGGCCAAAGCTGTTTCTCCACGACTGCTTACGCAGTTTATGTCAGCCCCGTGGTCGAGTAAAAGCTCTGCAATTGGTACATTGCCCAATTGGATTGCCAAGGAAAGTGCGCCTTCATCCATAATTTCTCCCGGGTACTCCTGTGCATTGGCGCCACGCTCGACAAGGACCCTGATTTCACCCTGGTACTCCTGGATATTGGCACCATGCTCGACAAGGAGTTTTGTAATTCCAATATGGCCGTTGTCAATGGCTTGAAGTATGGGTCGCTCGTACCGTGTCTCGCAGCGACGATAGCTCCCATCTGCAGAAAAGCCATTCTCGAGAACACGCTTCGCGATATCATCCCACCCATAGCCAATGGCTATATATAGGATCTCGGCTTGTGTTTCGTAATCTTTGTCGTTTATCATGTCCTCAAAGTCGACGAAGGTTCGAAAGAAATCAGCAAAAGCAGCCTGTTTCTGCCTTTCAACTGATCGCCAGCTTGTATTTCCGACTATCGATGATAACAATATGCATTTTTTTGTTGGCTCCTTGGGGTGTATGTCCACTCCACGCGCCAACAAAAGATCGAGGATCTGCAGTTGACCATGTATAGCTACGTGGTAGAGTGTACTCAGCCAACCTTGAGCCATATCAGGATCGGGATCCGCTCCATGGTCTAAGAGCACTTCCACGATTTCTGCGTGGCCATCGCCAGCCGCACAAGAAAGAGCCGTTGCGCCACAAAATCTCTTGTTAGGATCTGCTCCGCGCTCCACGAGCAATTTGACAATGTCCATATCCCCATTTCTAGCGGCAGACATGAGAGGTGGTTCCTCTTGAGGCGAGGGTTCGGACCCTCCATCCAGCAAGTACTCAACCATCTTCGTATCACCCTGGAGGACTGCAGCATGAAGTGGTTGTTTGTGCCAATATACGCTTTGTGTATCGTTCAAATCGTAGCCAGCCTCGATGAGAACTTTCACAACGGCTAGGTGTCCGTTTTCTACTGCCGCAAACACCAGATCGAAGCATGTTTCACCGCAGCAGTCATGGTCATGTTCGAATGTGACCTTATGGGCCAGCAATAGATTGACAATGCCCACGTTGCCACGCACTGCCGCCAAATATAATGGATGTAAGACTTTCGAGGCAGCTTCTGATCTCTGATCTTCACATAACTCGCATCTCTGATCTTGCGTGAATATACCAGGGTCTTTGTTTTGTTCCAGTATCATGCGCACGATAGGCTCATGACTTTTGTCCACTGCCGCGACGAGCGATCGTCTAAAGTTATAATGACAGGAGTGTGTGGAAGCCCCAGCATCAAATGCTCGTTTGAGAGTCGCTTCCGCGCTATTCTTTGCCGCCCATACAAGGGGAAATCCATGTAATGAGCGATTGCTGTTCTGGTAAAGGACTGGGTTTAGCAGCACATGTAAGCGCGAACATGTTTGCGCCAGAGAGTTGAGATAACGCGCTTCCTCGATGAACTTGACGATTATGTGAATGAGCTCTGCTGGAAGACGTGTGAGCGACATGGAGGGCATATAGAAATTCGAAAAGAAGAATTGAGTTTCAAAATAGAATCCAAACTGATGTGTCTAACATGAAGGTGGGGGTTGAACAGGCAGTGACTTGGCGGCCCCTCAATGCAAGTAATCCCTGTCTCTCCAAGGATTCTCTCGTATGTACTCCGTACTTTCGTATCATTTACTACATCTGCTTATATCATGTGAAATATGTATTAAAAGTGACTAGAGTTATAATCTTACTCGATTAGGTATCTATAGATATGCCACACGGATGTCCGGAATGGGCGTTACATCCAGGTACCTACATATATATCAAACATTAAAACACGGGTAGATGCAGGGGGTTTTGGGTCATAGCGACGGGATCTTTCGTTACATCCGTATTCTAATGACCTGCATATCACCCTGGTCGGCTTAACCCTAATGCACCGATCTTGGTATTAGGCGCCCAAGGCGCACAAGGCACACTTCATACCTTGGCATCTAGAGATATATTCATAAGATATTGAGATTAGCCTAAGTTTTCTAGGGTTTGCTTATCTAAACAAAATATTTATCCATATCACCGAGCCTCCTGCCGAGCCTCAACGGAGGTTGACACATTAACAGAACGGGTCACTCCTATACCTTCAAATGTTGATCTTCTCGGACTTCCTTTCTCACTATTACCGTGAATGATTGTCTCAATTTTCGGATTTCCCTGTGCATTGTACATGAGCACATCCTCATCTGAGCCTGTTCCCGTAACACTCATCGGATTTTTGCTTCGGTACATTGTGCCCTGATTCCGTATTGTGTCCATTTTGTAGTCGGACTCGAGAGTTGCTTTGTTACTGGAATATTCGTGGTAGATGCGGATGATGAGTGCTGATAGGGATGGCAGGCAGGTACAGATGATGCCGATGGAGACTTCGGCATTACTAGAAAAAATCTTTCAGTTAGAATATTTCGTCAAGATAAACCGAGAGAAACATACCCTAGCATATTGATTCTCATAAATGCACGAGAAACATCCTTCGACTGTCCGGTAATGACAATGAGCGCCAGTCGGATGATACTGGCTGCAACAGCCAGGCCACCCGCTCCCAAAATACCCATAACCCGCATCTTTCTCTTCGTCGACATTTGCAAATTCAAAGTCAATGGTAATGGCAAAATGAGAACGATCATATCACTGACTACACTGACGACAGCGTCGGCCAAAATGATTGATGTCTGGTCTAGACATGAGCCGTCGATCTTTTGGTCCCAGAATTTAGCGACGGGGTTGCAGATTCGGATTTTGACAATGACAGCCGGGATGTAGTAGGCCAACATGATTCCCATGAATATCCTAATAAACATGATGGTTTTTCGGTAGGGACTGAAAACGCGAGTCATGATCCAGAGAAGGCACACTTTTGTGAGATAGGCTGTTGGTCCATACATGACCATTGTTGCGTAGATAGTCTAGAGAGTCAGAAGTCTGAATGATAGTGTTCGATTGCTTTGCATACCTTTTGGAAAGGAATCTTGTTCTCATCCGGGACGTCCAACCAGTGTAAACCTCCTCCATAATGACCCACTGTTCTTACGTTAGATACAGCTTGTCGCGTGTGGTATTAGGGACATACTGATGAGAGCAATAATTGAGTAACAAACGCCGAGGAACTGTTAAAGGTATTTTATTAACCTATCTTCCCTCCCTCTTTCAACGTAGTGGTCATACCCAGGCAACTGTACATGTCCCTAGGAGACTATCAGCATTTCATCGCTCTGTGCTCTGTGCTCTTCCATCCGAATTTTCACTCACAGTCCTCCTTCCCAAATCCGTTGAGAATAAACAACCGAGTAAAAACACGAAGACCAAAGAAAACTGTCATGCCGATGATACATAATGACTGGCAGGCGTAGTTCCATTGCTGCACACTCCGATCAATGGACGCATCTCCAGAGCCCCGTCCAAGCAACGATATAAAATGCATCATGGATCTAGAATCGGTAATGGGGGGGGGGGGATGTGTTTCAAGAAAGCCCCGTCCTTTAAGCGAAAATATAAGGGCCTCGGGATCTAGGCAATAATCTGCTCGAAACTGGGTCGAATTTTGACTGGTTGCTTCCACAAACTGCATAAATATGTATTTCAAATCGGGCTATGACCGCCCATGATCGGCTCCCCTGAGCTGAAAGAAGGTAATGCTGTCAAAGGGAACTCTATTAAACGTGCTAGGCGTATTATCACTACTAGTTAGGACCTAGTGTTTATGCGCCCCAGAAAATGCCAAATTTAAGTAGGTATCCTTTGTCCAGCTTGTTCATACAAAGAATACTTATGTTGTATGTTGTAGTCGAATCATAAGCATGTTGCGACTCTTCTTGAAATATTTGGGAGAGATAATGTAGTGTGTAAAGGAGGACTGCTTCAAACTTTGGTAAGAAATTTTAAGCATGCTAAAAGAAATAAATCATCTAGCATATTTCCCCTCCATATATACAAACACAAGTCTGATGTACTCCGTATAGCAATGAAATGCTTGACAACGGCTTGTTCCTCGGTACAGTTCGCCAACCTTCTTTTTCTAGCTTTGACGCTGTATGGCCCTGGCGCACAGTGGAGAAGTCATATACAAAGTATAATGTAGCAGGCCTTCAAGCTTTTAAGCTGTCATTTAAATAACACATTGTATATGCCGGACCTATCCCTCTTGTTATATTTCTCGCAGACAAGCTACTGTATGTCGTACATATTAAAACACCGAGATCATGTGAATCAAAAAGTTTACAGCAATAGCTCATCCCAAACACACAGATATATACTAGTAGTACGTATATACTAGGTATCCCTAGGGTCTCTAACGATATTAACGGCCAGTACAATTACAATTCCTGGGCATAAAATTGAGTTGTACATAGTGGCCAAAGCTTAGGTGGTATACGCGGGAAGTGGATCCGAACGGCTCCTTCAACCATGGTTGCGCAGAGGAAAGTATAATTTAACTTTTGACCCACGACGGCATTGTCTCGAGGTGCAGGTCCATCAAGTAAAGTGGAACTTGCATTGTGGATTGCAGGGGTTGCCCTCTGCAGGATGGTGGAGAGTTGGGCAAGATTTGATAGCCCTGAAGCAAAATCGAAGTCAAGAAATATGAGGCAAAATCCTCATCTGAGTAGCGTACTCTCTTCTTTAACTCTACTAGGTAATTGCATCGCAGATCATTATCCACGGTACGAAGTATGTTGGTACTTATGCTAAACTGTTATTCATGTGGAACTCGCGCCAATATGTATTTCCGTCTGGTACGTTCGCCCCGATCCTTCGACCCACAATCGATAACATAGTTTACCAGAGACAATCCATGACAGATCAGCCCGAATTATCCTGTTGCGTCTGGAGTTGCTTCTTTTGTACAATATGGTGGGGCTAGCATGTGATCTACATATTTTGAATATGGCACCATCCGAAATTGCCGGTCAATAGGGCTTACATATTATATAGTACTATAAACCCCTACTGGCAATGACTATTGGATCTTGATTGAATATATCTCAAACTATGTACTCCGCCTACATGTACGAAACATGTTATACTCGGCAAACAATATTAATTCAGAAAATTGCCATCACATTCGGAGGCGAAGAAACCCCACCGGGCATGTTCAAAGGCACGGATGCCACGAAAAAGCTCCACCTCTGGAGTTCGTGGCAGGTGCGTGCCAACGCCTCAAGATCGAAAAGTTCCCCTGTTATTTACTAGTCAATATAATGGATCTGCGGAAATGGAACAGGACGCTCAGCTTACCGATCGGCATTCCCCATCCAGCAAGCACGTATTCATGGAGGAATATGTCAGGGGATTGTGGTGGGTAGACCTGTGGGTCTGTCAGTTGACTTCCTTGATTGACTTTCCACATGGCGAGAATTTCAGGGTCCATTTTCTATTCACTTACCTCCCAACTGATTGCATCACCTGCGATGGCGGCAAATCCAGTGTCCCACAGCCAGCGGAGGACTTCTGTGGTCGCCTCGACTCCAGCATGCTCCGGGCTGGGGTTGTTCGCATAAGCTTGTTTTTGAGCATCTGTCATGGACGTGTCCCACTCCTTGGTCACTCCTACACGAACGAAAAGAATATCACCCTTTTGGAACGTGATGTTGTTCTCCTTGGCAATTTCGAGGATATCGGCAAACCGCACTTGGTGGGTCGAGAATGTGGTGTATTTAATCCCTCTTTTCTCCGCCCATGTAGCATAGTCGATCAAGACTCCACGTCCTATTGCTACTGTGAGATAATATCAGGAGATTCATGTGAAATGGATGAGTACCTGCAATGCCCTCACGGGCCCAATGCTGGAGACCAATTCGATCATTTTGGCGATCATTGATTTCTTCACTGGTTGTTCCACCATAGAACACACGTTCAGATTGACCAGGCACTGTCTGGGAAAAATGGCGCAGGCCATCCCATTGGCTACTTTGCTCTGCCGAAAGTCAATATATTGCGAAAAAAAGGAAATAGAAAGCGGATAAGCAGAATCCTTCTGAACTTACGTGGGTTCATCGTATAGATATCATCAAATGCCACACCTCCCAGAAGAGGAATAATCTCATGATGACATGGCTGGCGGTTGAGGTTAGGATAATCCAACTTCGTCATCTCCCATCCCATCGTTACGCGTCGACCACATCTAATCTCGCTGGCGGCAGCCGCAGCGACGACTTCAGGGGTAAGAATAGCTAGTTTTCCCAGACCCTCTTCATAGCTACCTGGTTTTCCTAGCCAAACCTGCTTTGGGTTCGGGAGCTGGTCAAACGGGGTGTCAAAAGGAGATTTGGCCATTTTTAATTGTCGTTTCCGCTAGTCAGAGTCGTGGGAAAGTGTATTTATAGGGCCCAGGGATGCCGTAGTCTCGTTCTAAATCGAACTTTGTGTACTCCGCACTAGGTAATGGACTAGCATACACCGCATGGACCTTTTGTGGACGTTGTACGGAGTAGCGGGGATGTAATTTGTAGACTGCATGGATCTGCACTGCAATAATTTCACAAACTCGGAATCTTTACGGAGTACTTTAGGGCTCCATACAACCAATATAGGTGGTTCACATAGCATAATAGAACCGGATTTCAGCAAGTGACCATTTCTTACATAGCTTCTAACATGTTGAGAGTATTTTCAGAGTCTCTGGACTCAAATAAGTGCCGTGTGATCGACATACCTAGTGGTATTTTCCCACGAAGTTTATGCAGCCACAACTCCACAGGGCTGTAGCCCCCCCTAACTTGTCAGCTAGGGAGTACTCCCCTGGCAAACATGTCGAAATTTCTTCAACAAATCTGCTTTATTATATGATCTTGATTTATTGAACATTGTAACTACAGACCATCATGGGTAGGTTCGGGTTTCAAACCAGTACCTATAACAGGCTGGTTATCGTTTTTGTTGCTATTGGGTCAATGGTGAGTTCACACATTTCTTACAAAGCAGCTATTATTTACTAATAATATTACAACAGACATATGGATATTGCTCTTCGATTATTTCTAGTACAATCGGACAGCCGGGATGGTATGCCTACTTCGACCTGCCCGCTGAGGGTGAACCGGGATACGCGACCATCACTACACCCGCGATATCGACAGCAAATGGTGTTTTCAGTGCTGGCGGTGCTGTTGGTACACTTTTTATAATGTGGTCGTGCGATTTCTTCGGCCGAAAAGCGAACATCCAGTTCGGTGCCTTCTTCTCACTGTTCGGGGGAGCACTTCAGGCCGGTTCTAATTCACTAGCGTATGTCACTTCTTCTACCTTATTCTAATTAGACTGGCACTGACAGCTCTCAGCATGTTTCAGGCTGGTCGCTTTATCTGTGGTCTTGGAATCGGTATCCTTGTAACCGTCTGCCCTATGTATCTCTCCGAAATGTCGAGTGCTCTGCGACGCGGCTGGCTGGTCGGTCACCATGCCATTTTCCTGGTCTTTGGATATATGCTTTCAGGATGGGTCGGTTATGCTTGCTACTATGCAACGGGCTCTCTTTCCGAGTTTGGCTGGAGATTTCCTCTCGCCTTGCAATGTTTGCCTGCGTTGGTGCTGCTTCTGGGATCTCCCTGGCTCCCGCGCTCTCCTCGCTGGTTAATATCGAAGGGTAAGCTCGATGAGGCGCAGCATGTTCTTGAACGTCTCCGCGAATCACCAGATGACCCGAACAACTTAGCTGCCAAGGAAGAGTTCTTCCAGACAGAAGAGCAAATCCGACTGGAGGCTGAGAGATTGGCTACTTATGGCAGCGTGTGGAAGGCTGTCTTTACAAGAAAGACATACCGAAAGCGTATGGCGATTGGCTTCCTTACCCAATGGGGCGCTGAATTTGGTGGACCTTTGATCATCGTGAGTGTGGTAATACCTACTTGAAAGTGTATCCCACTGACAACGACTAGAACAACTATGCCGTTCTTCTATACACAAATTTGGGCATGGAGGGGGGTATGCCTCTGCTATTGAGTGCTGTCTGGCTGACAACAGCTGGTGAGGATAGACACCCAGAATCTACTATTTACGCAGTTTGCTAACCTAGCTCAGGCGTGATCTACAATCCTCTAGGTGCCTGGCTTCATGATAAAGTCAATTCCCGGCGTGGCATGTACATGATCGGGTTTGTTGGTATTATCATCTCTACATCCTGCCTGGCTGCTATGACTGCCCAGTATGCCGGTACAACCAACAAGGTCGGAAATGGATTTGGTATCTTCTTTATGTACCTTTACCTAGCCTTCCAGGGGTAAGTCAGATTTCAACATATCAAGATCGCTGCATACAATGAGCTCACATTCCTGCAGTACTTTCTGCGACACCACGATGTACCTCTATGTTTCGGAGATCTTCCCGACTGAAATTCGTCCAATTGGCATGGGCTTTTCTCTCTTCGGACAATTTGCTTGTAAGTCGTACGTTGCAATTTTGTCTTCAAATTCCAATTAACATACCCAGCTACCCTCATCCTCTTACAAACTGCCCCAATGGGCTTTGGCAACGTTGGCTGGAAATACTATCTTGTCATTATTTGCTGGTCTGCATTCTTCATTCCCGGTATGTTTTCTTCCCAATCACATCAAGACCAACTAGTCAAGTAAAATTCCGCTAACCAAAATTGTAGTTATCTACTTCTTCTTCCCAGAGACTGCTGGTCTTACCCTAGAGGAAATCGCCCAGAACTTCGGCGAAGAGGTTGCCGTTAACCTTACGGGCGCCACGGACGAGGAAAAGGCTCGGCTCGACCATCGGCTAGCCGCGGGTGAGAACCCTCAATCATCTATAAACTCAGAACTAGGAAATGAGACCAAGCCGTCGTCAACAGATGGAGCTGAGCAGAACGTGCCGAAAATCGAATAAACACATGGATAATGTTTTAAATCTTGGGCAGAGAGTGGCCGACAATGAATAATTTTTGCCGTGCAAAGTCTCGGCCGTGATTGACTCATGTCTTATATACCCCTTGGGGGCCGTCCCCAGGTTGACCTGAGGTGGATTGGGATTGGTTAGATTTTAACTTTTAATGATAACTCCAGCTTATAAATCATCAGGGTCGTTGGAACCTTTTCTCCACCTTGAAGCTCTTGAACTCTTAGAATTACGATACTTAAGTGTGTCTTGTAATCACAATGGGCTCAAATTTGAAAGTGACTCTGTTTCCCTGGGATCCCGATTCGGAAGTTCATGTGAGGTGTCTGGTATCGCAGCGAGTCGAATGCAGTTGGCACTACGAGGAGGTTGAGAAAAAATGGAAGAAGCAACAGCTCAACGGCGAGAAGTGTATTTATTGGATTGTGAGTTCTATCAAAATATTATATACTGTTATGTTGCATTCAACATAAATACGATCCGAAAATGCTTACATTTTGTGCGAAAGGTCTTGCCATCAGATGAGTCAGAAGCGATATCGGCAAAAGTAAAGACGACGAAGTAACCAAAAGGAAATAACTAACATGTGACTAGAATGATGAAATGCTTCAAGACACAGCCACGACAATCAATGGTGTCCCACGTGAGCCGACAAAAGAGAACTTCGTCCCTATTGGCCATATTTCACTAGATTCCAAGAATCCCGATGCAGAGCACATTGACTTTGACCTCCCAGCCGAGAACATCTTCTGGATAAAGTCATTCTACGTTAGGAAGACCATCCAGGGCCAGGGAATTGGGCGAGCTACAATGGATGAAGTCGAGGCCATGGCAGCCCGGGAGCCACTACTAGCCAAGATATTGTTGCTAGACACGGTTCAGAAAGATGACCAGAAGAGAGAGGAATTTGCGAATGTAACCTACGGAGGTATTCCAAAGGTAGGTATATGATCATACAATTTGAGATCAAGTAACTTATCGTCTACAGACTACGAACGAGGAATGGTATGCTCGTCGGGGTTATCAATTAATCAAGACTGTGCAGAACTATTATCGGGTCCCGGATAAGAATGGGAAAATTTGGGATACAAAGACGGTTTTTATGAGAAAGGATATTGGTCAGTAGAGATCTACAATATATATCGAAAGGATTCTAGATATAATCTTCTGTCGTAATGAAAATCATAGAATAACTGTCAAATGTCATTTTCTCATACTTCGGATTTCCCATGGCACGCTAAACCTAACTTGGATGAGGCAAACTGCCAACCATCGCGGGTATATTTTTCCCCTTTTCTTAATCAGATACTTCTATGCCTTGGTTCTCGAGCCATGAGCAACGATCGCCGTTCTGCGTCGCCAGTAACGCGTAAAAATGGCACTTTACAGTCGTGTGAACCCTGTCGAAGATCCAAACAGCGATGTGACCATGACCGGCCGATATGTCGCCGATGCATCGCAAAAAGAATCAACGATAAATGTTTTTATCATCCAGCTCCAATGACCAGACGGAGACCTTCCGATCCAATAAATCCTACACGAGCATCTAGTCGACTAACCAGTCAACCAACCTCAAAGTAAGCATATCTTGTAACGGATGATAGGCCCATACTAATATATAAGTACAGTGCTTCCAGCCCGGGTTCAGGCTCACTGGGAAATGGGCGTTTCTTCGCGCCATTGGAACCACCCTCAGCTCTTCCAGGATATCTGGGCTCAACAAGCTACTCTGCGGTTCTAACTGAGCACCGCAGTGACATTTCGTTCGAGCCTGAAGAGACCACGGATTCTTCTGCAGGGTTGGCAGTAGAACCCGATCGACTCCAATCCGGTGTTGATGTTCTACGATTTTTGTACAATCTCACTGTATGTGATATGCTGGTTGCACGGTACTATGTTCGGACATTGAATATCATCGTGCCTAAAATGGTAATGGACGAAATTCTGCGCTCGGTGCACCAAATCTTCGACGGGTTCTCCAGTGATCCAACTGCACAACTGCAAGAGTTGGCGAATCAAATATTTCAAAATACTTCCCGCCCGATGCGGACGCACAAGTCTATGTCAGTCGAGGAGTATTGCTCCTCTTTCACCGGTCGCAACCTCCGGTGGGAGGCCCTTGGGTCTATCTTCACTCTTTGTGGAATGCAATTGGTCATTACGCCAGACAACGACCCTGATGTTACGCAGGGATCAGATGACCCTCGAGCAAAAGACCAGTTACTAGAACAGATTACTGTTATAAGTACAGTATGTCTTGGTTTTTGTGACCAGACATCGTCGGCAAACGAATTGCTGGCAATGTTACAATACCATGATGCTATGTTGCGAACACAACAATATGGTGATTCCAGTGAGACATTCCCTTAATAATCTCGGACCATAGGCTATAGATTTACTAACAACCTGTTAGGCTATCAAGCATGGCGTCGATTGGGTGACCTTGTATCCACGATTTATGCAGCTGGGCTACATTTGGAGACCAGTGGCACTGAGGGTTATCCATTATTCCTTCGCCAGTGGCGGAGGCGTTGCTTTGTTGCAGCCTTCTACATGGATAAAATGATAGCAACATTTGTTGGACGACCGCCACTGATAAATGGTCGATTCTGCACGCTCTCTGCTCCACTCGATCTGACCGACGAAGTTTTGATTGCAGGTGGAGATGTCCTCAGCAAGGCGATTTCAGAGCTAGACAGTGCCGGATGGAATACTGAAGGGAAGTTACACGTAGTAACCCCCACTCGGCTTCGCTTCCAGCTGGCTATCATTCGGGAAGAAACTCTCGAGGTTGTACTGGGAACACACGAGCAGCGTAATCTAATCCAAAAGTCCGAGTAAGTATATCGTCTCTAATGGACATGTTATATCTGTACTGATGTGGTCTTTTTATAACAGAGAGATCCAAGCAAAATCGCGCGCCATATGGGAATCAACTCCGGATCAGCTTCGATATGATCGGCGACCGAACGACCATTCCTATGACGGGTGGCTTACCATTGTATATTTCTATTTGGACTACCTAATGACTTGCTTTTTGCTCTATCGAGCAGTCGTCAAGCATACGAACACCGGACAAGCCGATCTCTGCGACGTATCTCGTCGGATACTAGCCATTGTCATTCAAATTCATTCGTTCCGAACCCCAATGGTCGATCTTGATCGGCACTTTTCTTGGATCGTATGTCGTCCACAGTTGCCATTCATGAAAGAGACGCATTTACTAATAGATGCAGGTTCTCACGTACGGTGTTCCTTCCGCCAGCGTCCTTCTCCTTGAACTCCTGCGCCAATCGCATGAACCCGGTCCACACACCGTTCCACTCCCGCGCGCCGAGCTAATCCGCAACCTCAGCGTGTTCATTTCTTTCCTGTCGTGGGTTGCAGGCCCCGGTCACGGCAACTATCATACCTGCAAACAAGCCGAGAAAAAGCTGTCTCGCATCCTTGATCAGCTGCTCGATCCAGAGCCTGTACAGCAACATGTGGTAGACGATGTCACGACAGGCCTGGACAACTTCCTCAATTGGTCGAACTACAATACGATCTGGGACTTCAACACCGATTATATGCCTCTTACCGAGGGTTTCGCGCCTTGAACATTGGTTATATCATGAAGATCATCCAGAGGCAAAAGATTTATTCATTACGTCGTTATTGTAGAACCCCCCTCAGATTGCTGGCTGGTATCTAGTCATACCATCCACACATAATCATTCCGGGGAGGTGTATCGGCCACATAATAGGCCCGATGACACAACGGACAATTGAAGTGGTCTCCCAAGAACCACTTCTCCAAACATTCTCGATGAAAAACGTGCAAGCACCGCAATTCGCGAATCTCCTGCGTGCGGTCTACTTGCTCCAAACAAACAGCGCTGAACAGCATGTCAGCGCACCACTCTACTGTCAAATGGTAGAAAACATACCAAACGAATTGTCCATCGACGGCCTCAGATAGTCCAAGATTCCCCTTTGTGGTGGTCCACCACTTCTCGAGCGTGCAAGTTGGCGAGACCTTATCCAACTTGCGCAGCCGCTCACTAGGATTTTTTCTTGATCTCAGAAATGACCGCCTGTCACGGCGGTTGATGAGTATTGTCAGACTGGATACAGTTAGGATGGACATGTTATATGTAGCACCGGAGGGAATGTATTCGGTGAGAATGGGGAGACAAAGGGACATGTAATAAGATAAGATATGCAAATAATCGAATCTTACTCACATTAAACTAAGCACGATGAGTAGCACCACCCCAAGTCCGATGCCTAGGACGATCGCCATATGGTTCTTTTTCAGTTTTGCGTCTTCTGCCATCTCTCCAAGTTCAGAATTTTCTGTTGCACGAATGGTTCAAAGTGAATGAGATGACCAAGGTCGAAGGTGAAATTAAAGACCGCACTTTAGCCAGTGATCCTAAATTGACTATTTGATCACAAGCTAAAAGTGGGTGTCACAGCTCTGTACTTTGGGGAGTAGATGGTACAACAAATTAGATTCCAAAAAGAGAAATAAAAAGAAAAGAGGGGAGAAGAAATTAATCCAGGTAGATCAAAAATATCCAAATAAAGATAAATATCAATCTGGGGATCTCCAAGAGAGCGGGGAAGATGTGGATCATACGATTATTATTTGCTGTAGCTATTTACTCTTCTAGGCATTAAGCAGCTCTATAACCAATCAACATTCTAAGGAAGGGAGGGGGAATGTTGACTGATCATTTTCGTTGGGGTGGGATTTAGGGAGATACACGACTTGATTTATTTCTAGTATGTACTATTCTCATTAGTCCTTTGTTGTATTTCATTCATTGGCTCGGGGATCCATTGCAATGTGCCAGATGACACTGTTTCAACTAGGCCAAGATGCACCTCCCTACTTTATCAGTGCAAGGGTCGTATTGTAGAATACATTCTTCGAAGATTCTAGGTAGTGTTTCACTGTTTTTTCTGGTATTCTAGATTCCTACTTTATTTTTCGGAACTATTAGGGTCTAGATCTACATTCGACATGATTCATGATAGGTCTATATATGTACGGAGTATACAGCCCTAGAGTTATTTATGTAGGTAACTTAGGGATACGAAGTTGAAAGTCTATTAAAATGCTAGGTCAAGATATATACTTTGCGTTATTAAACTGATTGACATTCATTGCAGATACGCTTTTCTATTTCTTGTCTAGGCTAGCAGTTGCAGGTCTGTCATGCATATGTGATATGCCGTGTGGCTTGCTCAATGTGCAGCAGATCATTGGTTTCTTAGTACCCCGTTAATCATACTCAGCTTAGACTGAGACGGACATGGATATCAGATCTATGACATAGTAAATATGCGCCCCATTGTACCCATTTATAAAGTAGGGGCTCTAAGAAGGTGCTTATAGGATGCCGATCGAAGATAGGAATGCTCCTAATTGGTGAATTTGCAGTCGAAGCGGTCTATACATGCATGGTCAATCTTGTACAACATAGGGAGACAATTTCTGTCGAAAGAGTCAGCTTTTGTTCTTTCTAGACCCCGAGAATAGATGTGAGTTTGTAGCGAAGTATATAAAACACGACCAATGGGACTATCCCGCTCGCATATGAAGTAATTTTCCCCAAACTTGACCCCAGGTTTTGATTTGCCAGGATAGAAGGGTGAATAGTTAAATATCGATCCGACTATCCCGATCTGCAACTGTTAAGTTATTGGCTGTTGATTGCATTTCTCTTTGCTCTGCAATACATATGGAGCTCTACCTCACCGGTGACCCACTACGCACTAGAGGTGTTACAATTGGAAGTCAGGCCATGCCCTTTCATCTCAGAACATAAGAAATCACATATCTCTTATAAATAAACCAATACTTGCAAAAAAAAGCACCCCAGAGATCACATTCCACCACGTGCAAGCCTTCCTCGTGGGGTCACGTGAGGTCGCGTAACCACGCGTTGGGCAAGTGAAATAAGGCAATTAAGGCAAATAGCTTGGTTTAACCCTTTGCGATTCAATCCGAGGAGAATTTCAAATATGCCCGTATTGAACGCGACACGCTTCGCGCTTCATGCAGATAGCTGTATAGAACTACTCCGTACTGCAACCTCATACCAAATGTGGGCCCAAATGTCCAACGCGTCAACGTAGACAAATGCAAGATTAACATTTGGAGGACTTGAGTAGATAATTACATGTAATTTAGACGTAAAAAAAGGATCAAAATCAAAATCAAAGAGAAATATTCGTGTGTCTAAGTACCAAGTACCTGGGGGGAGCACTATGTTACTAGCGCGGGCCACGTTCTTTCTACTCCGCGTCCACACCGCGACGCGATTTGATACCATTTTCTGCATGCCAGCCTCACGGCTTTTCCATCTTCTATTCTCTCGTGGCTTTTTTTGCTAGTGATCTGGTGTTCTTTCTCTCTACCCTCCCAACCCCTCTATGCTCTATTAAGTATCATGTCTGATCCGGAGCCTTCGGTGGCGATCTCATCCTCGCCCTCTCTCCCGGCCACCGACTCCAATCCTCTTAACTACGCTTTCCTCGTTCATTCGCAAAAAACCCTCACACAGAATCTCCCTCCTCGTGTGGATAATAAACTGTTAGCCCGTCAGAAGCGTCGTCGAACTAGGTATGCTATTATGGTTGTCCATACTATGGACGCGTCAATTAACCCGATATGAACCATTCTACAGTCCGGAGGATCACGCAGTCCTTGAATCCGAATACCAACAAAACCCTAAACCAGACAAAGCAGCCCGCACGAGTATCGTGAGCCGCGTCTCACTCGGCGAGAAAGAGGTTCAAGTATGCGATGCCAAGAGTACACACACAAAAATCACCTCTAACTGGCTCACAGATTTGGTTCCAAAATCGCCGCCAAAACGATCGTCGGAAATCCAAACCTCTTCAGCCTCACGAATTACTCGCCCCGAGGTCGGGCTTAATCGATTCGTCAGGACAGCCTTCGAGTGATGATAACGCGTCAACGGAGCCGGGGTCTTCAAGTGGGGCAGAGCAGTTTGACATCAACGACCACTGCGAGGAAATGGCATCAAAACCATGGCACGGAGGACTGTTGCAATTCTCAGACGATTCTGATCCAGTGACTGAAGATAAAGATGAACATGAGCTGCCCCAGAGCACTCAAACAAGCGTGGCAACAGAGGTTGCGGAGGAAACTCCGCAAACCACACAGGAAGAGTTTTCCCAACTCGTGAATGACCACCCCGAAGACTCTCTTCTGCAGGTACCAAAAAGGAAACGTTCAGTGTCAGATATCAGGGGCGAGGGAGAATATGAGCAGGCAGCAACCACACAAATCGCACAAAACGCACAAACCACACCTACCAAGTCACCACCATCGTTGCGTTTGTCGATGTCGTTTGATGGAGAGGCTTTGTTACGTAAAGAGGGCGAGCTAACGCCATCTCCGCCCAAGGGCCGCAACGCCTTGCGCATCGCGATGTCATCGGACGGAAAGGCAGTAATCCGCGGAGAGAACGAACCATCACCATCCAAGAACCGCGTGGCGATGTTCTCAGTTCGCCGAACAAAAATGTCAAGCCTGCGACGGAGTAGCAGTTCCGTCTTCCCAGCCACGCCGCGGGCAGGTGTGGCCGAGAAAGACCGGGCTTTCGGTCGCTCCCGTGATCCACGTAACTGGGAGTCATTCTGTGACACCGACGCAAGAAGTGCGCTATCAACACCAACCAGCGGATCAAATAGTTCTCCAGGTCTCTTCCAATCTCGAAGCCAGCGCTCATTGCCTCGGAGTGCCTCAGGGCGACACGGCCTCGCTGTCCACGGCGACCCGAACACACCAATCTCTCAGTCCATGGGAGAGAAGAGACGGAAGCTAGCTCGCGCTGTTTCTTCTCTGGGACGACTAGAGACAGGCCGAAACAAGGCTAACATGAACCCATCCAAGCTGTCTAAGCCTCTATTTTCCAAGTCCGGAAAGCCGGATCTGGAACAGGATCCAGGCGACTCTGATAAAGAGAACTGGGTTCCAGGCACACGGTCGACAAATATTCGTCGTCGCAACACTTCACACATCCCACGACCGGTCCTCCGCGATGCTAACCGTAATCGCGGTCTCGGCATCTCGACCAACGGCAAACGCAATCGACCACTCCAGACTGGCTCACAGGGCAAAGCCCCTCCAGAGCTCAGTGCAGAAGTCTCCGCTTTCATGGCCGGTGGCTCGGGGGATAGTCAAGAAGATGACCTGGACTGTGTGCAGGGTCTCTTATCGTTGAGCCAGGGGGCCTGGCGATAAGAGATGCATGATTGATATCCGAGGCGCCAGTGCCTCTTTGCATCTGTTTATTTTTCATTTCCCTTTGTGGTACTGATTTTCTTTTGTGAGCCCTGTATTTTTTATTGCTGTCATGATGCTTGCAAGCGGTCTTTGCCACTGTCACGTGAACCCCATGATATACTTTTTATTCGGGCCTGTTCTTTTCTCTGCATCTCTTATGCATCTGGATCTACATGGTTTATCTTTCTGCTTTACTGGACCTGTAGGTCTTACAAGCCTTGGGGGACGTGAAGGCGAAAGCTCCGAGAAAGATACTAATCCTTGAATGAATCCAACGACCTGATATACATTATTTAAGTATGAATGAAAATGTTCGACTTGATGGGTCCATTGCACAATCAACACATCTCTTTATAGACCCATAGACTCTCTGTCTTTAGCTATGATTTGGAGCCATAATCCTTCAAATCTACCTAAACCTATACTTATCTAAATGTAATAGAATTCAGGAAAATGTGGAGGTTGCGGCCATATATGTACTCGAATTAGTGCTGGCAGTATATCCTTCATAGGGATAGGCAATGGCCATCTATCATGTGTTCTGGCAAGATGGCCGAGTGGTTAAGGCGTGACGTTTAGGTATTCATCTAATGAATTTCGAACCGTCATGGGAAACCGCGTGGGTTCGAATCCCACTCTTGTCATATCTTTTTTTCTCTTTTTATTCCGTACCTTACTTATTCTATGCTCAGTCTAACGCATTGCCAGCATCGGTATGGACTGGATGCTTTTATTTTTGCGGAATATTTAAGTATTCACTAATGTATATGTAGAGCGGTTGTAACCTAACAGCTTTCGGCTCCTATGATTATTAGGGTTGGAAAGAGAATCTTGTATACCGCCGACATATATATTTCTTACAACCTTCAGAATATATATATTCATTTCTATATGCTTTGTCGGTGCACGTATATTATGTTATAGGGATTCCCTGACGCAAGACCATTCGTAACATTTCCTTACCATTATTCGAAATATAGACGAGGTACGAGACACGGTGTAAGGGAAAAATATTGAGGAGAGATTACCATTCAAGTACTATACACTATACCAGTTGAAAACCGTGCTTGTTTGTCTACGCTCGAGTCTACTCTCCTAATCAAGAGCAGAAGGCAAAGAATCATCCTTAACCCCCATCCCACCAACCTCCCCAATCCCAAACCCACGACAAATCTCCTTGGCAATCCTCTCCCCACTCCAAAATGCCCCAGTAGTAGTCCCAAGCGCTACAAACGGCGCCGTATGCTCACCAGCAAACCAAACACCCCTACTCAACCCAATCCCATCCCCACACCTAAGAACCTCAATATCCCTATCCGCCCCCTCAACCCCAACCTGGAAATTACAATACGACCCATACCCCGCAAACTCATCCTTCTGCCACTGCGTAGCAAGCAGCGCAACCGGAACACAGTCCGGGTTCTCCGCATTATACCCAGGAAGTCGGGAGTAGAACGGCTGTAGCGTTGAGATCAGGGCATCTCTGTATCCAGGCGACGAGGGCGATCCGGAAAGCCGGTTTACTATCTCCGCGCCGCCTGCGCCGTATGTGTAGAAGAGGAGGGTTGGATGTGCGTGTGGGGAAGGAAGGGAAGCGAGTGAGAGACATTCTTGGTTCCATTCTATGTTTTCGGGGTAGGATGTGTAGGATGGGTTGAGGAATTGGGCGAAGACGGCGTCGTGCCAGAAAGCGCGTGGGAATGTCACGTATATCTTTTCCAGGCGGCCATAGGAGATGTTGGTTATTGCTTGTTCTAGACGGGGTGGGAGTTGGGGTGTGAATGCTGAGGTGTTTTGCTTCAGCCAGCCCAGTGGACAGGTTACCACTACTTCGTCGAAGGTGTAGGTTTTTCCTGTTGCTGTTGTTACTGTCACCTGGTGTGGTGATTTGGTAGGTGCGTTGATGTTTGTGACTGGTTCGTTGAGATGGATGGAGGCCTTTTTCACGGCAGTTTCGGAGACGTGTTCTAGGATGCGTTTGTATGTTGATGCCACGACGAAATTGCCTGTGGATGTTAGAAATGTGTATCCGGATTGGATATACGCTATACGTACTCCCATCGACGCATTCTTCTAGACGGAAGAATTTCAGGCTTTGCTTGTCGATTTGATCGCCGACATAACCACCCCAGAGCTTGCAGGCGTCCAGACAGTGCTGTTTCTCTTCATCTGAGAAGTTGGTTTGCTGGACTCGATCGCGGAAGAAATCGAATAGACTTCGCTCGGCGGGAATACTTTGCCCATGGTGATTGCTATATTTAAAGGCTTCTGCTATAGTAGTCCATACGAAGTCTTGGACTTTGGCGCTCACTTCGTCGTTGATTGGGTGGCCATCTCGCGAGTAGGTGATATGTCTGCCACCCTCCGGATCATACATCACGGTTCCCGTTTCTTCCGCTATGGTCATGATGGGGTTCTCCCCCGCGCCATGAATCCAATTGGGGCCTCTGGGTTGAGCGTTAGCTGGTTTATACTTGCGAACCACATAGTGGTCATGCAGGCCTGCATGGTACATACAGATCCACTACATGGTCTCCAACCGTTGATTGGTGTACCTAAATGTAAAGTTAAAAAAAAACTTGGCTGCAGTGATGTTCTCAGGTACACATACTCTCCCGCCAATGCGATCTCTTGCTTCTAAAATTGTTACGCGTGCCCCATTTTGTATGAGGATGTCGGCGCAGCGGAGGCCTGAAATACCTGCGCCGATAATACCGATGTGCGGATTCGGAGTCATGATTCAAAAACTGATTTGATATACATAGGCCGAAGATGAACATGTGAAGATTCTGTCCGAGGTCGAATGATTGGTTACCGTTATCAGCCACGGACTCTTATCGATGACAGCTACACCAGCCCTGGAGGTCTACATTTACAGTCTACTCAGGAATTATTTTGAAATTTGATTGCATTGAGTGATTCGCAATCGCAGCAAATAAATGACAGAATCAGAAAGGGAGTTCAGTTATGACCAGCATAATAGATAAGAAGAAACCATGCGCCTGGTCGAACCTCCTAAGCCGCTAGAAGCGGGGACATGGTAAAGACCACTGTCACTGCCGTAGAACTCCATGAGAAAGCAATTTTTGAAATGATAAACAAGGCCGCGAAGGATATGTACGGGTCGGAGGTAATGGAAGGGTATCAAGGGAAGTCAAAGAGAACGGAGTAAAGCGCCACCGAGTAAAAGAAAGCCGATAAAGAAGTGGGAATCAACTCCATGAGACGATGTGGAACAAAGCTTGGGTTGTAGATGAGGTGTGGAGATCGGGCTCGTATTAGACTGGTGAGCGCTCAGTCTTCCCAGATGGTTTCCAGGTCAAGATCCTGCCGTCGCTCGGCGCCACAGACACTCCATCGCTTGCGCTTGTCACTCCGTATAGCATATCCGCCCGAACCCCCGCGCATTGTACTGAATGAGTTGGGCGCATCGGATGTCCCGCGCCGTCGGTTGGCATTGCTGGCGGCGTCGGCTGCGTCAGCCGCGGCTTTCAATTCCGCAATGCGATCCTCTTCAAGAGCTTCATTCTCGGCGTCAGGGACATCGGGGATTGTTTCCAGGGACGAAATGCTAGGGCTTCGGGAGCGAAGACTGGTCGGAGTTGAAGGAACGGAAACGGAGGAAACGGAGCCAGATTGGCCAGGGTAAGATTCATTGTATTTGGAGCCCAGAATGGGCGAGGAATGTAAGGAGGGGCTGATGGGAGTCTGGAAAGGAAGGGGTGAAGTCGGACGCAGGCGACCGATGCGGGGGAAAGTCTGCGCCATCAGCACGGGAGACGCTGGCTGTGGTGATTTGGGAGTTTCTAATTCTGCGTTCTCAGAGATGGTTTCTGAGATATTGAGAGAGCCCATGCGGGATTCGATGTAATCGTCAGGGCGCATCAGGGGATATCTTTTTGGGTCTGTTCGGCCATTGACGAAGATATAACGACCTTGTGAGTCCAGCCCTGGAGAGGAATAAGCGCGCGTCATTGACGGCATTCCCGGGATTCCGGCCAGTGATCGTGAGCGTAGATGCGATCGGACCAAAGGGGATCTTGTCCGGGGTGCCTGTGGTTCAGAGGAAAAAATCATGACGTCCTCCTTTTCGGGGATAACCCCGGAGTTGGTCCCGGGTTCGTTGGGGCGCATCTTTTTTTCTGACTCCGTAAAGAAATAAAAGGGGTAAGCGCGACTTTTAGCTTCGCATCATGGCAAGGAGAAAAGAGAGAACTCTTGGACCTGCCAAGTGAAAGGGAAAGGGGGAAGATCTGAAATAATGGGGGAGGTTGAAGATATGAAAAGGGAAGGGGAAAAAAAAGGAGCTAAGGCTTCGGTTGTAAGAACGGAGACTCCTGACATGACCATACATCATCGGCGATTTCCTTCAGAGCTTTCTCTTCAATTTGTATGTCGCTTTCCTCTGGCAAGGGTGCTCTTTCGAGAAGATACTCGAAAGGGATGATGAGCGGGGACTCGGCAACTGTCACTTGGCCTTCATTTTCTTTTATAATGATGAGTTGAGCTCGACGAGACTTCTGTTTTATGGAATCCCATTCGTATCTTTCGAGTTTAATCTCTGATTTTCTAACTATCATCAATACAACCTTGATATTCCCCCTCGCCGGGTCTACCCACATGTCCACATCCCGCCGTAGTCTAGCCAGGCACTCCGAGACAGCCACTTCCAAGACCATCGTGGCATATCTGGTCCCCACTGGGACCCAGGCGGCGTTCGCAACTTCCGTTTCATTGGGGAGGTGAACTGGCACCCCTGAACTACCCCGGAAAGCTTTCCGCAGCCCCATAGGGCTTAAGACACTCCGAACAGCGCTCTTGATGGAATCAGCCCCGTTCTGGCGCATCATCGTATGCATTTTGACTACTAGAATGCTTTTGGCCGGTTCGAATGATATGAAACAGATGGAACCTTCTTCGTCGAGGAAGTCCCGCTCGATGTTCGAATTGTCAATGTGGAAAATAATGTATTCATTTTCATCGAGTGTCGTAGGATCGTCGAGAACTTGGTCTAGAAATTGCCCGAGGAGTTCGCGAAACTGTTCCTTTCCTTGATATTGATATCTCCTTGTGGAAGGTAGACATAAGTCTATATTAGGGACATTTTGGCATTCCATCTTTTTGAAGTCAAGTGGACTGAGGTATGGTGTATAGTAGATATCGAAGACTTAGTCCTCTAGCTATAAATATACCTATATAATCTCGGAGTTAGGTCATTACGCCTATATAGCCCTGGCATTTCTATATGACTTCATGATTAGGTACTATAGAATCTGTCTTTTCAAATGTCTTTTCAAATGTCTTTTCAAATGTCTTTTCAAATGTCTTTTCAAATGTCTTTTCAAATGTCTTTCCAAATGTCTTTTCAGATGTCCTTTTGTTATAACTACAGTGATCTTAATGAGTTATAGAAGTGTGGCCAGCTCTGTAGTATAGAGTAGACAGATACATAAGATTTGATACAATTGCTCCAAATTACCTATTAAACAGTATAGAAAAAGGCCAAGTCAATGGCATATAAACAGAAAGCAAAAGAATGACAGGGATATCTCAAGCATTGGTCTCTTCACCCTCCTTGCACTTGGAGATATGCTTGCGGACATAAGTCTCCCGCACCGCATCTCCTTCATGCTTGCACACCACCCATTCACCCATACCGTACTCCTCCGGTGCAACACGGGTACCACGGCCACCACCACCAACAATTACATTACCAGGACGGTACTTGGGATCCGCCTGCATGCGCCGGATAGCAGAAACGTGGATCTCAGCATCAAGCGGAACATCCCGCACCTCACCACGAGGCAGCGGCCAGCTAATCGGCTTCCAAGACCCATCAGGCTGTAGATCCATACGACGGAACGGCAACCATTCCATAATCCGCCACGTTATGACCGACATAGTAGGAATACCCTGGTTGAACATCAGACAGTCATGCACCAGCCCCTTCGTACTGGAAGTATGCAGCGCATGCCAGAAGTCGCGACTCGCAGCAGAACGCTCCTTCTCATCAGGCATAGAGCGGAACACATCATCGTTCTCAGCATGAGGCTCAACACACCGACTCGGCCGTCGGGAATTGAGGTCTTCCCGAATGGGACTGTAATCACCATTGTACTCCTCTAGACACTGGAACTGCTTCATCTTGCGCTCATCCAGCTCAAGTCCGGCCTTGTGTGCTTCCTGTGTCATCCACACGAGCGGCGCGTGACTAAGAGCCCATGTCTCGCCGTCCGAGAGCGTCCATCCGCCGCCGATGTCTGCGTGGCAGCCTGGGAACCAGACTTCGTGGATGTCTTGGTCGTCTTCGTCGTCGCTTGAATCGATCTCTATCTCTATGGCGGGAACCTGCACTGAGAGCGTGTTGGAGTGCAGACTGTGGAAGGACTCTTTGCTTCGCACTGAGTGGAGATCGTCCATTGATGCTTTGGGCACTGCGAGACTGCGTCGCGGAGAGCGTGCGCGGTATGTGTCACGCTTTATTGTCCCGCTTTCGCTACCGGCGCGGGAAGGCGGCTGCGAGGTTGTGTGTGAAGCTGGGCGGTGCGAGGAATGGCGTCTGGTGTGGTAGTATGTCTCTCCAGTACTGGGCCCCCATTTAGGATCCTGGAATTCAGGCTCAACCTTCTCCTCTCCCTCTTGTTCTTCCTCAGCTTTGTCATTGAGTCGAATGGCGGGAACGCTGTCCGGTTGCTCCTCCTGGGGCTTCTCTTTTTCAGGGTGGAAGAGGTGTAGATGGTTCTTGGGCAAATGAGGGTGGTGGCGGTGCTTCTTCTTCCCCTTTGGACGCGCCCCAGATATCAGATCTTGGCGGAACTTCGCGCGGCGCTCGTCAATACCCACGGCATGGCGAATTATTTTGGCCGAGCTGCGTGCCGTGTAAGGGAACTTGGTCCGTTGCATCCACGCGGACTCGAAGCGCGGTACACTGTTGACGGTATCGAAGAGACCCATGAAGCGGATACGCGAGATAGGACGACTGAACGTCTCACGGAATGCCTTCATGTATGTGAAGAGCTTCTTCTTTTCTTCGCGCTCTTCATCCGAGTCGTCAGACCGCTGCTGCCACTTCGCGAATGTCTTCCATGCGAACCGGACCAACTCCTCGTTTCCTGCTTCGAGTAGACCAATATAGTCCAGCATCTCCGCTAGAAAACGTGCGATGTATGCACCACGACTAAAGCCTATGAAAAATATCTCATCGCCAGGGGAATAATATCGCATCAGGAACTTGTACCCACCCATGACATGCTCGTCAAAGGAGGACCCGACCGCCGAATCTTTAGCCTTTTGATAGGCAGACTTGATACGCTGGATTCGGCCATGGCTACTCAGCGACTTTGATGTCACATATGTGCCAATGCCTGGTTGGTAGTAATGGTATTGGTGACTTTTGCTGCGGTCAAGCATCTGCAACTTCTTAGCACTGGTTCAATGCTTGGCCTGCAGTCCCACTTACGCGAAAGATCTTGAGCACATTGCTATCCGACTCGTCACCAGCGAATTTATTTCCGGTACCATCAAAGCAAAGCACAAACTGCTTCGGCATGCCCGATAGGGGTTGGTGCTCATACCCGTAAGCCATTATGCCACCGAATGGTAATCGGTCAGACAAAAAAGTTCAAAACTTCAGGCACACCTAATAAGACCTCAGGGGGGCTATATACGCGAAGGGGGGGAAAGGCTCAAGGCTGGGATGCCGGGCTTATGCAGCCTGATAGAGTTAGTATTACACGAATTAGCGTCCTAGGTACACCAGACCCAGCAGTGAAGGGGGTTGGTAAGATATGAATATCCAACCCACTAGCCGATCGGTGCAGATTTGTGAAAAGAATACGTCAAACCTGGGCTGACGGGCGGGTCCCCCATACTTGGCACGGTCCCATCACAAGGGCCTTTGGTTTTACATATCTGGGATTAGTTTCTGTACTCCGTATGGAGAAAATGATCGCTCACTCACATCTGTTCAGGTGCAGGTTACACAAAATCTTCGATTTTAACGGGGCCGCATTCCACCCAATAGAGGGTCCGCATTCCATCCAATGGAGCCGCGTCGGTAATCATTGCTGGATATGCAAGTTTGTTGCGAACTGGGCTGAACATGACTCGAGTTCTGCACGAGGGATGTGGGCTGGGCGGGCCGGAGCTAGAAAGCATGTAAATTTGTGGCATGAGCTGAACAGAGAGACTAAAAGAGAGACGTGCAGGTTTTACACTTTGCTACTCCATACGCGAGTACTTAATTGGTCCCCAGTTGGTACCGAGGTCGAACCTATTTATGAGGGATTGAAAGGAGACGATGCTAGGTGTTCGGGACATTATTGTCGATCATTCTCCACAGAGCCCCTCTATGGATTAGTAGACACCAATGATTCAGGAGGTGTAAGGGGTGAGAGCGGGTGGTTCGTATCGGGTGTTCCGTCTCGTTGGTTCGGCCTTGAGCGAGCGATCAGATCGGGTCTAGCCCTATATAGTAGTCAATATAATACATTCACGGCCCAAGAGCTATGACCCACCTGTCTTTTCCGCCAGTTTCTTGGAATTGAGAAGGTTTTTGGGGTCTCACTGCCTATGTACGCCATACGGAGTACTCCGTGGGTGTGATTGTGATTGCAATGATTACCCGTACATATACATCAATAAAACATTAGAATATCTAAACCTAGATGTCATCGCGCATGGAGTTCCAGGCTGGAATGGATTGACGATACCCGAAGGGGAAGGAGAGTGGGACTTCCTTGTCGTCATATCCCGAAAAAAGTCAATATGTTGTCGACTCGGATTTATGGCCGAGAGATAATACGTACAACCTTGGAACATATCTGATATCTGAACTCAACTACATTTATGCTTATAATATCCTTCCATGGATTATGCGGGAGTGGCCATGGTCGATCCATGGTTCAACACTCGGGAGGAACCAAGAAATCATCCAGGAAATCATCCAGATAAGAGATGTCTTAGCCATCTGACCTCTCTCAAAGTGAGTTTGTCATTCTCGCGTGGAAACTCCCGTTCAACCGAGAAAAAAACGCCACGAGGAGAGAGACAAACAATTAAGACCCTGTAGGTGGATACTCCGAGATGGATCAGATTCTGAATATGTAATTCGTGATGACTGGCAGATTTCAGCCACCAATGACAAACGACCCATTGTGGTTCGAGCATGGCCCGTTCGCCAATTAATTGCATAGTCAGTGGGTAAACAAGTGGGCCTACGACGATCAAAACAAAGGAAAAAGGTTAAACGAAAGTGTGTTTTTTTTTTATCGAAAATTCTGTTTCTATCACATTCAGGACCTTCCTTACATCCCAAGTGTTACAGTGTATGGGGCGTGGGAACACTAACTACCTCATGTCCTACACGATATAACCCTAATTGTACCAAATTATGGTGTGACAACGCACCTCAGAGTTATTTCTATCCAGCCAGCAATGTACACTGGAATTATTTTTCCCGAAAATGCAGAGCGAAAGTCCGAGCATCTTACCCCACCGGGGGTCGATTTAGTTCGATCTCCAATGTTGAGATCTTTACGCATCATTTTGTACTCGTATGAACTACCTCGTACAGATAGTTTATGCTGTACACCGCTAATTATAGTCTTGTATTACAGCATTATTGTAATCATTGGTCTAGCATTCCCATTTCCGAACATGTTGATGTATAAGTCTCGATTTGGATTTGGATTCCAGCCCAAGAAGTCCGGGGTATGCCATGCATACTATACAAACGGCCATATTATGCTATATTGAACCATATAACTCCCAGGTTCGAGTATTCCATACACATCATATAGTAGATATCCCCCTTTCTTAAGTTTACAAGGCTATAAATGCTGATCAGTTACTGTACTGAGACACTTCATCGAGAGCCCACTATAGAGACTCCACTGAGGGAACTAAGCTTGTACCATGCGGGGCTGGGATATTTTACAGAGACCAGGTTCAGGCCCGAGAGATCGACTAGTGCTTTCCATCAAATTAAAAATGCTGCCACGGCAGTCAATCAACTATTGGCGATAGCAAATCCGCCACTTCTTAGGCGCTCCACAGTCCTGCAGCTGACTTGCGTCGCCCGTACAGCTCGTTTTAAAGAGCGCCGTCGAGATTCTGATTTATCCCCCCTGAGCTGGCCCTTGGTAATTTTGTGTTTCTTCTTTTACTTTATTTTTCCTCCTGACTTAATTTGGCATCATTTTTCACAATGTTAAGGAGACTCTCTACCCAATTCAAGCGGTCTAAGGACTCCAAGGACCCCAAAGACTCCAATGGTGACACGGAGTCCAAGAGCACAGACAAGAGCAGCAAGCGCATGTCGAAGGTCTCGCCAACTCGGAAGTCCACTTCTACTCAGGAGGAAAAGCACGTTGTGAAGCGCTCCGAGGTTGTTGCAGTGTTCGAGAGGTATGCGCAAGCAATTCACGCTTCGCAAGATCCTCTGCCCAACCAGACCAGTGATGGCGCCTACTTGAAGCATGACAAGTCGTCCGGTCTCATCAATGACATCAAGGCACTGGGATTCCGTGATATCGGCACTGTCAAAGACCTCATTGCGACCAAAACCTCCGGCGAACTTATTGATGACAAGACCTACTTGATGGAGCGCATAATCCAGATGGTTGCGGATTTGCCCGGTAACTCCAAGAACCGTACTGAGCTCACCGGTTTGTTCCTGGATGATCTATGGAACTCCATTCCTCACCCGCCTCTTTCGTGAGAAGTCCTAAATTAGAGATTCTTTTACAATTGCGCGCTAATGCTGTGAATAGTTACATGGGAGACGACTACAAATATCGCTCAGCTGATGGCTCAAACAACAACCCTACCCTCCCGTGGTTTGGAGCTGCCAACACTCCATACTGTCGCACCATTCCTCCCCTGACCATTCAACCCAGCGGATTGCCTGACGCCGGCCTGATTTTTGATACCCTCTTTGCTCGTCAGGAGTTCACTCCGCACCCCAACAAGGTCTCCAGTGTTTTCTTCGACTGGGCCTCTTTGATTATTCACGGTAAGTCAGTTCTACCGGAAGTTATAACTCAGGCCCTAACATGTGGGTTCCGTACATAGATATTTTCCAGACCGACTACCGCGAACAGCACCTCAATAAGACTTCTGCTTACCTTGACTTGTCCATTTTGTACGGTGATGTCAAGGCGCAACAGGATCTGATCCGCTCCCACCAGGACGGAAAGCTGAAGCCCGATTGCTTCTCTGAGGGTCGTCTGCAGGCCCTTCCTGCCGCCTGCGGTGTTCTGCTGGTTATGCTGAACCGGTTCCATAACCACGTTGTTACCCAGCTGGCTGAGATTAACGAGAATGGTCGATTCAGCAAGCCCCGGCCTGGTCTGTCCGAAGAGGACACCAAGAAGGCTTGGGCCAAGCGTGATGAGGATCTGTTCCAGACCGGTCGCCTTATTACTTGCGGTCTGTACATCAACATCACTCTGTATGATTACCTGCGCACTATTGTCAACTTGAACCGCACCAACTCAACCTGGTGCTTGGATCCTCGCGCTCAGGCGGAGAAGGCCGGTTCCACTCCTGCTGGTCTCGGCAATCAGTGCTCTGTCGAGTTCAACTTGGCCTACCGTTGGCACTCGACTATCAGTCAGGGCGACGAGAAGTGGATTGAGCAGATCTATTATGACCTTATGGGCAAGCCTGCCGAGCAGGTCACTATGCCTGAGCTACTGATGGGTCTGAAGAAGGTGGAGGGTATGCTCGAGGCTGATCCCGCCAAGCGTACCTTCGCCCGCCTACAGCGTAACGAGGATGGATACTTCGATGACGGAGAGCTTGTCAACATTCTGACCCATGCCACCGAAGACGTGGCTAGCTCTTTCGGTCCCCGAAACGTACCCAAGGCCATGCGCTCTATCGAGATCCTCGGTATCGAGGCTTCGCGTAGATGGAACGTCGGTTCTCTTAATGAGTTCCGTAAGCACTTCGGTCTGAAGGCTTACGACACTTTCGAGGAAGTCAACTCCAACCCTGAGATCGCTAATACTCTCCGCCACCTCTACGACCACCCCGACTACATTGAGCTGTACCCCGGTATCGTCTCCGAGGAGGCCAAGGAGCCCATGATCCCTGGTGTCGGTATCGCCCCGACCTACACCATCTCCCGTGCTGTGTTGTCGGATGCCGTTGCCCTTGTTCGCGGTGACCGCCACTACACCATTGACTACAACCCCCGTAACCTAACCAACTGGGGTTACAACGAGTGCCGCTACGACCTCAACATCAACCAAGGTTGTGTCTTCTATAGACTGGCCACGCGCGCCTTCCCCAACTACTATAAGCCTGACTCCATCTACGCCCACTACCCTATGACCATCCCTAGCGAGAACCGCAAGATCATGAAGGATTTGGGCCGTGAGCAGGATTACTCCTGGGATAAGCCCGCCTTCACTGAGCCTCGAGTCAACCTGACCTCGCACCAGAATGCCAAGCTGGTCCTTGAAAATCAACAAGACTTCCGTCCCAGCTGGGCCCGCTCCATGTCTAAGCTCTTCGGCAAGGGCGAGTTCGACACCAAGCAGCGGGAGGCTATCGCCAAGGCTCTCAACACCGAGGAGTTCCCCAAGCTTGTCAAGACCTTCTACGAAGACATCACCGAGCGTCTGATTACCGAGAAGGGTGGTCAGCTAGGCAAGATCAACCAGATCGACATCACTCGCGATGTCGGCAACCTAGCCCACGTCCACTTCGCCTCTAGTCTCTTCGGCCTTCCCCTGAAGACCGAGCGAAACCCGCAGGGTCTGTTCACCGAGCACGAGATGTACATGATCCTCTCCACGATCTTCTCCGCACTCTTCTTCGACATCGACGCTCCACGCTCGTACGCCCTGAACCGCGCCGCCTCCGCAGTCTCCACCCAGCTCGGCCAGGTCGTCGAGGCTACCGTCAAAGCCGACACGAACAGCGGTCTCTTCGCCGGTATCATGGACAGCTTCCGCCCACACGACAACGCCCTCCGCGAGTTTGGAACCGAAGCTATCCGCCGCATGAAGGAGGCCGGCTCCAGCGCCTCCGAAATCACCTGGTCTGCCATCGTCCCGACGATTGTAGGCCTAGTCCCCAGCCAGGGCCAGGTCTTCACCCAGATCATCGAGTTCTACACTGCGCCCGAGAACAAGATCCATCTGGCTGAGATCAACCGCCTCGCCAAGTCCGACTCTGCCGAATCGGACGAGAAGCTGTACCGCTACTGTCTGGAGGCCATTCGTCTGAACGGCACCTTTGGCGCATTCCGCGAGGCCAAGGAAGCTGTCACTGTCGAGGAAGATGGCAAGACCCACACCATTCAGCCCGGTCAGCAGGTCTTCGCCTCCTTCAACCAGGCCAATCACGACCCCAGCGTCTTCCCTGAGCCAACCCAGGTCCAGCTTGACCGTCCTCTTGATTCATATATCAACCACGGCCAGGGTCCCACCACTGGCTTCGGCGAGCAGATTACTAAGATTGCGCTCATTGCTATGCTGCGTGTCGTCGGTCGTCTGCAGGGTCTTCGTCGTGCTCCAGGTGCTCAGGGCCAGCTTAAGAAGATCCCACAGGAGGGCGGATACTCCGTTTACCTCCGCAGTGACGGAACTTCTTACTCTGCATTCCCCATGTCGCTTAAGTTGCACTGGGATGGACCCTTCGAGCAGAAGGCTGCGTCTTCCTGAGAGTTTCCATTTTGAGGTTTTAAGCTTCTTATATCAAACTGCGAACATGTTATGTGGAGGTAATTAATTTGGGGTCGGCCATGATTTGTATGTCTTTTCTTTGGGAATTTTTTTGTTTTCGGTGGCCTGTTTGGTTGCCAGGATATCCAGAAATTGTTGAATTCAGTGTTGTTTAGTGTCTAGTGAGTAGTTCACTAGTTTCATTTTTCTCTCTCTCTTTAGTGTAACTTAGTAGAGTCGGTAGTTAGAGATATCAAAATCCAATCAAGTTTGAAAATATCATTGCAACTCTGCGTATGCGCGTGATAGTCGAGAGAGGGGCACGTTATTGAGACTGTTTGTGGATTGGTTGCCTGGCGGGTTGACAATGGATGAGGCTATTGTTTACGACAACACAATGGAAGGCTTGACGTGATTGGGTATATGCAAGTTATTGATATCTCAATGATTCATAACCATTTGGGACCGCAAGGGAGTGAAAGTATCGATCTCGACATTGCGTGTTTCTAGTCGACCATTGTCAGTTCTCGCGCTCTTCCCAAGTGCCGGACAAGTGACACTGATATTCTCTTCTTTTCATCGTCAAGATCTGTCGTTGAATACATTGGTGACAAGCTAACATCAAAGGTATCGACCCTAATAATCTTGCTCCAGGAAATCAGTGGAGTCAGGTGAAGTCTATCAAGTCGCTGTCGCGTGTCTGGAATCATCTCACCGCCTTCGCGTTCAGTCCGCAACTCCGATATTCAGTCCAGACCTTCAGGGAACTGGACATTGAATCAAGCTGAAATCAAACGATTTGTATGTTTAAGGGAGAGATTCAGATTGTTTCTTTCTTATAACTAAACAAGCACCCTCTTTGGAGACATTAGACCAGACCCCATATCTTCGATCGGCGGGATTCGCGCCAACCCTTCAACCCGGGAGAATTCAGTCAACACGAGACCACCGAGACCACTCTCCCAATCGGAAAAGTAGGATCGCGCAGACTGGAAAAACCTCGAAAAGCCATCTGCAAGACCCTATACCCTCGATGCAATCCACATGATGTCTCCGGCAGTCTCGGTGGAACTTGTATCGGTTTAGTTTTGCCCGCGATCTTCGCTCGCATATTTTCAACCTCACAGGAATCCCAAGCTTCATTTCTCGAAAACACGAAAGGGAATTAGTGTGCTATTATCTCGATTTCGTGCGCAATACACCATCCTGCTCCACTCGCGACAGCTATGGCGGAGATGGAGGAGGCCGGCGCAAACCATGTGAATGGCTCCGCGGTCACAAAGTCCACAACCAACCCCTACGAAACCAACCCTGATCACATTCCCAGAGATGACCCGTTTATTTTACAGAGCGCGCAGTATGGCCGCTACGCACCCCGCGCCGACGACTTCACCCCTCGCTTCATGAACTGGTATCAGTCTGACCCGGCTGTGAATTCGTTCTGGGAGAAGGTCGCGCAGCAATACTGCACCCCGGAATACTCACTCAATATCTCAAGGCCGGGGGAGGCATTCGCGGTTGGGAGCATAATTATTCGGGTTGACCCCGAACTGGCCGATGGGGCGGTGGCTGAGATATACTCGTCTGTGAATGCGAATGAACTGTCAGCCGCGCAGAAGGCAGAGGACTCGCTCCGAGAGATCGGAGTTGCAGTGCCAGTGATCTATTTTTGCGGGGCAATTGAGGGGAGGAACGTGACGATCGAGTCTCGCATTGCGGGCGTCTCGCTGGAAGTTGCGTGGAGGTATCTCGAGATGGAACAGATCGAGGCCTTGAAAAACCAGTGTCGCCAGATTCTTCAACGGCTCGCGACAATCGATTCACCCCCAGACGAACCATCCTATGTATGCCGCGAACTCAATTCCCAACTTCCGCCCTCCGTCGAGACTCGCGAACGAGACATCCTGTTCACAGAAAAAACCAAGGAGGAGGAACTATATTTGACACACAATAACTTCATTCCGAGCAATATTATTGTCCAGGATAATCGGGTGGTGGGGATTGCTGGTTGGCGACAATGCGGATATTTCGGCACCGTCAGAGCTAAGAAGGTCCACCGACTCTTCAGGGATCTTGGCCCTGCGTCTCAAGATAACGCGGCTAATTCCGAGAAGAGTGTGAGTTGGACCGACCTCTACGATGGTGTCTACGATCCCAGTAAGGGTGTTCCACTGGTCGCAAACCAAGATACACCCCTGCCCTCAGTCAAAACCGAACCAACAAGCTCTACTCTCGACAAATTCCCGGCCAGCGACGACTTGGACCCAACTTTACTAGGACTCGATGGAACGACCGACTACGCGACATCCAAAACATTGGCAAACCTCAAGCATGGGCTAACATCAAGAGCGTCATCGTCCGACCGGTCCTCCCCAGCAAATTCCGTCAAACCAGCGAACAAAAAGCCCGCCACAAGCGCTGCGAAAAAGGGAACCGCAAAGAAACCTGCCGCTAAGAAGCGCAAGGTGAACGATCCAGATGTAGACAGCGCTGATGGGCGACGATCCAACACACCAGCTCCCCGGGCCAGCAAAACACCCGCCAAGAAACAAAATTCCGTCTCGATAGCAGGGTCACCAGCTCCAGAGGAGAAGAAAAAGTCATCGAAGAAGAAGAAAGGACCCAAACAATCTACTGCCCAGGAAAACGATGACTCCGACAGCTTTGATGAAAACGCGATCTTCTGTATTTGCCGCCGACCTGATAACCATACATGGATGATCGCGTGTGACGGCGACTGCGATGACTGGTACCATGGGAAATGCGTCAACATCGACCCTCGAGATGCGGATCTGATCGAGCGGTATATCTGTAAGTCTTCATGCGCGACGGCTTTATTCTATTCGAAACTAACTTTGAAGGCCCGAACTGTGCAAATGCAGGAAAGGGATGCACAACATGGAAACCGATGTGTCGCCTAGTCGAGTGTCGGAAACCAGCGCGCGCCAAGGCGAAGCCCCCAAGCAAATACTGCTGCGATGACCACGGCCGCGAATTCATGCGTAAACAGACCCAGCAGCTTAAACAGCGTGCCCGTCAGACGAATGGTCTTTTTGACGACCTAGGTAGCATGGGTGGTATTCTTACAGCTGGAGACTTGAAAGCCGCCATTATGGGAGTATCATCCACACAAGAATTCCGCAAGCTCGGAGATCGCATCATCTCGCCACCACCACAGATAGACGAGAAAGAATCCGCAGGGCCTGGAGTCAAGGACGAATCAAAGCCGCAGAGCGGCAGATGGTTGGGAGTCGATGTCCATGCGAACGGTATGGAGTACTCCCAGGACGAGATCGCGAAGATCGAAAAGTTGCGCAAGCAGCGCGATGAACTCCTTCATCGCAAGGAGATGCTTGCTGCACGCACAACTTTCGTCTCGCTTCTCAAGCCACGCGCCAAGGGCGTGGTAGAGAAACTGAAGCAGCACGAGCCGAAGGGCGGATGGAAAGATATCTGCGGGTTTGACTCACGACTTTCGTGGTCGGACGAAGAATTCGACGAATGGCGACTCTCCGACGCTGGAAAGAAAGCTCTTGCGGAAGGAACGGCTGAAGCTTTGGCTGTGGGCTCGGCTGGTACTGACGCAGACGGGGATACGGCGATGAATGGCGACACCGATGACGATATTGCATCTTGGACGCGTGGCGTCTGCACTAAGAAGCGGTGCGAGAGACATAAGCAGTGGGTCAAAGTGCAGCAGCAAGATATTCTCTTTGAAGAGGAGACGGCAGAGCAGGACCTCGCCAGGTGTGAGGAGGAAGCTCGGTCTGTGGTGGAGCGGGGTGTGATGAGACGATGGGCCGAGAAGGATAATCAGGCTTGAATGCCGAATGGGATTTTCTCAAGAGTGTAGATTTCCATGGCCGGCCGAATTCCACATAACAAAAGCTTGATACCCCTTGCGGAGAGGCAAAAAAACTCATGGACTGGAGTTGGTATTTTGCAGATTTTAATATAGCTAGATGGTATTGGCTGGGTATTTGGGCCAATTGCATACAAAGCGGCGCTTTTCGATGGGCGGATCTGTCATGTTTAAGAGCATTATTTGTAAGAGTATGAACAATTGCATCGAGATCGATCAAGGTCATCTTCCTCTAGCGACATAGCAAATGGTATCATTCATTGCTCGTTCCATATTCCCCATTTCCCTAGACTCGTACCAACTCGATCCTTGATCACTTCGACTATTTGAGCCCCTCTCAAATCAGAAAGCAACAGATGGGTATCGATGCCTTGGTCTAGCGTCTTCATGAGCAAGGTTGGGAACAAGGAAGGAATATCCGAATGGAAGATGGAGTGGATGCCATCTTCTAGCGGCTGCCTCGCAGCGTTATCTTCGGTAGTATTTCCAGCCGACGATTGGTGTATATCCCACCCCAGTCCATTAGTATTGACAAGAATGATCGAGAGATGAGACGCGTGCACACGAGACAACCGCGTCAAGGTGCGGAGTGTAGCTGTCAACACGGCTGTACCTCGAGCCGGATTAGATGCTCGAATTATGCCTTCGGCTAGGGTATCGAGGCCCACAACAATGAGTACAATGGGGTTGTGGGGGGATGGGCTTTCTTCGGTCGGTTTTCTCTGCTCTCGCTTTTCTTGGATCTCATGCAGCGCTTCCGATACCTTACTGATGGCCTGAGCGGCGTTGGGGAAGTTGTGTATGGGAAGTAACTGCACAGAGTCAAGTCTATGAATTGCATCATCCCTCGATAGACCGGGGTGGTCATGGGAGGAAGACTGTAGCTCATTCAATAGAGTTCTTGGGGCGAAAGCCTCGAAACTCTGCGGGTGGATAATGAATGCGCTCGGTTCAGATGATGGATGAAGACTCCGCAGGTGGTTTGTGAGAATACATCGAGGAATCTAAGGTAAATATTAGTCTCAATGACAATGCAGCGAGTAGTTGAGTCGGTCATACCTGTCCGATATACTCGTTGCTTTCGTTGCTTCTCATTCGCAGCCTGGAGAAGCCGAGGACGACCCCGCACCGAAACACTGATTCCTTGGAGGATTGGATACCCTCTTTCCAATCATTTTTGAGGTTCCAGTCATTTTTGGCAGTTTTCTCATTTGAAAGAGCTGTATTTTCCGTTGACGCTCGTCGAAGTAGAGAATCAGCAAGGACTGGGAATGCAGGCTCTGCCGAGTAAACATTTGGTGCGCTTGCCATGGCTCCCTGTATATAAATCCTTGTTAAGTTGCTATAGTCTTGATATCAGGATTTATAAACTGTAGATGAAGTGAAGAGCGAGTTGTTGATGATAAGGTCAAAAAAGTGGATATTCCCCGATTTGGTCTAGCCCCATGAGCTTTCCTACTTTTAACGTTCAGTCTATTTTGCTTTAGATGCTGGGATGATTATTTTGATATTACTCTGATCATGTATTGTGATGGGAATAGCTAGACAACAAGATGCTCAAGATACAATTCTGGCCAAAGGTCAAGGTCGCCTCCACACTCCTTGCCCATCATGCACCCAACCCTCATCTCCGATAGCATCGTCCAAAACGGCTAGCAGATCCTGCCGTATGGCCTCCACATGTAGGTCACCACTCCTGAACTCTTTCAAGTCGGGCATTTTATTCATAGTATACCCGATCAGAGAGTACGAGGTTGTAAGTTCCATCCATGGATCATTAGGGTCCATAGGCCCTCGCTGTTCGAGCTCGGTGATGCGATTATCCTGAAGGGGGGCCAACCGTACATCAAGACGACGTAGACGATGCATCCTCGCAATAGCGTCGAGTACAACTTGTGAGTGATTGAAAAATGGAAAAACGGCTGTGTAAGAAAAGTGTTCGAGGCCACATAAGAGAGTTGGCAGGTCGATTGGGCGTTGAAGCGAAGAGGTTGGTCCGCGTGGTCCACTTGTACCCCATTCTGCCAGAACCGATGGGACGCAAGACAAGAAGTACTCATAGTGATTGTATGATTTCAGAGAAGATGCCTCGTTGAAGGTCATCGATGTCCATGGTCGAGATGCGAGAAGACTAGTAGAATTCTGGAAGTCAGGAAGCTGGGATGGGTGACGAGGTTTACACTCTCGTTCCAAAAGCAAAATCTGTAGAGGCATATCGAATGCCCACAGGTGTCCATCATTGATCGGGCTAGCTAGAGTATTGCCAATGAAGAGTGGCGGCCCAACTACTAGAACACGGCGAGGGTCTAGATAGCGGAGGACTCGACGCCACCAGAATGGGTCAACCTGACGATCTTCGATAACCTCATGGTCTTGGGTTTTATCCACGAGTACGACGAGCGACATCACATTTTGACAGAGATCGGACTTGACCATAAAAGAATGGAAGTCGAGTTCGTCATGGAGGTCGAGTCGGACATAAGTGAATAGTACAGGTCGCACAAGTTGAAATAGGCGTCGTGAGCACTGTCCCAGATTTTTGAGGTCTTTCGTTGGAGATTGGGTGAGTTCTAGACTGGGTGTACGATGTACTTGTCCAAATGACGGTGGCTCCGTAGATAAGTAGGAGATAATTTGATCTAGGAGCTCAGTGGGGAGAAGCTCCAAAGAAGACGCTAAGGCGGACATGGTAGATTGCTCATGCCTAGGGCGTGCTGCATTACTAAGACAGTCAGGATATCCATCCACTAAGAGCAATGAGAATATAGAGTGCAGATGGAAGTCGGCTGAGAGAGTGAAAGTGAAGTGCCGGGATTTCCCCACTCAAATTGATGGGCTGGCTCAAGGGATCCACTGAACCTCTGTAATTGGTGACTTAGCGAATGGTCTTTTCAGGATGTTTTTTGTAATTTATTGTTGTGTATGAGATATCTTGAAAGGGAAGTTAGAAGGAGAAGTTAGAAAAGGGATTGGAGAAGACAAATAGATGGAATAGCAAGGGACGACAGAGAGAAAGTTGAGACATGGGGATGTATAGAAAGCATGTGGTCTGTGCGCTCTATGGCAACCGACCTCGGACATCAAAGAAATCAGGGGGATTTAGAATACTCCAGGTCTATTCCCCAACCCCACATTATATTATCATGTACTATGTACTTATATCCATATAGACTCTGTTTAATATGTCCTATTCAAATGAATAATTGCCTCTTGAAAAAACACCAACCTAAAACAAGAAACGAAATCAAGAAACTATGTACAAACTCGCAGGCTAAATTGGTCCATGTGGAGAGCCTCAGCGTTGTAATGTGGGGCAAATGCCTATCACGGCTGGATACGCTGGGGAGCCCGGATGAGATGGCAATGGCAATGGCAATGCCCCTCTTCTAATTTATCCATTTCCCCCAAATTTCCTTCCTTTCTTCTCCAGAAATTTGTTCTAGTAGATTTCCAAGGTAAGATATTACTGCACCGTCCTAGAAACAACGCTCACTGTCTCTCGCAGTAATCTATATACTCCATTCACAATGGCCCCTCAACTTCACCAGCGTCCTCCTTTCCGCGCAGAGCACTTGGGCTCTCTCTTGCGTCCAGACCAACTTCTGGACACCAAGCTCGCTTTTGAGGCTGGCAAGATCCCCGAGTCGGAACTGACAACTTGTGAGGACAAGGAGATTAAGTCCATCGTTGAGACCCAGCAGAAGCTTGGCTATGCCGCGATGTCCGATGGAGAGTACCGTCGTCACAGTAAGAGATCTAAAGAGCCATTGAGTGAGTTGTGTTGACAGATATAGTGTTCTGGGGTACTTTCTTCCCCGGTTTGGACGGCTTCGAGGAGGTCACTGATGTCGATGTGGATGATTTCCGTCCCTATGCCCCCGATATTGCCGCATTTTTGGAGGCTGGCCACAAGCCCGGTGAGAGCGTCATCTGTACCGGCAAGATCAAGCACGTTGGTAGCACCTACATCGACCAGTTCAAGTACCTCGCCAGCCAGGTCCCTGCCAACGAGGTCGGAAACCTGAAGATCACTCTTGCCGCGCCTAACTGGTACCACCTGCGCTACCGTGAGGGCAAAGCTTACCCCAAGTCTGTATACACCAATGATGAGGATTACTTCGGCGACATCGCCAAGGCCTACCAGGCTGAGCTTCAGATCCTGTATGATGCCGGCTGCCGTAACGTCCAATTCGACGACCCTAACCTGGCTTGTAAGATATTACCCATCTGGCGAAATATTGAGTAAATTAACCTTTCACTTAGACTTCTGTTCTGAGAAGTTCCTCACTGGCTTCAAGGAGGACCCTCTGAACGTGTACTCCGCCGATACCATGTTCGAGAAGTACATCAAGCAGTACAACGACTGCTTCGCAAACCTGCCCGCCGATATGCACGTTGGTGTCCACCTCTGCCGCGGTAACTTTGTCGGCAGCCGTCACTTCTCTGAGGGCGGTTACGACCGTATCGCCATCAAGCTCTTCCAGGAGCTGAACGTACACACCTACTACCTCGAGTATGACACCCCCCGCGCCGGTGGTTTCGAGCCCCTTAAGTTCCTGCCTACCCACAAGAACGTCATTCTGGGTGTTGTCACTAGCAAGTTCGCCAAGCTTGAGGATAAGGAGGAGATGAAGAAGCGGGTCATTGATGCTGCCAAGTTCATTGCTGAGGGTAACAACATCTCCCTCGAGGCCGCGCTTAATCAGGTCGGTGTTAGCCCACAGTGTGGCTTTGCTTCCCACCGTGAGGGTAATGCTATCGACTGGGACGGTATGATCAACAAGCTGCAGCTGGTCCGTGATATTGCCAATGATATCTGGCCCAACCAGGCCTGAACTGGTGTTTAGGCTTTTAAAATTCTGATCAATAATGCCATCCTCCTGGTTACTTTTCAACATATGTGACAGGAATTTTTCAACAAACGTGACACGGCTTGGGGTTTGGGTTTTGCATGGCGCTTTTTTTACAAGATACCTCTGACGAACCTTGGAAGGTTATGATGATTAGTTTGGATGAGCACCTGATGCCTTTATTAAGATTCTTAAATATACTCAACGAGCTTCTTCCAATCCAAATTCTTTTCTCCCTCTCATTGTAACGCCAGAATCAATAAGGTCTCTCCAAAACTGTCTGCTTACATGAAACACGAACCCCAGCCGTAGCCTTTCGGCTATCTCCCGATATCAAATAGCCTGCATCAAAGACCGTGCCAGTTCAAGCTTGTGAGGCATAACAATATTCTCCTTAACCAACTTCTCAATAACACGCACAGTCCACCCCTGACAGTTCTCCGTAACAGCCTTCCGATTCTCCGCTTGCGGAGGAAGCTCAGACTCCGCAGCCTCTTTCACCACCCTCGCCGCCCTAGCCTGATCTTCTGACACAACAGCCAAGGTATAGACGTTTGAAGTGAGACCCGCATCAACGACATTAACCTTTTCAGCTGATGGCTCGTATTTCATATTCTCTGCATCCCCGGTGACTTGGTAAACATAACCGTAGTCAGGCTCGTTTTCGTCAGCAAGGAATAGTGCCCAATGGTTGGGTTCTCCGGGGGCTTGTTCTTCTTGGACGAGATAGAGATAGAGATGGGGGGTTTCGACTGGTGGCTTCAACTCCTCCGGATTGGATTTGTCCTCGGTCCACTCCTGTGCACCTTTCTTCCTGAAGTATGTACGGCCATCGACCTCACATACTTCTCTGAAACCCCTTGTCTTGACAGAAGTACCTGGTGGTGGAAAGTCGTTCATCGTCTGGGAGAATTAGGTATTAGTATCCTGTTTCTCTGTGGACTTGAACAGATTTACTAACACCTTCCCTAAAATTGTCGGTTAATTTAGTTCAGGTTTTGAATGAAGTGTTTTGGTGAAGTTGTGTAGGCAGACAGGTGACGGAACCAATCAAACATAATCAAATGTACAGGGATCTTTCAGCCTCATTATCACATTTCTACGTCATTTAAGGACTATTAAAGAATACATATCAAAATGATTGAATCTCTTTTCTATTCGCAAGATAGATGTTGAAAGATCTCAATGTAACAAAACGTTCTCGTTGGAGGTTCCAATCATTCTACGTGTACCCCTCTCATATAGCTCGATGTAAATTTGCAATATCCTACACTTTCTCAAATAAACACCTAATTCCTTGAATACTAAAACCTCTAGACAAAGCAATTCAGCTCAATTTAGTATGCTAAGTCATATACATCTTCCTCTGGAAGACAACATGTCACTCCGCCGGTCCCGTAATGTTGCCTTCCTTGATAGAGGAGCTCTTGTGGGTATGCATGTTCTCGATCATATAGCGCGTCTCGTTGTCTGACGAGCTACGACCTCCCAAAGTTTCACGGATTACCCCGACGCTTCTACTTGTTCTGGATTGCGCGCCTACCAAGCTTCGTTAGACAATTCATTTTTGGACATGTATATATAGGAAAGGGTGCATCATACCACCAACAGGGGTGTAATTAACTTTGTCCCCTTCTTTGTATTGAGGCATTGCTGTTTTTGAAACAAATGACAGTCGTAATGGAAGTGGCAGATGTTGGAGTTTGGTTGAATTGAGAGATTGGATATGTCCTGGTTTGTATAGATGTGTGTAGACGAGCAGAGTAGGGCAGTCTTTCGGTGTTTGTAGATAGTAGATAGAGTCTTTCCAAATGGATCAAGTCTTGCAAGAGTCAACTCTAAAATGTTATTCTATTTATATTTGCCCTCGAGGGAACGAGTTCCGCTATCATCATATTGAGGTAACAGGAGAAACAAGCTGACTGGATTGGAATTGATATGAACATACGGATCTAACGCGGAGGTCGGCTCCGTGGACAAGGATGAGATGGAAATTTGATCACGCACTTTGACCGGGAGTATGTCATATGATTCTATTTTCTATAACCAATGCCAGAACTTGTCTTCTCTGTTTTAACCAATGTGTACAAGTAAGCGCATTCACAATTGACCGAAACTGTACAAACGATAACGCTAGGTAGAGCGCACAATGAAATTAAAGTATTAAATTGGACCCAACAAGCCCATATAAGAACAGAGGGGATATCATAGAAGTGAAAGTAAACGGAAAAAAGCAACGAGATAACTAAGGCCAACAAAAGAAAAGACCAAGGAAATAAAAGCCCAAGGAAATAAAAGCCCAAAATGCTGCGTCGTCTTGTCATCAAAACACGGACATGAGGAGAGAAGAGAAAACACTTGTCGGATAATGCGAGATGTTATACAACGAAGCTGCTGTGGGAGCGCCTCTCGAAATCACAGCGGTGTATCTTATTTCTGGGGCTGGGTCTTGACATTGTTTGAGAGCCAGGCCTATCAGAGAGAGCACGGTTAGATTGAGGTTACCAAGTTGATAGATCAAGGAAACGACTTACAAGACCCTCGAAAATACCTGTTCCATCAGTTGCAACACTGGGTGCAACGTACCACAGCTTGTCCTTGAGCTTAGTCAATTGAAGCTGCTGAGTAATTTCCTCCGGTGACAAGTCTACATAAGTGGGTTAGTGGACAGATCATCGAATTCTAGGAACAGGAGATACGCACGGCCAGGAATATCTTGCTTGTTGGCGAACACCAGAAGCAGAGCATCCTTCATTTCACGATCATTGATGATCTTGTGTAGTTCCGAGCGAGCCTCCTCCACGCGTGCCGTATCGCTGGAGTCAACCACGAAGATCAATCCTTGTGTACCGGAGTAATAGTGTCTCCAGAGCGGTCGGATCTTGTCCTGACCACCGACATCCCAGACATTGAACTTGACGTTCTTGTAGGTCACACTTTCGACGTTGAATCCGACGGTTGGAATGGTGGTAACGTCCTGGTTACTGAGTTTAAGTTTGTAGAGAATTGCTAAAAGGAGTTAGCCAATGTTGACGGCGTTTATTTAGGTCCAACATACTTGTCTTTCCAGCAGCATCCAAACCCAACATGAGGATGCGCATTTCCTTGGTACCGAATATCTTCCCCATCATTTTAGATACTTGTCCACCCATTTTTGCGGGATTTGGCGCGGTGTTCGAATGTGCTCAAGAGCTGTTTTGCGGAATATCAACGATTGTGACCCGCGTATGAATTGCGGGATTGGAAGAGAGGGTATAAGGCACCGGACGTTTCCGTACAAGGTAACTTTTCAGATAACTCCAACGAAAGGATAGGGAAAAAAAAGAGAAAAGAAGGTGTGGTGTGGGTTGAGGATCTTCAATTCAATTTCCCTGGAGGCGGGGGAACCTGGAAAAGGGGCTTGGGCTGGGCTTACTCATCAATTGTCTCCACGAGGTACGGAGTACACGAGGCAGTTTCATCTTGTCGGTTTCATATATATATCCTTTGAACTTGTTATTATTGCTGAATTTCATACCAAAAACACTTTTCTATTAACTGGTACCTGTCCCTGGATTATTATCTAAGACGGATAAATATCACTCCGGTTGTACCATGGACCATCACGGGATATATATAATAGCCCTGGAGTGTAGGATGTCATTCTTATATGAAGACGCACTCAATGACGATTGTACTTATGCTACTCCAATGTAGTATTTTACCCCTTTGTTGAATATAGTAACAACACGAATAATTTTAGACCTTGAAAAGGCCAAGAACAGATTTCTCAAATTATCGATCTGTCGTTACGTCATGACTAAAATGACTTCACCCATGCGATACCACATCTATAGCTGGCAGCATCTTCTTTGATTTCTAACTTGGATAACTTCGAGATTCCGTGAAATTCTAATCATGCCTGGCGTAGGACATAAGTTCGAACGCCAAGCGTCAGTCACGCAACAGCGTCGACTGTCGCTACAGTTCGAGCGCAACGCTTGGTTAGGGCCGCCATCAAATGTATGATCTTTTGAACCACCAGGAAAAACCGCTACTTGATTCTGACAGGGATATTAGACTATCTACGCTGGTATATCCGGCAAGTTTGACGATCACGGTACATCAACAATAGCAATTGCAGTTCGCGATACCACATATCTACTGGACTTCATCGAGAAAGAGTTCTCAGACAGTCACGCATCCGAAGATGAAGTCATCGAATTCATCATTTCCAAGTCGAAGCAGTATACTATGGACCATATGGAGAAACTTATCGGGATATCAATGCCTGAAGATGTTGCACGACACTGCCCTCGACTATGCCCTCGCCTTTGGGCGGAGCTCGATATTGTTCCATTGGTCCTGTCGAACGTGTCACTAATAGACAGAATGAGCGTCGAACAGGTTGGCGAGCCTCAAACTCAGCCAATAAATGGGTGGGATGCAAAGACAATTGATGAGCAGGCTGAATCCATGGCACGAAAAGGTGTTAGGTTGGTTGGTCCCGTTCAATATCATGAAAGAGCTCACTGACTCCGACTGTGCAGACTATTTGGGCCGGAAAACACACCCCTTCTACAAGTGGGCTTCCTCGGTCTCGTAGAAGTGGATACAGCCTTCCATGTGAGACTTGCGGACCTGAGTGATTTCAAGAAAACAGTTTCGGATAGAACATGGTCCGCAGTGCAACACTATGCCACTGATTTGAAAGAGCGCAAGGTCAAAGTGGCATTTTTCAGTGCCACGCCTCAGGGTGGTGGCGTGGCTTTGATGCGGCATGCTCTTATGCGATTTTCGCACTGTCTGGGTACTGACATGAAATGGTGTGTCCTACTATATATGTGATTACAAGAATGAAGACTAACTTAATGCTCGAAGGTACGTCCCGAAACCACGACCGGGTGTCTTCAGGATAACAAAAACGAACCACAATATCCTGCAAGGCGTCGCCCATAAGAGCGAGCGCTTAACCCCACAGAACAAAAAACTCCTGCAGGAGTGGATTGAGGAGAATGCTAGGCGATATTGGACTCGACTAGGTGGACCTTTGCTTCCACCATCAGAAGGGGGTGCCGATGTCATAGTCATCGATGACCCCCAGATGCCAGGCCTTATCCCCATCGCAAAGGCACTAGCTCCAGATCGACCAATCATCTTCCGAAGCCATATCCAAATCCGAAGTGACCTGGTTGCGATACCTGGGTCTCCACAGGCGGAGGCCTGGGAATTCCTTTGGGATAGTATCAAACACGCCGACTGTTTCATCAGCCACCCTGTGAGCGCCTTCGTGCCGCGGAATGTGCCCGCAGATATGGTGGGCTATATGCCTGCATCAACTGACTGGTAAGAGCCGAAAATTCTAATAATCTGGTTTTATATTTCTTCTCACTGACGGAAACGTAGGCTGGATGGGCTGAACAAAAACATGCGGGACTGGGACGTGGCGCACTATGGCCGTATCTTCAATTCAGCCTGTCGCAACGCGGATATGCCAACTATCCAATGGCCCGAGGGTTAGTAGCCGAACAAGCAAAAGTGGTGATGATTAGGTTCCTAAAAGCTAACCAAAACTAGATTCATATATCGTACAGATCGCACGATTCGACCCGTCAAAGGGTATCGTGGATGTGTTGGTTTCATACGAGAAATTCTACAACAAACTAGTAGCCGAAGTGCCTCATGTGGTCCCTCCCAAGCTATTGATTTGCGGACACGGATCAGTGGATGATCCTGATGGGGCGGAAATCTACGACGCGACAATCGACTATGTGGACAGAAAGATCCCAGATATCCGCCACCTGATCTGCGTAATGCGGGTGCGGCCCTGCGACCAAGTTCTGAACGCCATTCTCTCCAAGGCGACAGTTGCACTCCAATTATCTACATCCGAAGGGTTCGAGGTGAAGGTCTCCGAGGCGATCCACAAGGGCAAACCAGTGATCGCTACGCGTGCCGGCGGCATCCCGCTGCAGGTGACGAACGGGAAGAATGGGTTCCTGGTTGATGTTGGCGATACCGATGCTGTGGCGCAACACTTGTTTGAGCTCTGGACGGATCAGGATCTGTACAATCGCATGTCGGAGTATGGAATCAACAATGTCAGCGATGAAGTGAGTACCGTGGGAAATGCTCTCGATTGGCTTTATCTCTGCACCAAGTTGTCTCGTGGCGAGCCTGTTCGACCCAACGGACGCTGGATCGATGATATGGCGTTTGAAGAGATTGGCCTTCCGCAGAAAGATAGTGAGCTGCGGCTCACACGCGCAGTTAAGGTGGAGAATATGGGGTGATTGTATTTATTTTTTTGTTTTTTTGACTTCTCCTTAAATCACATATTAGTACATACATGTACACAAAGTCAGACAATCTGCCACAGTAGATACTTAATTGGTATCGCGATATCATTAAAAGTAGCAGAGGGGGTATCACAAAATCAGAAAAACCAAAGACAAACCCAGAAACCTCTTAAGGCCGTCCAACAACCCGATACCGTTCTCTAGCCATACCCCCCTCCGCTCCCTCAACACCATAACCTTCCCCAACCTCACCAACAATCCTCGCCGGCCTCCCACCAACAATACACCAACTTGGCACAACCATACCAGGCGGGACAACCGCACCATCAAGCACATAAGCATAGTCCTTGATAATAGCCATACTGCCTACAGCAGCTCCCTTCCCAACATGAACATGATTTCCCAGCGACGCTGCCTCAACAACAGCGCCCTCGCCGACAAAAACATGATCACCGATCTTGAGCGGGTAGAACGAGTGCACGCCACGGTGCAACCGACTTGGCGGACGTAAGATCGCGCTCTTCGAGATGTAACTGTATCGTCCGACTGTGATTGCCACGCTGGGCGTGCTGGGGTTCGATGCTGCTGCGGAAGGGTCGGTGGGAGTGGGCACTGTTGCGGTGCGGAATAGGTCACCGCGGATTACGGCTTCGGCTTGAATTACCGTTTTGCCACCCAGGATGATGTGTTGCGTGCCATGAATTTGGGACCTTCGGGAGATCTTGTTTCCTGTGTCCTGTTTTTTAGATTAGGTTGAGGTTCTTTTTGTTTTGAGGTGGGAGATTCGCTGTGAATTTGCTCCGAACTGAGAGGGTAAGTGGGCTTTGCTTACGGTCTCAATGTATTCGCCCTTTGCTGCCTTTGGTGGAGGCATGTTGAGGAGGCTTAGGTGTGTTTCCTGTCGTGAGTTGTTGCAATTGTTGAGTTGGAGTTGGGACACATATCTTGACCCCGGGATAGTAGATGCGGCAGTATAATAGAAGGCGGTGGAGGTAAATAATGACGATTTTGATAGACCGATTTCTCAACACTTATCACCCGCTAAGCCCGAGTTACCTCTCGCACGACATACACTTCGTTTAATGCCTCTCCATTTGATGCATCTCATAGTCCGCTACTCAGGTGGGTGAAAGGTAGAATTCAATGCTATTTTCCCACTTCGTACGCGGCAATATAATCTCCAATGACGCTTCTAAATGTTGCGGATCCGAAGCTCTCAAAGCTCATTTTAATCCTTACTGGCGAGGTAAAATTTGCCTCATGGCCCACCACGACTAAGTGCGTACTTAATACTCGAGACCCTCAGCTTGTTGAAATCCTTCAAAAGGCAAATATGCTTAACTGGCCCCGGAAATTCCCTCAGTTGCCGAGTAGAATTGCAAGCCTCGCTACCAGCTTCGAGAAGTTCCACAAGTAGGTTTTTCTCAAGGAGAACGACGTGCGCCACTATTTTTAAAGATTCATTATCATGTAGCACACCGCTCACGCCGATTTTCAAATTCGTCGGGGCATACGGTTAGCCGTATATTTCCACTTTTGGTTGTACTTCCCCTTTAGGCGCTAAACCAGCTCTTTTTACAATGTGCTTGCTTCACGACGAAAGTGCCACTTATAGGTGGAACTACTTCGCATAGCTCTATGATTGCATGTTGCTTGAGGGAGGAGGGTGTCAAACTTCATTTCTCAACTCTTCTATATAGTCACCATGCATCTATCTCAACGCCAATTTGTACTCCTCTCTAACAGTTCTAATTTGACTTCCACTTCTATTCCATCACCTCTGTTAGGGGTGTATGGAGAAGGGAAAGTAGATGTCGCTCACGCGTAGTTACACTCAATGCCATATCATCCTGTACCATCGCCGCCCAATGGTGAATTCCCAGCCTCTTCCGATTTCCACCGTTATTTTCCAAAGGAATGACACACTAATTGCTGTTAAACAGCGGAAACTGTTGCCAGAGGCGTATGTGGACGATGGTGCACGATAGAGTTTGTTTGTCCCGCAAAGATTTATTATGTATTTTGCAGATTTCTTAAATTAGAAATTTGTAGTTATACTTGGCAAGGATGTAGGCAGGAGATAAGTGGATACTTAGCTGCATACAAAAGACCTGCAACTAATTGGAGAGTAACTGAGATGGTAATATGCTTTCACCATTGTCATGTGGATACCTCCACATACATGAAGTCGAAGACACAAAGACAAGTAGGTATTCATCAGATGATAACGACCATCGAAGTAATAACGAACAATTGAACCTCTCGACGGGGAGTGTGTCTAGGTCATTTTCCAATTGCTTTCTTTGTGTATAGATCAAGTATATGGCATGACTGGTATCTCATCAGTTCCTCTTCAATATAGGTACGGGTCTGCTAAGACCAAAGGGAAGGACGATATAGATGGGCCTAGCGTTTCAAATGATAAATCTATTTATGTATAGGTGATCGACTTTTCGGGGTTTCAGATTATATCCCCACAAGCAACCCTAGATGGTGGCGAGTGAGGGATTATACACAGTTATGTTGTATGTGACAAATAGAAACCTATAGACAAGAATGATAACTGTGTTGTCCTTATCAAAAAGCATCACAACCAACTTGCGTAATGGTCTAGGCATTTGTAATGGCCCTGCCGTTCATCCCAGATCTGGTTTTATTCTGTGACAGTATTTTTTGAATCAGCAATCGAAGATCCTTGAGTAGCAGCATGCATACCGCATGGAGCCATCGACCATGTGGCAAGACGTTTCAAGTAAAAATAGAACCGGACAGGTTCCCGGATGTCAGGTACAGGAGCCAAATAATCAGACACTGACAGATTGCACAGACAGGATTGCGACATACAGCGAGCTGCATGATCTGGCCAATGGTTGAAGGGAAACTTATCCTATACATGAGAAAGAGGGTCTTAAGCTATGGAAGCTTGCTGTTCTAGGCAGGTGTGAGACTAAAGTAGTAAATGATCGCTGTTAGCGGAGATGCTGCGTCGGTGCTGTGGTAGCTTCATTGAAGTGTGCTCGGGCTAAACAGACCCCCTGCGAAGGGCCCAGGTCTGGGACGCTATAGACTGCACTTAACTGACGCGCTAAGGACTGCGAATCAGTATCCTTGACGTATATACAGCATAGGTAATTACTCCGTATATATTATTAGGCACGCGTATATATCCTGTAGGCACGGAGTACATAAATTAGAACTTAGGGCAAACCAGTTTCTAGTTGTAGATGCCGAGCTCTGAATGTGTTTGAGATATACTTCCCTAAGCAGCTTAGACCTCTATTCTTCAGAGTTGTTTAATATATAAGACAAAGAAAATAAATTTTCCGGTTATATAAATGGTAATTTACGGCTAACAGAAGCGAGCCCTAAAGGGGAGGATGGCCTTTGACTGGGTAAAGCCACTTTTACACCTGGGCAACCGTATGGACATATCACCTCATTTCCTTTTAGCTTCATATTCGAACTAATCCAAATTCAATGTACATTTACGCCGTGGGAGGGGCAGGATATTGCATGAAAAAACTTTCCAATTTCTTTTTACCCCAGTCTTTGCCATGTGGAGCTTTGACTTGCGCCTAATATCCTGGAAATGTTTTCCCAATCTCTCCTGAGTGGGGGCTAATTTTCCCCCTTCGGCTTACTATACCCGTGAACCCTGTCCCTGACGCATCGATCTCTCAGATGCTACTCCGTAGTTTGCCCGACACTAGCTGTTTTGGCCCCCAGAGAACATTCGACCGGCTATTTTGACCAATATACATACACCGGACAAAATCGCGCTAATCTGCAGATACTGGCCGTTATCCTCTGTTTTAGTATTTCCACCGCCGTTTGCAGGGCAGAACTCCCCACAATAGCTCCACCAAGGCGATCATGGCCGAAAGCAGTATATGGTTTGGTTTTTGTATAATTAGCACCTTGGTTTCGATGTTTTCAATGATTCTTTTCTATTTTGGAACCGTTGCGTATCTAAGTTTCAGAGTGATGGGGCAGTCTTTCATGCCTTATAGGTAGATCAAACAGCATGCATGGCATCAAAGATCCTTGACGATCATCAGGGGTCCATCTTACTGCATACACTCACAATCGGAAAATAATCACAGCCCGCCCTATTCAATTCATACAGATGCTCTTAGTTCATTTTCTTCTAAGACATTAAGATTGCAATTGATACTGCAGGTACTATCACATTGCGGGACATTAGTGGCAACTACGCACGGGCGAGAGATTGATTGAACCTGTAGCTAGTGTATAAATCTGCACTAGTTATATTACTGTGGGGATGAAATGAAAGAGCTTAGTCCCCTTCAGAGCTACAACATATGGCTGTCAGATTGATCGGCTGTAAAATAACAAAGAAACAATGAATTTCTTTGTCGGCAAACCAAGGTAAATTGGATGTACTATAGAATCAATTCACAAGTGTGGAAGACCTCATTGTTGTAGAGTTAAATCGAAGACTCGAAAAAGCCATTGTAAACTGTCTCGGTATTCAGGTATTCAAATTTTTGACGTATAGAAGACCTCAAATCCCTCACGTTCCTCTCATACTCCACAGAGCATTTTTACACTGCCAATCAGCTAAAGGGGAAAAAAAGAGAAAAATAGAGAAAGATACAAAAAAATACAAGAAAAATCGCACTTCTCTACTCCGTGCTTGCAGAATGACATCTGATTCAGAACTCCAAGCGAGTGTGTTCATGAACGGCAGGGGCCGAATTGCAGATCCCCACGACAACCTACCGGACTTCTGCTGGGTCACAGCGCATTTGCCCGAGAGTATGTCGTGTGACCGGCAAAGTGACGAGGAGATTATAAACCTAGTACTTTGCAAGATCCAGATTGGGAATGTCATCATTGGTGATAGTCCCCTGCATAGTCTAGGGTTCTATTGCATTTCTTTACCGGTGAAAGGCACACCGGCGAACACCGCTGAAGTTCTGTCTTACGCTGAAACACTCACAGAATGGTGGCTCATGCAGATTCGACTGGGTAGAGCCTGTCTTGACCAATATAGTATTTTTGAAGCTACCACACGCTCACTAGAGCACACTAATAGCCTAGAAGATGTACCTCATGGGTGGGGACTGTCGCGGTAACTCGGCGTATATATATGGTGGAGAGTGAAAAATTTGTTCCTTTTTGGGACATCGGAAATGCCGGAATATGGCGAATATTTACCGGTGATCGACTGAAAATGTACCAAAGAGGGAATGCCGGAAACTCGCGACAGGCAAAGGTGGGGGCGGAGAATTGGGGATAGTCTCATAGTTTAAAACTTGGAAAAATTTCAGTTGTCAATTATGATAATAATGATAGTGAATCTTTAGAGTTTAGATTGAGGCCTGTGCCCTACTAATTAAATCGTTTATACGCCATTAACATGTTCGATGGATGAAATAGCGAAAATATCTCACATAGATAATAGGCACATATTGCAAATTTTCTAGATATTTTAAAATGCTACTGCATCATTTACAACGGCCTACTCCATATATATCGTCAACATAAGCGCAATTAAGCGAGATATAATACAATGTAGACGAGATGATCGGCAAATTTAGATATAGATAATAATAGCGCATCACCGTTGAACATGAAACTTCCCGAACTTCCCCCCTGCAGAGATCTCCCCTTTCAGCCCCCACAAAACAATTTAAATTATTTTGAACAACCTGGTATCCATGTGTATTACCCCTTGCAGGTTTTCCTGCAAATCATGAACACTTGAAAAGTCATGCAATGCTTCAACCTGAAAGCCAAGACACTAACGGATGGAGCTCGCCCGAGACCCTATGTTGTAGGGTCTCGACACGTGCGGTTCTCTCCATATATGTGGTTCCACGGTTCCGCTTTTCCGTCCACGTGTGGCAAGATATGAGAGATTCCATATGATTATAACTATAGCTATCACAACCAGGGGGATTATATGATGATCATTTTTAATCTGCAACCTCACACGGGCAACTCAGGGCATCACACAGACTGTAGACCGGGTAGAGAGCCGGGTGTCTACCCGGGCACATAGAATTGATGATTCGACGCGGTGGAGCCCTATCTACTTGCTCTAAAATATGGGCTTGATAGATCAAGACTAGCCTAATATGGAGGAGACAACATGAGAAGTCAGTTTTCCCCTGGAGGGGGATGATCTTTATCGACTATGAAGCCCTAGTTGGGGGTCACAATTCCACTATAAGCTGGTGCATATGGCCCCCAAGCTAAACGTGTATTTCACTTACGCCGATATCCGGACTCTGACTCGCTGCAAGGCCGTTAATCCCCACACGTGTCGACCAAAATCCTGGAAGGACGCTATTCCAGTCTAGTCTAGTTCGTCAAAAGAAGATGGGCCGGTGGAGAAGCACATCCCGACTAATCTGCTGTCCCTAGTTATCTTAATACATGAAGGTACTATACTCCTTTTTACGTTAGATCATGATTTTGAAGTGAGAACGCCCCCGTTGTCATTTAGCGTGCTATTCTTGGATCCTTCTCCTTTAAGAGCGGGCGCTGGGCACGCTTTGAATTTGTCTTGTCAATTCCACATCCAAACCTTCTCTATCCTTTCATTCCTTGACCCCACAAGGATACGAACGGGCTCCTGTGTTCTGATTATAACGTACTTGTTTCTCTTGTTCTTAAATAGGCAACCGGAAATATGTCATCCTCTCCTCATAATGCCACCAGCAATGCATCCAGCGTGCGGTGGCAGTTTATCGACTCTTCAAACAATAGCCGATCCAACTTAACCCAAGTCAAGCGCCATGTTATGCAAGAATATATGCGCCAAAAGAAAGGAGGCACTCGCCAAAGTGAAAGCGAAGAGGAGCAACCACGAGCAAAACGTGGGAGACCCAAGAAGACTCGGGCTGCGATACGAAAGCCAGAGAAGAAAGTGAAATCAGACGACAACAATGGCGGCCGACTGCGAGCAAGGAGATCAACGAGAAATCAAGCTACACAGAAAGAAGATCTCATTGTCGCAGTTAACCGTGATATGTTTGGTTCGAATCCTATCTCGTATGCTTCGTTGAGTGAATCCGCTCATATGCCCTCTTTTTCCCCTTTTCGACCATCTTCTACCCAATCTCACGATACTGCTCTTCCATTGGATGGCTTTGTGGACGTACATTCACAGAGTCCTCCGACCCATGATCTATATTTTAACAATATCTCATGGTCAACACCCTCCACGGCACCATATCAGTTCATGCCATCACCAAGTACTATGGTGAGGGATGCACCAATCGACCCATTCGACACACTGTCAGAGTTGGGTCGAGATGGACACAAGGTGTTTGACCCCTATGTGAATGATATTGCAGCCTGCTCTTATGGGCCCCATTACCGGTCACCCGGGGCCAACGGTTATACGTCAGATTTTGCTCCTGAGACAATAAAAGGTACCGTCATATTCCAAATCGTCCTTACCGTACATTCAGCTAATACTCCGTAATGAAGGGGAAGCTCAACATATTCTTCACAGAGATAGTGCTGTCTCCATGCTGCGCGAGCACAGTCCTGGCGTGCCCAATGACATCTCCGATGCTGCAATCATTTCCTGTCTGAATGCCGCAGCCTTAGAGGAATGCGATCCACGACCAGGTCACAAGGAAATAGGTTCCATACATATGCGAGCTGCACGCGGGATGATACATGCTCGCGGTGGTCCCGCTGCATTTGCAAACACTCGCATCGGAATGATGATCAACTGGCAAAACTACATCTTGCCAGGATATGAGACCCACGGGCCCAACTTCTTCTACGAATATGACCAGGTCCCTGTCTCATCTGAGTCTTCAGCCCCTTTACCCCAGCCTACCCCAGTTCCCCACACCATGCCATCTCCATCATATTCGGCCTCCTCGGCCGTCTCAGAAGTTTCGCCCAGTCCTGAACCTCGAACAATGCTCCCACACCCACAATCAAGTCCAGTAGACGAGATTAAATTCCAATGCGAAGAATTCCTCGACTTTCTTCGACGCTGTGAGCAACTTGCTTTATACCAACGCGACAACCCCCAATCATCGTTCATTACCCGACACACCGCGGTTCAAGAAACATCCATCCTCAGCCAAGTCCTCACAGCGCCCCCAGGCGCTCGATTCCCAACACCAGGCGACCGAAAACAAATCACCACCCGCTTGACAGTGTTGATGTCGCTCAATGCCGCGATGTGGGATTACCGTAACACCCCAGCCCGCGCAGCAATTTTCCTCGACACCCTCGAGAAATCCATGGTCGACAGCGAAGTCGGTATGACTGGCTCCGTCGAAGCCATGCTTCAAATCCTGCTTGAATGCAGTGATGGCACTCTTGATGGCTGGTCCACCAGTGCTGACGCTTCTGCTGCTGCAGCCCCAGTAGAGGAAGTCGCAGACTTCTCTCAGTACTTCCCGACCGCTAGCTCGCCCTCTGCGCGCCCGTGGTTTGCGGGTCGCATGCTGAAGATTGCTAGTCGGTTGAGTGCCTTGTCGTGGTACCGTGTTAATGAGTTTTTGTTCTCGTGTTTGACTCTCCAGGTGCAGGAGCCCTCGACGGCTCTCTGGGAGGCGGATCTTCGTCGGGAGATTCTCGATCAACCTACTACCTATGTTATGCGCTAATTGACAGATTTATGTATACCACTGGCTTCGACCAGATGACTTGTATTGTTTATGTTTTGATGTGTTAATTTTCTTATGCTTTCATATGTTCTACCCCCTTGTGTCACTTTTTGAGAGTGTCTTGTATATACCCTTCGCTATACCTATAACATATTTCGAATTATTGATGAAGTTGGAGAGTTGTAAAAACATAGTGCTAAATTATACGTGGTGTCTATAAAGTTGTATCCTCATATCATCCTGGATCACTATCCACTTTATAATGTCTTTCATAATGTCGCCACTAGTATTAGCCGACCTCATCTCATCAATTTCTCATTTGTCACCTGGTTAGACGTATGGCCTCGAACTTCTCGAGTTTGTGTTCCATTCTATAAAATCACGCCATAAATGTAACGACCTTATCAAATTATAAGAATAAAACATTAAAGTCAAGACAGAATATCAAACCAGTGCACTTGATATATATTTACATCTTCCCAACAAATCCCTAGATATAAGAAACTACTCCGTACATATAGAGAGGAATAGCTCTGGATGCTTAAAAGTGGTCCGTGCGTCTGGTACCTGGATTTCATTTCCTATATCGCCCAGATTGACGCCACAGTGATTTTTTTAGCGATAAATTATATTTTAAAATGCGATGAAATGCTATGAAATGCCACATTGTGGCACTATAAAAGCCACAGGGGAAACCAAAGTGTTGGGAAAGGGGACTTTCACATGCAAATATTTAAGTGGGGGCCAAAATTACATGTGATTCTTGGAATATTTGTTGAGGGTATGTTCTTGAATAAGCACGGAATATTGATAGAGACGAATAAAATATAAGCATAATTTTTTTTCACTATAACTAACAGGGGTATAGAAGTAAGACCTCAAAAGCAAAGAAAATCTAGAGTCACGATAAGAAACCCTGGGGTCCGTTCGCGGAGATCCCCAGACGGTGTGGGAAAGGCTAATGGTTCCATCGCTCGAAGCTCTTAGAATACTCAACAAAATTTCTTGTTTCCCATCTTCCCTTTACATCGACTGTACAGATTCCAATGATCACAACTTTGCAATCACATCCCTTTTCACATTAAAACTTTGGCAGCGTTTGACTTGTATAGCGTGACTCTCTTACCCTCTTTACCGAAGCAATGGCTATCCTCGACATCACCAAGGATTTGCCCACACTCTTTAAGCGACAGGTTCAGGCAACCCCAGATGCCATCGCCCTAGAAGATGAGACCACGACCTATACATATACCCAGCTGGATCAAGAAGTGGAAGCTCTTGCCAGTCGTCTACGAACCTATGGCGTGAGCCGCGACACCCTCGTGGGTGTGCTCTTACCTCGCAGCGCACATTACGTGATTGCCTGTCTAGCAGCGCTCCGTGCGGGTGGTGCCTTCCTTGTTCTGGAATTGGCTTACCCCGCGGACCTCTTGGCGGATGTCATTGAGGACGCTAGCCCCGCTGTGATTATCACCCACAAGTCTGAATCAGACAAAATCAAAGCCCCTGTCCCGCTAATTGTCTTGGATGCGTCCGTTGCCGAGACCAATGGACACGCCAAGGAACCTTCTCCGTTGCCGGCAGATGACGATTTGGACCGCTTGGCGTTTGTCTCATATTCGTCAGGTACAACAGGCAAGCCGAAAGGAATCGCCAATCCACACCGTGCCCCGGTACTATCATACGATTTGAGATTTGCAGTGCAGGATGTACAACCAGGGGATCGGGTGGCTTGCAATGTATTTTTTATCTGGGAGATGTTGCGACCGCTACTCCGTGGAGCCACGGTGGTTATCGTGCCCGATGAAACGAGCTATGACCCCGCAGCTCTGGTTGACCTTCTCTCGGCTAAAAAGGTCACTGAAACTCTCATGACACCGACTCTTCTGGCTACTGTTCTTTCACGTTATCCCCATTTCGGTGCTCGTGTGCCTGATTTGCGCATCATTTGGCTGAACGGTGAGGTTGTGACAACCGACCTTGCCCGCAAGGCCATCAAAATTCTTCCCAATGCCCGCCTGCTCAACTGCTACAGTGCGTGTGAAACGCATGAGATTGCCTGCGGAGATATCCGTGATATGGTTGACGACGACTCTATTTACTGTCCAGTTGGCCCATCGATTGTTCCTGAACACACTTACGTTCTTAACGAGGATGGACAGGAGGTAGAGGTAGGGACATCGGGAGAACTCTTCATCGGTGGTCCTCTGTTGGCGCGGGAATACATCAACCTTCCCGAGGCCACCGCCAAGGCTTTCACTCCGGATCCATTTGATTCCACACCCGGTGCTCGTATGTACAGGACAGGCGATCTGGCCCGCAAGCTACCTTCCGGGTTCCTCGAGATTACCGGCCGCGTCGGCGCAATGATCAAGCTACGCGGGTATTCTGTTGTACCGGCTAAGGTCGAAAGCGATATCTGCCAGTACTTGGCTGTCAGCCAGTGCGTTGTCACTGCGTACGGCGATGGACTGGAACGACAGCTGGTTGCATATGTCGTCCCTGACAAGGAGGCTTCCTCCGATCGCCCTTCAGTGGTGATCAACGAGTCCGGCCACAGCCCCAGCGCGCGTCGTGTCCTTGAGAACAGCCTTGCACAGTACATGATCCCAGCTCTCTGGGTCTCACTAGATCAGTTGCCTACTAACGAGGTCTCTGGCAAAGTTGATATGAAAAACCTCCCGTCGCCTCGTAGCTCTAGTCCCAATGGCAGTGAGCAAAGCGCAGAGAAGGACCCGATTAGTCTCAATGACATTGCGGCAATCTGGGAGGCTGTTCTGAAAGTCTCAAGAAGCCTGCTCAAGGCCGAGGATAATTTCTTCGATCTGGGCGGACATTCTTTGTCCCTAGCAGATCTGTCTTCCAAGCTTTCCAGACGTTTCGGCTTCCGTGTTCCTATTCCTCGTCTCGCAGAGAACACTACTCTTTCCGGACACTTGGAGACTGTGCGTGCTGTCAGAGATGGTCACACTGCAGAAGTACAAGCGAATCTGCCAGCAGTCTTGCTTTCAGATGCCACACTGGACGAGGATATTCAGCCCACAAATACCGCGATCACTTCAATCGCTTCAGCCGACACAGTGCTTTTGACTGGTGTGACTGGTTTCCTGGGAGCTTTCCTGCTCAATAATTTGATTGAGAATACCTCGGCTAAGATTATCTGTCTTGTGCGTTTCAGCGACCCGGAGCAGGATGATCAAGCTGGAGGTGTGGCTCGAATCCGCAGGAACCTCCTAGACATGGGCCTCTGGCGCGATTCTATTCTCGAGCGTCTCGAAATTCTACCAGGAAACCTTTCTCGGCCTCGACTGGGTCTGAGTCCGGATGAATTCGAGAACATCGCGGCTCGTGTCCAAGTGATTGTGCATGCTGCAGCTACCGTCAACCTTGTTTACCCTTATGCTGCACTTCGCGGGGCAAACGTGGGTGGAACCAGAGAGATTCTTCGTCTGGCCGCCAAGGGTGGCGCGACCGTTCAGTATGTCTCTACCAATGGTGTCTTGCCACCATCTGGTCAGAACGGCTGGCCCGAAACTACTATGCTAGACGTAGAAGATGTTCCCACAAAGCTGCTCGACGGCTATGGTCAGACAAAGTGGGTTGCAGAGCAGCTCGTTCTTAAGGCGGGCGAGCGTGGATTGCCAGTCAAGATTCACCGATGTGGTACAATCAGTGGTCACAGTGTCACAGGATCTGCCAATGCCTGGGATTTGCTCACTGCATTGATCGTGGAATCTATTCAGCTTGGATACGCCCCAGACGTGGAAGGATGGCGTGCCGAGATGACCCCTGTGAACTTTGTCAGCAAGTCTATTGTTCATCTTGCCACTCAGACTCAGACAGACCAAATGATGTTCCATCTCGGAGATCCTACGCCGGTCGATACTCGGTCAGTCTTTGAAGACCTCAAAGAGCTCGGCTATGAGACACAACCGCTCCCATGGGATGAGTGGGTCGCCCTGTGGTTTGAGAAGAGAGGCTCGTCCAAGGGTGGCGATGGTTCGTTTACCGTCGACATTCTCCGCAGTGGTATGCCAACTGTTGAGTTCCTGCGGGACATCGTGGTCCTTGATAACGCTTTGACCAGGCCTTTCCGGGCCGTTGTCGAGCGTCCCAAGGTGGACAGTCTGTTGCTGGAGACTTACACTCGGCATTGGTTTGCTCGAGGATGGTTACCCCGCCCCCCATCTCGTCAGAATGCCCTTAACCGACCTACCCAGGCAGTGAAGGGGCCACTCAGCGGCCAAGTCGCTGTGGTGACTGGTGCTTCTTCAGGCATTGGTGCGGCGGTAGCAGCCGCCCTAGCCAAGCAAGGCTGTGCTGTGGCACTTGGCGCTCGACGCCTGGATGCTCTCGAGAGCACCAAGCGGAAGGTCGAAGCTCACGGGGTTAAGTGTATCCTCCGGTCAACCGACGTTACAAGCAAGGCTCAGGTGGACGCTCTCGTCCAAGCAGCAAGTGAAGAGCTCGGTCCAGTCGACATCTTGGTTGCATGTGCTGGTGTCATGTATTTCACCATGATGGCAAACACAAAGATGGATGAATGGGAGCGCACAGTGGACGTCAACTGCAAGGGTATGTTGCATGCTATCTCTTCGACGGTTCCTGGTATGCTCTCGCGCGGCCGCGGCCATGTCGTCGCCATCTCCTCCGACGCCGGACGCAAGGTCTTCCCTGGTCTGGGTGTGTACTCAGCCAGCAAGTTCTTCGTCGAGGCCACCCTCCAGGCCCTCCGCCTTGAGACCGCAGGCACAGGCCTGCGCGTGACCAGTATCCAGCCCGGCAACACATCCACAGACTTGCTGGGCATGTCGACCGATGCTGAAGCCGTCAAGAAATACGGAGAGCCATCCGGAGCGAAGATCCTTGATCCGTCCGATGTTGCCAACTCCATTGTTTACGCCCTGACTCAACCTGAGCATGTCTCTGTCAATGAGATCCTTGTCGAGCCTCGTGATGAGCCTATTTAAGTGATATCGGCCACATATTTTACGGTTTGTATGATTTGCTGTTAATATTTGTTGCTAGTTGTGATCTAGGGGTTTTGATTTCATTCACACCAAAATAGACGGCCACATAGAGGTAGAAGGCATATATTGTATAGAGTATTGAATACTAGATTTCCACACGCGCTTTGCCCATGCAACTCAACCCATATGCTCTCATTCCACAGCCTGGTCCACAAGAAACCACAATATCCGGGGCTCATTGTCAACTTCCGCACCCAATGCAGCTAATGGGCTCGATAGCGCTCATTTTAGTCTATCTTCGACTATTACTGTGTATTGTGTCTGCGGCCATCTCTTTAGGGACTTTTCATAGGCCAAGCCTATGAGGAGCATGTCTTTGCCGGAGGCTAAGGTGGTGGTGAATCTCTTTTGTTTTCATTGAGACTTTGCTAATTAAATACTATCGAGCTGATAATGATGGTGCTTTTAATTGCCTATTTCGGATGTGGGTCCTTGTATACCCAAAAAGGCATCGGGTGGCATTGGAGGCTCAAATTGGGTAGAACTGTGGAATCTTTCATGTCTCCCCCAACGTGCTACAACATACATAGTAGCCTTACCTCGAAATAAAAAAAAAAGAATGGCATCGCGAAGAAACGATACCGTGACCTCCGGCGAGTTAAATGTATTTTACGCCAAAAGCAAAAACTGAGTGTGCAGCGATGACAGGTGAACTATCCATCTCTGCGAACCCAGTTACCCATTACACTTTATTACGGATCATATAGCACATTCGTGGGACTGATACGCAGCTGATAAGTGATATCTATACGTCTTACCTGATCTATAGCTGGAGACATCCACCCACATTGATTTTACCTAATGTTTTCTTCGTGAATGCTTCTCTGACTTTATTTCGTCACTTCATAAATCTATATCGTACAATATCGTACAAGTACAAGCTAAACCTCCTTAGTTCCGATCCCCATCTCAGATCCACTGCGACTGCTCCCGATACTAACAGTGTCATAAGTAGGATTCATCGACAGCGGATGCAACCCCTTATGTCGAATCTGCGAGCGCGGCGCATTAACCACCGGAGTATCATGAACCACAAAAGAGCGCACAGACTGCTCATCAACAAACTGTGCCGTGAAAGCCTCCTCAACGCCCTCAAGAGAACGACCCACAGTCTCAGGATAAAACGCCCAGACAAAAACCATCGCCGCCCAATTGAACGCGACAAAACAATACAAATAATTTGTCCCGATATTCCTCAGTGCAATAGGCGAGCATTGCATGAATATAAGACTAACACCCCAGTTCGCGGCAGTCGCCATAGACGAGCCGCGCGCTCGAATGGGCGTGGGAAAAATCTCACACTGGTAGATCCAGGAGATCATCCCGAGAGCCGTGAAGAAGAACGAAAAGACGAAGAACATGGCAATGCCAGCTCGCAGCGCATGTGGGTTAGCGTTGGGGTCGTTGAAATCGATGTACCGCGCGAGCGTGGCTTCGATGCACAATGCTGCTCCCATGCCTAGTAATGATGGGATAAGCAGTTTCCGACGCCCGACTTTATCGATGAAGAGCATGAAGACCGTGTTCCAGAACAGCGCTAGCGCGCCCCAGACTCCGATCACCATGAGGGATGTTGGTGTTTTAAGGCCGAGCGTTTTGAAGAGGCGTGGGCCGTAGAATGAGATTACGATTGTGCCTGAGCACTGGGTGAATACTTGCAAGCCGCAGGCTAGAAGGATTCGGTGTCGCCAGCGCGGGGAGAGGACGAGCTGGCGCCAGGATCGAACGGCGGATTGCTTTTCGGATGCGAGGCTCTCTTGGATTTGGAAGAGCTCGTGTTCGAGTTGGGGGGTGTTGGTTTCGGGTTGGTTGAGATGGAGTCGGACAAGGACTGAGCGGCCTTCTGTGACTTTGCCCTTTTCCATAAGCCATCTTGGTGATTCGGGGAGGAACCAGATACCACAGGTGAGAATTATTGATGGCACGACTTGGAAGAAGAGTGGGAAACGCCAGGAGAAGGATCCACCTCGGTGGGAACTGCCGTATCCAACCCATTGCTTGAAATAGTTAGTTGGGTTATAGCAGAATCCCGGTGCTGATTATACTCACAGCAACCACGAACCCCAAGCAAATCATCCATTGCTGCATACTAGCTAACATCCCCCGAATCTGCGGCGGGGCGATCTCGCTCTGGGCTCACGTCAGATAAAGCTTAGCAGCAGGACCGTGTATCCAACCTACACAATAAACTGGAATAGTAGCAGACATCTTCCCAATTGCCAGACCCGCGATAGATCGACCAGCGATAAGCATCGCGATATTAACCGCGCCTCCCTGGAGCCCAGAACCAAGAGCAGCAAGAAGACCGCCAATGAAAAGGATCATTCGGCGACCATAGAAATCCGAAATATATGGGGCAAGGATCGAGCCCACGATTGCGGCTCCTGATCAATATTAGATGTCGATCGCGGTAAGATCTGATAGAGTCTCACCGATATACGAGGAGGTAATAACCCCAGATGCGGTGTCAGATAGGGTTGGCGATCCGAATTGGCGCAGGAAGGCCTCCTGCTCGATACTGGAAGAGATCACGCCCGAATCATAGCCGAACAGGAATGATCCCAGCGCGGCGAAGGCGCAGCAGAAGGTGACGAGGTAGAAAGTCATAGTTATGTGTCGCGTGGCTCCATAGCCTGTGAAAATTGGTAGAGGATGAGGGGTTCCATATAAGGTGTAGAGAAAGTCGCGTTGGTGTTGTACATGCCAATCCACCTTGAAAGTGGAACGTGCCACAGGGGGGATGGAATGCCATGCGGGATGCGAGGGATCAGGGTCGTTTCATGAATAGAATGACTAACATGGCTATAAGGAGTAGGGGGATAGTTTAAAGGCTAATTGGTTTTGAACAATTAGGAGGTAGTTAATTTCAATGTTGGCATATTTAGGTAGGTAAATATAGTGTTAGTTACATAAAGGGCTATTAATTAGGGCTATTGATGAGGCTCATCGTGAACCCGAACTTCGGAACCCCAAATGGATTGCTAAAGACTCCCGATGATAGGGCAAGTCATTTATTTCGATTGCATTCCCCATATCCCGCGTCGCAGGGCTGTCAAAATATTTTGACGTAGATTGCCTTGTTTCGAAGCCCTGGGGCCCTGGAGAACCCCTCTACATGACTAACCCCTTCATGACACCTGGCCAGTGCAAGGGTTTCAAGGGTCCAGGTAGTTGCATTTGTCCGTGCTTTGTACTCCGTATTCGTATTTTGTGCTTCTACTAAAAAGGGAACATAAAACTAACTACATACATACTATAGTAATCCAAGGTCGCCATAGTAGAAATAGAAGGAAGATATTGCAAGGTTAGTCCCAAGTTATTATGCAAGAACTAACTTAACTAACTCGGAGTATTCCGTACAAGTACCTACATGGACAGGTAGGTACATGTAAGTACGGGGAAACTGCAAGGAGAACCCACTAATAAGATGCTAATATCATATGTACCCGTACACACGAGGCAGTTCGATTTTAAAGAGGTCTATGTAAAAAGCAATAGTCCCTTAAAACTATGTCATATGACGTTAGAAAAGTAGATAAGTCCGAGTCTAGGCAAATCGGGCAGTGGAGCCGGGGCTAAAAGCCTTAACGGCGAGGAAAACGGCGATTCGTATTCTTATTGGGTATGAAAAAATGCACAAAAATGCCTCAGTCCGAAGAAAATTCTGGAATAATTAAAATAATTAGATTAATACAAGGAATAATTGGATCAAAGGAAAATAATATGCACACGGACTTAGGGAATTGATATGACCACTCTTCGATCTGCTTGATTTTTCGCTACCGCCTTCCTAATTTATTATGTTGCACCGCTCCTAGACGTAATCGTGGATGTAGAAGTAGGAAGATCAATTTATAGAGTAGATCAATGAAGAAATTAATGAAATGTAAGATGTTTTTCTGACCAAAATATATGGTACTCAACTATATAAACCAATGGTATTGCACCTGTTTGGAACTAATCTAGGAAGGCGGTACTGAAAAATCAGAAGTGGTATAAACCAAGGAGGTGGTGGTCATATCAATTCCCGAACTTTATGTCTTCGGGTGTCGCGCATAATGAAGCCCCGATATCCACCTGGGCACTTCCAAGGTTGGGCTGGGCAGAGTCATAAGGCCGTAGATGACTGACTAAAAAAAAAAAATCTAAACTATTTTTGATTTTCGATCTGGATCCATTTTCTAATACGTTGTTTCTTTGTTCTTTGTTCGTACTTTGTACTTTCAACATATACTCTCTTTTGATATCCCACACACACCGCTTTCGGGAATAATCATTTCATCATATCAATCTCGGAGTATCTCCATTTTCCCCTCAACTTTGGGAGATCCCCTAGTACTTCAAGTGCTTTCCAGGGCACCTCCCCAACTCCGACAGAATTTGTGTGTTTTCGTCGACTCTGCTTATCTTGCAACCAAACTAGGGCGATCCATGATATTTGGTGAGATCGTGATATTCACTCCGGATCGCCCGCCAAGGCCACCGTTTCTCTTTACATGAATCCGTGCACTTTTCGGACATCAGATATCCAGTCATGGCGACTACGACGAGCCCTAATTCTGGCGAGAATGAGGATGATCCTGCGCCCATGAACGACTTCAAATATTCGCATGACGATCATCACGATACTTCTCCCCATGATATATCCCCTACGGACCCCAAATCACTACCAGCCCAGAAGAGGCGACGAGTCGGTCGCGCATGCGACGAATGTCGCAGAAAAAAGATCAAGTGTGACGGCAAACAGCCATGCACTCATTGCACTGTATATAGTTATGGTACGCAAACCCCTATGGATGTAATCTCGGAATAAGTTCATGCGCCCTGACAGTCTAATTCTAGATTGCTCGTACGACCAGCCATCCAACCGCCGTCGAAATCCCGCCCCGCAATATGTCGAGGCCCTTGAAAATCGGCTCCAAAAAGCCGAAGCGCTCCTTCGAATCGTTCTTCCAAATGTTAACCTCGATGATCCGCAACTGGATGTGCATGCGACAGAACAGAAATTCGCAGCCGCCCAAAAAGCAAAACAAGCGACCGAAGATGTCAAACCGTCAGTTGTACAGGATACAGCGCAAGAAGGCGGAGACGAGGGACTGCTTGAAACCATGGTCGATAATTCGGGCTGCTTAGATCGGGATGATCAGGGCCATTGGGATTATCACGGGCACACATCGGGCGTTCTATTTGTTCGCCGTTTACGGAAACAGTTGGGCGCCACAGATATTACAGGCCCCATGGCACGATCGCGCCCTTCGATAACCGCGCATATGCTAGATACTCCAAAGTCTATGTCCGAGTCGCCTCAAGACACAACTTTACCTCCTACACATGACCTGCCTCCGCGGGATGTGGCTCACCGCTTATGTCACAATGCGCTCGATCATGCCTGCTCCTTGATGCGATTTGTGCATGAGCCCTCCTTTTTTGCAAGTCTGGAGCGCATCTACGATACTCCTCCGGAGCAATTCACCAACGAAGAGAATTCCTTCTTGCCGCTGTTATATATCGTCATCGCTGTTGGCTGCTTGTTCTCAGACGATGGATCAGGACAGGGTACGCTGGATTTGTCTGGCTACGAAGGCGCAATAGGTCAAGGGTAAGTCATAGTAAATCTGTCTTGATTGATGCACCGACTAATTTCTTTCACAGGTTCCAATTCTTCAAGGCCGGTCGACAACTGCTGGAGATCACCGACTGCCGTGACTTGCCTTCTCTCCAAGCGATCTGTTTTATGGTTCTCTTCCTTCAATCCTCTGCGAAGTTGAGCACATGCTACTCGTATGTGGGAATTGCACTTCGTTCAGCACTGCGATTAGGTCTGCATCGCTCTGTCGCGGCAGACTTCAACCCCATTGAACGAGAACTCCGAAAGCGCATCTTCTGGGTTGTCCGCAAAATGGACGTCTATGTGAGCACGCTCTTGGGTCTTCCCCAGATGCTGAGCGACGACGATATCGATCAAGAGTACCCAATAGAGGTTGATGGTGATTTCATTACTTCGGAAGGAATCACTCAACCGCCGTCTAATTACACACCGCTGATGGCTGGATGCAATGCACACACTCGTCTTTCCAACATCATTCTGAAGGTGGTGAAATATATCTACCCAGTCAAGAATGCTCGCTATCGCTCCAAGTCAGACCAGCGATACATGGTCAGCCACTCAAAAATTAGGGAGATCGAGCGAGATCTGCAAAATTGGATGGAGGAATTGCCCCCTGCTCTGCGACCAGGCACAGAAGTGTCGCCCCAGCTAGAACGGTAAGTCTCATATCTACAGCGCTGATGTTTTGAATCAATTTTGACTAACACCCAATAGTGTCCGGCAATTGCTGCGTATAAGCTATGCCCACGTGCAGATGGTCATGTACCGCCCGTTCCTCCACTACGTATCCGGTGGTTCTCAAGCGCGTGGCGTGGACAAGCGTTCATATGCCTGTGCAGCTGCCTGTGTCAGCGTTTCCCGAAATATTGTTCACATCACGACTGGAATGCAAAAGAGAGGACTACTCAATGGGTCCTTCTGGTTCACCATGTATACGACCTATTTCGCTATCCTCTCCTTGATTTTCTTCGTCCTTGAGAACCCGGATTCGCCAACAGCCAAAGATGGTGTCCTGAAAGATGCTATGGAGGGCAAAAATACTCTAGCCGGATTGGCCAAGAAGAGTCTTGCTGCCGACCGGTGCTCTCAGAGTTTGGTCGTACGTTCTCATACTTTCAACTTGGGATTGCCTTGACTAATTATATTGTAGTGCCTTTTCAAGACATTGCCCGAGATGTTGAAAAATCGCCAGAGCTCCAAGACGCCTGTCAACCTCAAGCGGCCCGCCCCATCTAACACTGTCGAGCCTGAGCTGAAGCCTACCTTCGAGAAAACGCTACCACATCGGTCAAGCACTTTCCCTACGCAAATGATGTCCCAGCCGGTTGTTAGCGATGGCCAGAACCGCCGACAACGAAGTCTAGACAATGTTCAGCCTATCAGCAACCGCCCTACTGACATCAATCACCAGTCCACATGGATTTCAACCACTCCCGAGCTGCTGACAGAAACCATGACCACTCCGGAACATATTTCCTCATCCGGCATGACGCCCTCCATGCCCAATCAAGAGCCATCAAGTCTAGCATGGGCTCAGCAATTCACCAATCCGTCCAATCTCCCAGATCTCATGCCTATGATGTTCCCATCGGACGATCCATTCGCATACCCAACACAGCCCATGTCTACCTTGGAAGATGATCACTTCCGCCACGACCATGCAGGCATGCCATCGCAGTATCCCTTCGATTCAGCACCAGGCATGGGGTCCACCACACCCAGCGATCCACCCACCGGAGGGGTCTCCACTCCAAACTATGACTTCACAAACATCTCGAATTTCCCCATCACAAATCCCCAAGGGATCAAGTCATCAGTGCCAAGCCACCTCCGCCCTTCGCATTCGCGAACTTCGTCCCGCATCCACTCCCCAATCTCACAGAGCCAGACCCCGACTGAATTAATCAGCAGTCCAGATCTGGTCTCAATCCCGAACCAGAACTTCGTCTGGCAGGGCTACAATTTCCAGCCCAACAACCCAAATGATATGACAACCGAGTCCGCACCACAACAGCCAGAGATGCCCGGTCCAAATGGATTGCCTGATTTCAACATGGGAATGGATGAGAACATGGGTATGAATATGGATCTGGGGATCTCCTTTGATGATCTGTTTGGCAACAATGCCGCCTATCGACCGGGCAATGGGGCGTCGGCCGAGGATTGGGCTCAGTGGATGAATGCCAATAGCATTTAACCTAGGTCTGGTTTATAGTTGTTTTACTTGCTTTTTACGAGGATATGTTATCATGAAAGCCAAACTCTTGGTGTAAAATCTGTTGATACCTAGGCGTTTTGAGTTGGGGTTAGGAGTCCCGCTGTTTACAATTAGCTATATATATATTTAAATGTATACCGTATTTCGATATCATTTAGTGTCTTCTTTGCTCGAGGGTTGATCTCTTGGTTCAATTGAAGTAAAATCGTGGTAAATGTACCAGTTTGGGGATATGCTGGGAATTGATCAAGCACTAGATCAACCCTTTCTGATAGCCTCTCCCGCAGCTCTCGAGTCGATCTTTAGGATCCTTGATGTACATGTTTTCAAAGACCGAATTTGGTCAGACCCGTCCATGCGGTGACTTCCGATATGCCTAGCTGTAATGTCTGACTAGGCCTAGTTAAATAATGACTAACCATTTGTGGCAGGTGGAAGGAGTTGGGTATTATTGGCTCACTAGTATGTCAGAAATATCAAAAATAATGGCATTATTAATTCCGAGGCCAATGGAATAAAGTGGCAAACGTATTTATTCACCAATATTCAAAGACGTTAGATATTTAGCCAAAAATGGCCGAGAAGTTGGCCGAGAAGAAGACGAGATGGCCGATGGCCGAGGAGAGCAGAGACGTGTGGATCACCAAGTTACATACTCCGGAAACTCCGTATACAGCTCCCCGTGTCCCAAATCAGCCAATTGTTAGCAGGATAGTGGAGACGATGGGTGTATACCCAGGCCATACCTACTATGGACAGAAGACATAGCCGCGGCAGTATGGTGGTAATTGTGGGCGATGGAGTATATGTATACTCGAAGACCAAGAACAAGAACAGAACCAAAACAAGAGCGCAAAGGAGGCAATTAAGAATAGCAAGACCTCTGTGCTGACGTTTCTATCTTATGTTATAATTTCGGCGCTTTCCAAGTCTATATCCCTGCTGACACGGGAAATCGCCGAAAGGTGGCTTCACCTTCATCCCACCACATCTATTAACACTAGCTACAAATTCAACCTATCTCTCTGTAATTGTTCTCATACCAAGCATCATGGCCTCCGGACTCTTTTTCGACCCTCGTACACTCATTTTCGACCACCGTACACTCCTACGTACCGCCCCACTCATAACCTCCACCTGCACGCTCTGGTACTCGCTCGACCAGGACTTCTTCCTGAACGCCTTCCTCCACCCGAACCACCGCACCCGCAGCAATGAATTCCTACCATCCTATTTCCGGGCCTTCTTCGGCTTCGGCACTGCGCGCGTACTAGCCCTTCTCACGCTGACCTTGACCGGAGGTGGATATAATATCTTGACGGAGAAACGGTCGGGATTGGGTGGCTCAGCTTCTCTACCTTGGTATACTGCCGGCACCATATTAGCTGCCAGTCACCTTCTCTTTGTTCCTGCTGTTGCGCCTAAGGTTCAGGCCGTGATTGAGGACTCGTCCAAGGGTTCATCGACGAAGGATCTCGAGGGTTGGTTGACTATCCATCGTGTGCGTACGTGGACTGTTGATTTGGCTTCGTGGGTGTGTTTTGCGATTGGGATGTCAATTATTGAGTAACGCTCTGAGAATTGATGGAGCAATTCTCCATACAAGTAAATATGTTCGCATGAGAACAGCTGGTGTTTTGGTTTAGATGAACATAAGTTTACCTACATAGGTAATACTATCAACAAATAGAAGTACATTGAACAATTCAATCTGGTATAAATTATCCCATCTCGATAAGTAACTGTTGAAGTCATATGGTGAGCCGTACTTTGTTAGACCCACATATTTCGACACTCCTCATCTCATCTCACCTTGTGAATGTTCAAAATCTCTCCTCCGTAAGATGGCCCTGCACTACACCCTTTCTTGAATATATTTCTCTCTGCCCATGGGCCTTTATTCATACCCAAAAACGGATCAATTGTAGCATCCGCAGTCTGCCGGGTCGCATGGGGAGCTAACAGTCCTTTTCCCTTGTACATTTACTTGGCCTGCATACGTGACTATTTATAGCCAAACCCTTAATGGCGTCACTTCCAAAGTTATCTACCCTCTTCACCTGGGCCCTTTACTTGATCCCAGTGTATATCTTTATCCTCGACCCGCTAGTGCGCGGGTTCTTCCCGACCCTACTGGCACCACCTAGAGATAGCGACCTCTTCGATGATTCTAGCGCACCAGGACCAGGGATCAACCTTACCGACGACAGCTTCATCAGCCCGGAAGATGGCGTACCATTCAACTGCCCCAGCACAGAGGGATACCGCGTGCATCTCCTATCGCGCGAACCGCTGATCATCTACATTGAGAACTTCATCTCGGAAACCGAAGCAAACCACATCCTAGAAATGAGGTAGACCACCAATCTCAACCGCACTAAACCCCCGAGAACGGATATATACCATACCACACACGATAGCCACAGACCAAGCTAACCGGAACAAACCTCATCCAAATCTCAGTGTTAACAAATATACCCCTTCAATCGTCTACGATGGCCAAACTGAACGGGTAGACCCCAACAAACGCCTCTCCGACCGCGCCCTCCTCGACCGCGACGACACAGTCCGCTGTCTAGAAGACCGCGCCCGCGCCTTCCAAGGCTGGCGTCCGGATCTATACATTGAGCGGATGTGGGCACAGCGCTACAATGCCTCCGGTCACTACCGCCACCACTATGACTGGGCCGGGTCGCTAGCGCGGGGCGGGGACCGCTTCAGCACGTTTATGGTGTATCTCGATGCGGACTGTGAGGGTGGCGGGACGAATTTTCCGCGGCTGAGGATGCCGGATGGGGAAGGGTGGTGTCGATTTTTGGAGTGTGATGGGAAGGGGGAGATGGGTGTCACATTCAAGCCTATCAAGGGTAATGCGGTGTTTTGGGAGAATCTGAGGGCGGATGGGACGGGGTATCCTGAGACTTGGCACGCTGCGTTTCCTGTTACGAAAGGGACGAAGGTTGGATTGAATGTGTGGAGTTGGTATCAGCCAAAGCGGAGGAATCGCTCAGGAAGGTGAAAGAGAGGAGAGGTAGAATGGTGCACGTGGGTGGATTTGATTTGGGCTTGGCTGGCCAAGCCACTGGGCTAAGCCATGTTCCAAGGAGCATCTGGAATGCTTGGACTAAGCCCTTCACAAGACCTCGGGATATGCTTGGTCTGTATATTTGTATATCAGGGGTAGTCTGACATTGTCAGACTGAAATGTTCTGTTACAGATAGAAATAGAATTAGACGCTAGACTATGAAAGGTGGCATGCTCCGTATAACGTATAGGATAACAGCTGTGTGGTTACATGAAAATGCCTCGATTACTCCATAACGGAATCCGAAACCGACTTATGCATGCCGTAACAAGGGCCCCAGGCAGCCGGATTAATCAGGCGACTTGTCATACATGAAAGTTTATACAAAAGGGATATGAAATTGGTCATACCAAGACACCAAGACACCAAGACTCGACTCTTGGTGCCCGGAGCGGGAATTATTGGCAAGAGGAATTACTTGGCTGCCAAGAAGCATTGTCCATGGGATGTTTCTTGGGATGTTTGCTTGGCAAAATGAACACGCCACTCCTTGTTACAATCTTTACTTACCTTTTCATTATTAAAACATTATGTAAATTGAATTTTTGTATCTGGGAAGATTGTGAGATGTCTGTGAAATTTACTCTTGAATTTACCGGTATATTTTACACTAAACTTATTTAGGATCGGATGTTTGAATCGCTTATAAGATAGGTTAGCTTATCTAAAATTATATTAAAATTACCGTACTGTACCCTACTGTGCTACGTGTTAGCCCTGGAATGCTCAACACACAGCCCCTCGTTCCCCTTCGGTCCACCAGTCAGATGTCATGATACCAACGCCTCTCGGGTCTTGGGGCCCGCACCGACTCTTGGCCCGGTCTTGGTCTGTTCGCTTCTCTCCTTGTCCTTCCGCCAGGCTTAGCAAAGCGGTATTTTCTGGGCAAAGGCTCGGCTCCTTTTCCTCTTCTGCGGAGAAAGCCCCATTTTCTCTTACCTATTTCTCCCCCCCTTTTCCAAGGCCTTTTTATTTCTCGGTCTACATATACATAGGTCTCTACTTGATCTTCTAAGTTCTTCTGAGTTGTTTCCCCTCCCCTTTATTCTCTAGGCTTTTCGCCAACTTCAGATCATATCTCTTGGCATCATGACGGAGAATCATACCCCTTCTACTACTCAGGCAACGTTGCCTACGCCGGTTTCTGAACCAGCGCCAATTCAAGCAACCCCAACCCCTTCCGCCTCCGTCACCGCGACTGCTGCCGCTGCGACTGCGGCGGTGAACAGCCCCTCCATGAACGGTGCCGGTGAGCAGCTGCCTTGCCAGTGGGTTGGATGCACTGAGAAGTCCGCCACCGCCGAGTCTCTATATGTAAGTTTGATCAAACAATGTCAGATGATCTGAAAAGATGCTAATAATTCCCTGGTATAGGAGCATGTTTGCGAGCGCCATGTTGGACGTAAAAGCACCAACAACCTCAACTTGACGTGTCAGTGGGGTACTTGTAACACCACAACAGTCAAGCGTGATCATATCACCTCCCACATCCGTGTTCACGTGCCACTTAAGCCTCACAAATGTGACTTCTGCGGTAAGGCCTTCAAGCGTCCTCAGGATTTGAAGAAGCATGTCAAGACCCATGCGGACGATTCCGAGATCCGCTCGCCCGAACCAGGCATGAAGCATCCTGATATGATGTTCCCTCAAAACCCCAAGGGTTATGCTGCTGCAACACATTACTTCGAGAGCCCAATCAATGGCATTAATGGTCAATACTCACACGCGCCACCTCCGCAGTACTACCAGCCACACCCGCCACCACAGGCCCCCAACCCCCACTCCTACGGCAATGTTTACTATGCCTTGAGCCAGGGACAAGAGGGAAACCATCCCTATGACCGTAAGCGCGGATATGACGCGTTGAACGAGTTTTTTGGCGACTTGAAGCGTCGCCAGTTCGACCCTAATTCCTACGCCGCGGTCGGCCAGCGTCTGCTGGGTCTACAAGCCCTTCAGCTTCCCTTCCTCAATGGCCCTGTGCCTGAATATCAGCAAATGCCTGCATCTGTCGCGGTCGGTGGCGGCGGCGGGGGTGGTGGTTACAGCCCTGGTGGTTCCCACCCCCCTGGCTACCACCTTCCCCCCATGTCAAATGTTCGGACTAAGAATGATTTGATCAACATCGATCAATTCCTCGAGCAAATGCAGAACACTATCTATGAGAGCGATGAGAATGTGGCGGCTGCCGGCGTTGCCCAGCCCGGCGCGCATTACGTACATGGCATGAACTATCGCGCTACTCACTCTCCCCCAACCCAGCTCCCACCCAGCCACGTTACCGCAACTACCTCCGCCCCTATGGGAGCTGCCTCGGCTCACTCCCCATCGGTCGGCACCCCAGCCCTGACCCCGCCTTCTAGCGCACAGTCATATACCTCCAACCGCTCTCCTATCTCCATGCACCAAGCTCACCGCGTGTCCCCCCCTCATGAGAGCGGTCCGGGTATGTACCCTCGCTTGCCGTCGGCCACTGTCGCCGACAGCATGAATGCAGGTTACCCGACCGCGTCAGGTGCCGCACCGCCCTCAACTCTGAGTGGCGCGTACGACCACGACGATCGCCGCCGCTACACTGGAGGTACCTTGCAACGCGCCCGGCCGGCCGAGCGTGCTGCCACCGAGGACCGCATGGATACCTCACAGGACAGCAAGACTCCAGCTATTCACATCTCGGAGAGCCTGATTGACCCCGCTCTATCAGGTAACCCCGATCAGGAAGCAGTCAAGCGTACCGCGCAAGCAGCCACTGAGGTTGCCGATCGGGACGTCAACGTTGCCTGGGTTGAAAAGGTCCGTCTGCTTGAGAACCTGCGTCGCTTGGTTTCGGACTTGCTCGAGGCTGATAGCCTTACTGCTGGATATGGAACCCAGTCCTCAGCTTCTCCTACACCAGGACTTGATGCTATGGAAGGAGTTGAGAGTGGCCGGGCTGCTTCTGAGCAGCCCAAGGAAGAGTCTGCCAAGCCTACAAATGAGGGAGTCTTCTATCCTACATTACGTAGTGTTGATGAGGATGAGGATGGGGATTCTAAAATGCCTGAGTAAATTCTGCCTTTGGCAATAGCTTCACGCCGTGACGACATTTGTTTTCTTGTTCCGCTCTACACCCCTCTAAGGTTGTTTCTTTAATTCTTTTTTTCAACGAAGTTTTCTTTTTTTTTTAAGTTTGTATTATTAGGGAAGCATAGTGTTTATTTACTGTTGTTTGCATCTTAGACTCTACATCCCGATGTTACTGTCCTTTTTAGATCGACATGTCAAACCCAAAGAGGTAAAGCAATATTCTTAAGCTAAACCAGATCCGGGGAGTGACGCAAACGGGCAGATCTTATTTTGATCAAATCTGGGGATCTTTGTAGGTAAATTAGTATTCAGCGTATAGGTGTGGCTATGTACATAGTAATAAAGATAAAGGATATCTACATGTACATATGTACAGATATTAACATCATACATATGTAAATCTATACAACATACATAAATATTAAATGTATAGAATCCAAATGCAGAATGTTAAGACATCTGGAACATTGAAATTCTGCACTCGGAAGCATCCCAATCCTACGTTAAGCACGTGCTTGTATTGGTATTTCGGTCCTATCTCCGCCTATCGGTGACCTTTCCCTGTATGCATACGCGGTTATGACCACAAACTCCACTCAACTGTTTACGGTCATCTCATCATCTTCTTTTTTCCTACTTGTACACTTTGTTTTCTCTTTTCTCTATATCTGTTTTTCTCTCCCTCTCACACTCTCTTCTTTTCTTCTATTTTCTGTATTTTTTTGTTGTGTTAAACACGCTACGCGACAAGGCGGTCACACCCCAAAACAGACGCCATCGCGCGTGTCGATCGGCCTAGGGATTATCGATAATAACATCCAGCCACACAATATCAACTCTTTTCGATTGGAGTTTGTTTTTTTTCTTTTAATAAAAATTAAAGAGAGAGATCCAGCCTCTTTGGACTTAACAGTCTAAAACGGCCCTTTTCTTTTCTTTTTCTTTTTCCTTTTTCTGTGGTGGCAAACCCAGACGTTCTTCGTTCTTCGTTCTCTGGTTCTACCTCTGAACGGTCTTCCGATTCCGATTCTGGGGGTGAAATTCCGAAACCTTGGAAGAGTTGAATTTGTTTTCTTTTCTTGTTTTCGCCTTTTTTTCGCCTTCGGATTGTCATATTTCCTAGTGCCCCGCGCTTGTTTGTGGAGTACTATTCGGACTTGATTGCCTACGCAACGGGAAAAAAAATAATCATTTACTAATCTGCCAAAACTTCGACCACTACATCATACTGGGAAAATTTGAAGATATGCCACTCACGAACCGTCGCCGCGCGCGGCGCAAGGAAATTCAACTGCAAGAAACGTCCGATGCAGAAGCTCCGGACTCGTCGCCCAGCCGACCATCCGCAAAGAAGCGCAAGGTGAGTTTTAGTCTGAGACCAAATCCCCGCGCAAACAGGAGCTAAACCCCCGTTTTCTTCTGATCCGCAGGTTGACCGCCGTGCCTCCCCTCCTCGAAACGTCAAACATGAGTCCGGCGACGAAGCCGAGGACTCAGCGGGCGAACACGAACCCGCTACCAATCAAGACCTGGTGGATTTAGTGATCTCATACTTGAACACACCTCGCGAGGAATTGCGCGTCTCGCGCGATCACTCCAACACCAAGACTGAGAACACACAGCGCATTCAGGCGTATGCTAAGATCGCCGGCCGCAACTGGACCTATTACGTCAAAACACTGCATGTCAATATCGGCCGCGAACCGGACCGCGAACAACGGGCTGTCGAACAGTCTAGCCCTGTTACAATTGCGGCTCGTGCGCTGCCAGATGTTCATGTTGACTTGGGCCCTAGCAAATTCGTGTCGAGACTGCATGCCGAGATCTTTTATGACGGTGAGGAGACACCTGCCTGGCACATCCGTGTCAACGGCCGGAACGGTGTGCGTTTGAACAATACTATCGTGAAGCGTGGCACCGATGCGATTCTCTCTTGTGGCGACATCATTGAGGTGGCCAATACACAAATGATGTTTGTTACGCCCGGTGACGAAGCCAATATCCAGCCTAGCTTTATCGAGCGCGCCCAGCGCATTGCTAGCGGACAGGAACCCGATCCGGCTGCGGTTTCCTGGGATGCTTCGCATCATGCTCATCCTCAGCCATCGCAGAATGGGGACGATGCGCCACCATCTTCGTCTGGCGGACCTTCATTGGCGCCTGCTCCGAAGTTCCTCAAGCGCCAGGTGACGCCCCCGCCGCGGTCGCCGGATACCGCTGGCCAACGCACGGCTAAACAGTCCCCGCTTTACAACCGAGGCATGATGATGGAGAGCACGGAGGAGATCGATTACAGCAAGGATTCCGCCAAGGATTTGAAGCCGCCGTACAGCTATGCGACGTTGATTGCTCAGGCTATCTTCTCGAGTGAAGAGGAGAAGCTCACATTGAACAGCATCTACAATTGGATCATGGATAAATATGCCTTCTATCGACACTCTCAAAGCGGCTGGCAAAATTCGATCCGCCACAATCTCTCGCTGAACAAGGCGTTCCAGAAGGTGCCTCGCCGGACCGACGAGCCGGGCAAAGGTATGAAGTGGCAGATCGCAGTAGAGTATCGGGATGAGTACCGGAAGAAGCAAATGCGCAAGGGTGGCACGCAGTCATCTGCCCCGTCCTCACCAGCGACCAAAGAGCCACCGTCATCCGCACGCGGATCCCGCGTTACCAAAATCGATACCTCGCTCTCAGCAACAGCGAAAAAGTCACCACCCATTTCGTCCCCGGGCTTCAGCTCATTTCCCGTAGCTCCGGTGGAAGCATACACACCAGAGCGTGGATCCCGTCTCGGTCGAGGCCTCGGCTCCGACCACCCACTGCGACACATGAATCCACGCGACTATGACGAACCGTCGCCGCTCCCATCGCGCTCGCACAACCACAGCTCCAGCATCTCTACGCAGGTGCAAAACAGCAGCAACAATTTGACCCGCGCATACGGCATGTCCGACAATGTAGCCGGGTCTCCACCGGTCCTCTCCTCTTCCTACTACAACGAAGAACCCTCTTCAATGATCACCCCCGCTCCTCAACGCCAACAACCCCGTCTCCCTCCCCCAAGCACAGCACAGATTCCGTCCAAGTTCATGCCCATGAGCTCGCCCGCGCAGTTCTGGAAGTTCGCTGATATCGGGAGTACCCCTGCCCGCCCACCGCCGGACATGAGTCCCCTGAAGGGTGAGGTCGAGGACCGCATCATCGGCGGGTTCCCGAGTAGCTCGCCCCCGCCGCCGAATCTCGTTAGTCCCAGCAAGCCAGGGACGTCGAATGGACTTGGCTCGGGTCGGACTCTGCCACCGCTACAGTCGGATTCGGGGGATATGGGACCTAATGGAAATTCTCATGTGAGGAATGAAGATCGGGACGAGGAAGATGATAATGGATCGGGTTTCGATCTTGCTAGGTATGTTTTCCTTTTGCTTGCATTGGCTTTTTGCCCAATTGGCGTGCACGAACTAATACTATATCCAGGGGCTTCGAACCTATTGGCTCATACCATCGACAACTAGGCAATGCTGCCCGCGCAGCTGCTACTTGATGTTGACTTCGATGTTGATGTACAACATGTCCACTTAACAGACTGTGTCCATGTGTTTTACTACTTGCTTCATGCTTCATGCGCTTTCCGCATTACGAATGGTGTTGGCTGGTTTGGTTATTCTTATACTTGTTTTTGAAGGTTTGCTCGATGACACTGTCATATCTTGGAGCAAAAACCGGAGTTCGACTTTGATTCTATCTCGGGGGGAAACAGTGAACGGCGTTGTTTTCTTGCTTTTTCCAGTTCTAGAAGGCCTTATACGTATTCGGCTTTAAGCCAGATGTATTATATCTCATATTTCAACGAGATCATATCAAACCTTAGATTGAGTTTCATCAGATAAGATACATCATTCAACATTCGGCCAAAAATTCTCCTCCAACCAAACGATCTGCCTCCACCACTCCAAACATCTTCCCCGCATAATCTCCAATTCCTCCGCCCCTTTAATCTGCCCCGCCATCTCATCAACAACATCCCCAATCCGATCAACAAATCCCTCAAACTCAACACTACTCCAATTCCCAATAAACCTCTCCCTCAACGCACCCCCATCTGCATCCTTCTTATAATCCCTCTCCCCGTCTTCCGCCATACACCCCGCCGCAAACCTCCACGACCGAAGATAACAAACCTCCGTAGCCCACAACACAGCCAACCCCTCTAACACAGAAACCCCACTACTCCCAGCAGACATGAACATATCAATATAAGCCCGCGTCGTCCGACCAGCACAGAAGAAAAGAGTCACACACCGCTCCTCCCGACCCTGCCCCTGCGGTCCAGGCGCGCAAACCTCCCCACCAGGCATCTGGCACTCCCCCTGACTACTACACAGTCCATGACCGGGCGCAGTGCTCTCGACATCCCCGTTCCCTGTACTACCGGGACAGCTTCCCGAGCCGCTGGTAGATATACCCGCCGAAGTAGTGATATCCGATCCCGGGCCGCAGGAGGTAAGTTTGCAGCCTCCTTCTTCCGGGGAGACGGCTGTTAGATCGAGGTTATAGTCTGAGGCTGTTTGTTCGAAGAAGGCGAGTTCGGTGCGGATGTTGACTAGGGCGTCGATGAGGACTGTTATGGCATTTTGTTCGGGGGTTGCGGGTTTTGAGGGGTTTTGGGATGGCAGCCGGATTTTGGAGAGGAGGAGGCCGATGAAGCGGATGTAGGATTGGGCGTAGAGTCTGTCTTGGGAGAGCCATTGGCTTAATTGGAGTTTTGGGAGGGTGCCGCGGCCGGCGGAGGCCAGGAAGGGGTGGGTTGTTGCGCGTTTGAGGGCATCGGGAGTGCTTGATAGGAGGAAGGCTGTTAAGGGGCCTTGGCTTGTCATTTTTTGGGGTTTTGGTTGTTTGTGGTAGTTTGCGGTTGTTGGAGGGGGAGAGATATTAAGATTGTGGGATGGCGAGAGTGGGATGAACATGGCATGTCGTCAGTGGGGCATAACATCGGGAGTATATCTAGTTACCTTGTTGTACATTTACCTATCCATGTTGTATACACATCTGTACATTACTTCAAGGTCAGAAATTTGATATTCAAAGCGGAGATTTCATTCAGTTCAGATCATAAATAGCTAAAAGTAGCCATACATCCCCCTTTTTTTTTTAATTATTTTCCACATTTTTGATCTCGCGCAAATTGAAATAAATTGAAACAATCCAACCACTCTGGGTCCTTTCATACTCTCAAGGGAATCCGAAGAGAGGTATTTAAACAATTCTCAAATGTGACTTCCCGGTTCACACCGTCACTCGCCCTTTCGTGAACTGAGAATCGTTGCAGTTGGGCATCTTAATGACTCCACACAGCGGCATCGTCGGTGCTGTCGACAGCCTCTTCACAGGTTGGAACCATAGATTCAAATTTCGGCATATCGTTAGGATCGATCTTGACCTTAGGCGCATCACTGGGCCTGGACTTAGATTTCTCGCTGACTCCAGCCCTCTCGTATCCCCACGGCCTCTCCCCAGCCACTCTCAGCATCATTCGCACAAGAGCATGCAAGGTGTAGTGTGCATCGTTTCCCGCATTGTGCAAGTCAGGACTTAGGATATTCAATATTCCCAGCAGTGCTCGAAGGCCTCGCTTCTGGGCCTCCCCAGTCACAACACGGTGCAGCTCTGCCACATCGAAAGTCTCACGAATGACTGAAGAGTGTCCATTCTTGTGGATGAAAACTTGGCTTCCTGCATTCTGGAGACGCATAATATCACCCTGGAGGTCGAGGCCGACCAAGATCACAGTGCGTTTCTGATTCTTGTATGAGGGGACCACTTCATCCTCCATGGGAACCATGTATGGGGGATGGAATGCGGTATCAACAACCTTCCCAACGTCGCCCCTTGGAACCATCTCGCTTTTGCCGAATCGGAAACTACCAGGACATCCAGTGCTGAAAGTTGAGTTGACCCATTTTCGGTACTCTGCGACACGCAGGTGGCGGGACCGGACTTGGCTCATCCACATATGACCATAATCACCAGGAACCACACCTTGCAGATCCATCATATCCAGGGTCGAAATTCCAACCTCAGTCAGATATCCGTGAGTGTCCATCCACTCGAGATCAATGCTGATGAAGATGGGAGCATCCTGAAAGGCCCATTTGGCAGGTTTCAGAACATCAACCGCAGCAATCTGGCCTTTGTCAAACGATGGCTGTGGAACATTCGACTTAAACGGGGGACGCAGCCCAAAGTAGGCTTGCGCGCGACATAGGCAGTCCTCCCACATCTTCATCTGCGCATTGTGGGACGCCTTCTTGCGTTGTTTTTTAGTCTTGGTTGTGTCGATTGACTGCTTGATTTTCTTTTCGAATTCTTCGATGACACCAGGCTGGAGCAGCCTTGTCCAAGGTCCCCAGTTTTCCGGACCCGGGGGAATACGACAGTACAAGTCTTCCTTCTGACCAGGGGTGCTGCTTCGGCCGAGAAACACAGGCCGCGGCAGCATCTCGTTGTTGAATTCCATCACAAGGCCTTTCTTGTCAGCGAGAGTCAATGTGATGTTCAGAGCCGAATTGATTTCGTCGATCAGGGCTTGAGCTTGGAAAGTCGGAACCAGAGGCAATGAGGCTGAAGAAATTGCCAGTGGGACAGATAGGTAATAACTTGGTGAGGATTAGCGTTGATATACTTTGCTAAATGATTCTAGATTCCACAAACAGATCCCAAGTCCGATTCCAGAACTTTTGACGCTCATAGAACCGCTCATTAACTCTCTTGAATTCGTCTCCATAGAGATACTTGAAAGGGAAGCGGGCCATGGTGGTGGCCGGAATGTAGGACGACGTAGACTGGATCGCAGTGACCGGCTTCTCGTTAGAAACACTGCCGTGTTTATCGTTGAGCTCGTCCGAGGTATCATGGTCGATGTCAGTACGAGACGGGTCACGATCATCCTGGTCGATGCCGGTCAAATTGTCTTCCGACTCAGATAGCACTCCAACAACATGGGTACGGATGTACGACAAGGGGAATTGGCCACTCTTCGGGTATTTCATACCCTTCTCCGGCTCAAAATCATCGGGGAAAGCGTATCCACTTACTCCTTGTTCAGCTTTCTCAGGCTCAGCTACCGGGTCACCTCCATCCGAAACCTGGGCAGGCTGGACGGCTTGAGCCTTGTTCCGGTTGGTATTCAGGTATCTGAGACCTTCATCTCCTTCGAGGAGCATGTCTAGAATCTCACGAGGGCCCATTTTGGATGACTGAGATGACAGCTTCAACAAGATTAAGATGTGATATGAACTAGAGAGAAGGAAAGAAGTAAACAAACGCGGCGCGAACTACACGTTCAACCCAATGGTTGCTAGGTGCCCAAATAGGCAAGTACAGTGTTTGAAGATGGAAGGAGTGATGGAGGCAACGATCGGACTTTCAAAACAAATTTGGGTGATTTGCTTTTCTAAAGGACTACATGAGATGATTGATAGTAGCTGTAGGCAAAGACAAATACATCTTTTTATCTCTTCTTCTCTAAGCTGTCACACATGATAGTAGGCAGGTTACTATCCAATAATTGCTAATGACAGTGTTGGATTGCTTCAATTTTTTAAATAAAGGAATTAACACTTAACTCTTATTTCACTTGACTTTTGCAAGTAAAATCGAATTAAAATAGCCAAGACTAGATATAGATATGACATTTATATAGACCCACAACTATAGTAAGCTAAAATATATGGAACTACTAGGTACTTTTGAGACCCAATATATGATGTCGCTGATGGGAAATTTTCATGTCAAAATACTCATAAATTATATATATCTGCAATAATTAAGAAGTTTTGTTAACAAATTTATACTTGAAATCCAGGTAAAGGCTTAATAGCTTGATATATTATGCTCACGTGACTGAGAGCTCCCCCCAGACTGGAACAACTATTCATCCGCTGTTTAGGACCTCGTGCAGCCAGGCATCCAGCTCGATCTGTTATCGCGACGCCGAGACCCCTCGATGTCCGCATTTGTCATTGCAGAATCTCAGTGAATTTGACAGACCTTCAAGAACAATTACATTCCAAGGCGCATCAGTTGACAAGTCAATATCCTCCACCCTACTAGAATATGCCGATGACCGACGAGACCGACGATAGCGGAGGGGTCATTCTAGATGGCCCCTTCGATCCTGACGCGCAGGCCACAGTCACAGACTTTATTGACTACACCGAATACCTCCCCGCAGACTTAATCCGCTCCTTGACCCTCATCCGCGGTCTCGATGACCGATACCTCGACTCCGCGCAAGCGGTCCACCAGCTCACTCAGACCTACGGTCAGCTCCCAGACCTTCCTGCAGATAGCCGACCAGACGCAATTGCACTGCGCAAAGATATATCTACTCAGCTCGATCGTGCCATCAACGCGCGTGAATCGGCATATGCCGAGGCCTGTCGCCTCTACGACGTTGTAGATCGCCACTTTGACCGATTAGGCTGCATCCGCCAGAAACTTGAAGCACTACCGAAACCTGCCTCAGCGGAGCCATCGCCGCCACCTGAACCTACACCGAAGCGCGCGCGCGGAGGTAAGAAGACCAACAAGGATGCCACGACACGTATCACCCTTCGTTTGGACAACAATCGCAACCGGAGAGATAAAAATAGGAGGCGTATGCTAGGTACTGATGGTGCTTTTGATCCAGATTCTCCACTTGCCAGTACTGAGCAATCAGACTTGGAGAGCGAATTCATTAAAGCTGCCCCCAAGCCTCGACCCCCAAAAAAGGAAAAAGCACGTCGCCTGAGCTCGGGCGTTGGACAGTCGACAGCCCAGGCCCTTGCGCAGTTGAAGCCGCCGCCAGCTGATGCGAAATTGGGCAGCGAGGACTTGCCGTGGCTGCGATTGACGGAATGGGAGATGACTAGGCTGCGCAAGAAGATGAAAAAGAATGCTGTGTGGCAGCCCAGTGAAGTAATGATTCACCGTGAGCTGGCCCTGGCAAATCGCGGCTGGGAAGCATATCGTGCAGCGAAGGCCCTGGCGGAAGAGACGGGTGCGGAGTTCATTGACTGTGATAATATTGAAGAAACCCGGCGCGGGGAGGCTGCTAAAGACTTGGAGGAGACGAAGTTGAGCAATCGTGGTATGAAACTTAACGAAGCAAAGAAGTTGAAACGCGAACAGTTGGCCCGCGAACAAGCGCTGATGGAAGGCGAAGGTGGTGCTTTGACTAGGTCTTTGCCAACCCCAGCCCAAGCACCCCCACCCGCGAATCGAGCATCACGGAAGAGGAAACGGGAAGAGGTTATCGCAGCGGCAGAACTTGCTGCTCCCGAGTCTCCAAGACCTGCGCCAGTTGCTGCCCCGGTCGCACCGTCCGCCCCGGCTGGCGCATCTCGGCGCAAATCCAGCCGAGGAGGAGCTGTTGCAGCCGCAGAAGCCAACGACCTCATTCCTCCAATCAAAACCCACATGTCTCCTGCAGTTGAAACCAAACCCTCCCCTCCTTCACTCAGCCCTACAAGCTCTGGACAATCCAACCTACCCCTTGTCCAACCCGTCACTACTCCTACACCACCCGTCACTCGGCCTTCTTCGCGACGCTCTGCTGCCGCCGCCTCAATCGAAGGGGGGGCTCTCGGTAGTATCCCGACCGCAATAGCAGCAAGTGGACGCGATCGCCGTATCAAAAGTGCCACACCAGCCCACAAAACACCCATCCGCGAGTCATCTGCGCCAAGTGTTCCCGCCCCAGCCCGACGACGCAAGCGTCCGGCACCAGGTCCCATTTCCACTGGTCAGGATGGCGGCGCAGCAGTGAGCTACGGACGTCGCAAAGCCAAACCAGGAAAGAAGCGTCTTAGCATTCGCGACTCCCAGGATGTCCGTGTAGACGAAGATGGCGTCCTAGAGCAGATCGACGCCAATGAGCCCCGATACTGTCTCTGTGGAGATGTCAGCTTTGGAACGATGATCTGCTGCGAGAACCAGGATGTAAGTTATCCCAATTATCACTTGATCTAGCAGAAAGCTAATATTCTTCGCTTTAGTGTGACCGTGAATGGTTCCATCTCAGCTGCGTGGGTTTGACCGAAGTCCCCTCTCGCACGGCAAAGTGGTACTGTCCCCAGTGCCGTGTCAAGCTGCATAAGGGCGAAGATGGAATTATCAAGGGGAGCTCGCGACGTTAATTGGATTTGAATGATGTTTCTTGCATGATACCACGAAATGCGTTTGCTGTTTGATTTCCCCATTTTTGTATGGAGTACTGCCATATGGCCTTCAAGTTTCTAACCTTGTCTTTCTCTACCAAATGATTATTTCTTTTTTAACATTGGAAGCAGTATTGTGATATTTGCGAGGCTCCAGCTTCCGACCTTAGGACACGCTATTATGTCTGCTCTGCCTGTGCGATGATATAGCTCTAGGCCCTTTCAATTGCACCCCTTTACTACGCTGCTTTGAAGTCTCTTTCCATAGCAGATAGTTCAGCGTACCCCTTATCCAACCCTGATTTCGAATATCGACTAGTATCCGGCAACTCTGGCGTATCATCTCCAGGCCGCGGATGATAAAAGTCCGCCGGCAACTCCGCAGCAAATGTTTTACTATCAGATTTCACCGGCGCATACCCCGTCCCCTGGACTGACTCCGTCGGCGACCTCGGCGCCCAAGACGACGACGACATTTGATCCGACCTCCTTGACAAAACTGACGCCCCCCTAAAAATTCCACTCGACCGATCAGCCGGATTATACGTCAACAATTTCCCATCCTCCATCACCCCCTGCAAAACCCCCTTATCAAGAAGCTCAGCTTTCTTAATCAACCGATCAACCAACACCTTCGAAGCAGCCTTCAACTGAGTCTTAACGAAAGAAACCAGCGTGCGATTGCATTCGATCTCAATATCCTCACGCAGACATAGTCCCGTTTGAGTACCTATTTCTGAAGGCTGGTCTGTAATGCGCCATTTGCTTTTGAGGTCTATTCCCATCGGCGCGTACATGTGCGTTTCTAGTCCCCATTCAACATTGTGGAAACAGCCTTTGAAGCTTATCTTGCCCGAGCCCATCTTACCGAGGCCTGGGACGTATTGTACTCGTTCGGTGATCTCGTACCATGTTGAGTAATATTCGTCGGCGACCGCATCGCGGGGCGCTTTGACTGGCTGGTGTGAGATGACGAGGGGGTTTAGTGTGATTATTTCGCTGTGGCTGTGGAGGATGTCGAGGGCTAGTTGGCGGGGGACGGTGGGGATGGGGGTTATATTCGTGTAAAGTTCTTTTCGGCGCATCATCCTGGATGATTTTGAATACAAATAGCTAGATATAAAGCTGAGGGGGAGGGGATAAATGAAAGCGGCTGGATTGAAGTTGGGCTCGTATTCAGCTGCTTACTACTTTTAATTTGTCGGCTAAGGGCTACATCTTGCACATGACTGTATGGCTTGGGGGCGGAATATTGAAATAATTGAAAATAATAGATTGGTATAACATAAATTCATTTACATATTTACTTTAGCTCCCACTTCTCGCCCTCGGAGACGATCTCCACAGGTCGCCTCTCATCCAGTGACTTGCGTCCTGCATCGAGGATTGCCGTTGTGGCGATTGTATTGCGCAGAGTGGGCAGTGGGCGCGCGTCCAGCTGGTCGAGGGTGACGCGGCCCTCGTTCACGGCTGTCACTGCGTCGATGAACTTTTCGAAGCTGATGTAACCGTATCCAGTCTGTCCGCTGAAGTTTCCTTCTTCATCGGGAGCGTAACGCATATAGAATCTAGTATATTGGAGTTAGCATGGAATTATGGTGCAGCATTATCCCGATGGGGTTCTTACGGGTTGTAGTGAATTAGACCCTGGTCATCGCCGGTCACTTCATAGCCGCGCTTGGCCTGGTTAACGCGGATTTCGCCGTTGGCAGCCATATCTGTTCCGATGTGTTAGAAGAGACCTGTAAACAAGTGCCGGAGAATGGAATAACATACAGTGGAAGTACTGGTTGGAGTGAACACCCGCGCTTAGAGGTGCCGTCCAGCTAGCAGTATAGACACCAGTGGCGATCTTCGCCGGGTCATCACGACGGCGCCACTCGACCAGGAGTGTAATGGTGTCCTCGGTCTCGGGGACACATCCAAGCGCAGCGGCGGTACCCTGAGATGCAGTTGCTGTGACCCGCACAGGCTTGTAATCTGGGACCATGCTCTCGCAGATATCGATGTGGTGAGAGTTGAGGTAGTAAGAAATATCGGAGTCACGACCAGCCCACGCCTTGAAGGTCTCGAGCTGGCTCTTAGGCTGGCTCATGTAACTATAGAAGTAGTTGAAGTCACCGAGGGTCTTTGCCTTAGCCCGCGCATCAGAGTATGCAGGGTCAAAACGCTTATGGTGCTCAACAAAGACGAAGACGCCGTGCTTGCGCGCGGCCTCCACCAGAGCGAGGTGGTCTCCTAGTCGCTGGGTTGCTGGCTTGGTGATGAGCACGTGGATGCCGCGCTCAATTGCGTACAGGGCAATGGGAAAGTGGGTGGAGTCAGGGGTGAAAATGGTGATGGCGGATCCTTTGGGGAGGGCATCAATGGCGGTCTTGTATGCATCGGGGTCGGTCTGGTCGTCTGCGGGGAACGAAGTAAACGAGGTATCGAGGTTGTTGTAGACTTGAGAGATATTACGGTGCAAGTGGTCGCCTATTCTCATTAGCTTTCTGTTCGTTTGCTTGTTCGTTTGCTCAACTTACGGATGCCAGGGAACTTCTTGCCTGACACGCCCACCATGCTCAGGTCGCCCACCTTGCCCCGTCGGCGCAGGTCAAATAGACTGAGCCCTACCACGCCGACCTTCTTGTCTGAGCCTGATGCACCACCGCCGACGAAGCCGGTGGTGTATTCACCAGTGCCAACCTGCGGATCAGTTAGCTTAGGATCCACTGCTAGGTAATCATTGTCCATACCATCAAAACGCTAGGAGGAGCCATGATGTCTGAGATTTTGATTGAATTCCGGGGGATTACTGGGGACTCCTGGGGAGAAGAGGAAATTTAAGATAAATTTACAAAAAGCCGGGGTATTCAATGGATATAATTCTTCCGGCGTTTGAAAAACTGTCAATAGCCGTATCTTATCAGTCCATGGGGTTTTTTGACGTTGATTTTCTTCAACTTCTTTCTTCCACCTGGGCAAGATCTTCCGAGATCTTCCAATGTTCCTTTCAAGGTTCGTTTCAAGGTAGAGGCAGATATATACATTTACTATCTTCGCATGATCTCAATTGTTTCTCAAATGCCCGACTCAACGGGCTGAAAATGCGCGTTTACCCGCGTTTTTACCCCTCAAGTCCCCCACATTTTCTGTGGTTTGGACTGATTGGTGGAATTCAATTCTCCGCCATACAAACCGCATCGGACCATTTGCCGACGTGGGGGAGGATGGGATGGCCTTAAGAATGCCAATATGCTTTAATTACTATATACCCCTCAAATTTCAAATTCCAAGTAGGTTCATTATACCAAAAAAAGTGAATATCAGCTCACAGAAACAGAATCATGTCTCCCACACCACTCCGCCCCGGCGTTTATGCGCCAACAATGACCTTCTTCGATGCCGAGACTGAAGAGCTCGACATCGCCTCCATTCGCCGCCACGCTGTGCGTCTGGCAAAGGCCGGTCTTGTCGGCCTGGTTACTATGGGTTCAAACGGCGAGGCTGTGCATCTCAGCCGCGAAGAGCGCATGACCGTCACTCGGGAGACCCGTTCTGCTCTCGATGAAGCTGGTTTCTCCAATGTGCCCGTCATTGCAGGCGCCAGTGAAAACAGTATCCGCGGAACCATCGACCTGTGCAAGGAGGTCGCAGCTTCTGGTGGCGAGTACGTTCTGATCGTGCCCCCCAGCTACTACCGCGCCGCAATGGGCAACGATGAAACCCTATACGAATACTTCACCGCCGTTGCCGACGGCTCCCCTGTTCCTATTATCCTTTACAACTACCCCGGTGCCGTCGCTGGCATCGACATGGACTCCGATCTCATCATCCGTATTTCCGAACACCCTAACATCGTCGGCACTAAGTTCACTTGTGCCAATACCGGCAAGCTGACTCGTGTCGCTACCGCTCTCGGCGCCATCACCCCCTCCTCCCCCTTGGCCCCGGCCGAGCGTACCGCAACAGTCTCCAAGCCTAACGCTAAGCACCCATACGTTGCCTTCGGCGGTATTGCCGACTTCAGTCTGCAGACCCTCATTTCTGGCGGCTCTGCCATTCTTGCAGGTGGTGCGAACGTTCTGCCCCGTCTGTGTGTCCGCATTTTCACTCTCTGGTCTGAGGGCCGTCTCACAGAGGCCATCGAGGCTCAGCAGCAACTCAGTGCTGCTGACTGGGTCCTCACAAAGGCTTCTATTCCTGGCACCAAGGGTGCTATCCAGTCATACTACGGTTACGGCGGGTTCCCTCGCCGACCTCTCAACCGTCTTACTGATGCCCAGTACCAGGCTGTTGCTGATAAGATCAAGACTGCTATGGATGTGGAGTTGAGCTTGCCCGATGTGGCATAATGGCTTGGAAAATAATAGCAAAGAGCTATATCTAAAGTCTAGTAAATATAATTCCAATGCATATATCAAGTTCCATGATTTCACCCTTTGTCTTAAGTTTACACCTTCATTATAATCTTATGTGCTAGCAGTGACCACTACTTGAATCGATCTATCTACTTAAGGTATGCGTGGTAGCCTAAGGTGTCATACGTAACAACTTCATCATTCAACTTTGAAACTTTACCAGTGTGACTAATTTCCCAATCTGGCATAGTTCAATAAAATATACTTCCTAATTTCACAACGGATTGTCCACTGAGACACTCATTCATCCTACTAGTAGCATTCAAGGAAACGGACGGGCTTTCGTTTAGGGCTTAGTAGGTGAACCCAACCTTCCAGTCTTATCTACCCTCATGAAGAGGTATCCCCTCAACCACCTAAATATGGTAAACTACATATACCCTCTCCTTCTTGTCATTAACCAGATATCCAACCCCATGCGCGATACTGCCGTATATACTAGTTGTTCGACATTCCTATCTCAGGAAATCCACCAAAATGGACGATACCATGAATACAATCCCCCAAACCTGGTGTTTTATACTGAGATACGAGAGACTTGAACTCATGCTAGCCTGCATGAAGGAAATAACAACGCCCTTCATCTCACAGTCATGTCTTAACCTTCTCCGGATTGACCTCAATCATCTAGACATGACTTCTGGCAAAACATCCTCTTCTGTTACGCGGTATTTCATGCCACGGACAGACACTCCCAGGATAGAGAAGATACGTCCAGATCCGAGCTGGGATTGGTTTCTATCTCAAAAAGGCAACTATGGCAGAGGAGCGCACAGTGCAAATTATTTGCTTCAGCGGGTGTTCATGGACTACCAGGACTGGAGTATTCCGGAGTTTTGGCCTCAGCTTGATGGGAAAAGCGGGGGAAAAGAGAATTATAAGGATTCTACTGTCCAGGAATCGGGTCGCCTTGATAGCGCTAAGGATGACAAGGTGTGCGACAAACCAGATGATAGAGCAGTCTGCGAGAGTGGGGAAATAAATAGTGACAAGGTTAAAGAAGGGGAGATTAGGGACCATGGAAAATATGATGATAATTGTGAAGATTGCAATAAGAGCGAAGAGAGCTGTGGCGAAGATTGCAAACCAAGCGATGGAGGTCACGACGAAAGCCAGGAAACTGACAAGGATGCCGATGACCATGAGATGGTGATCTTAAATTCTTTGGACCTGGACATCCGCAATTACCAAACAGACGACTGGTTAGTCTACTGGTAAGTGAAGCCTTGCTATCCCTGGGAAATGTGGTTATGCTGATCAATTTCACCAGGTACCAAAGACTATACGATATCGATCTCCCAGACAAAAAACACGGAATCAGTATCGCCAGGACAATGGAGCGAGATCACCCGCACAAGTGCCACGCATGGGCTCTGGCAGATGTGAGCTTATGTGGTCACGATCGCCCCTCGACTGCTGAGCTCATAGCTCTAGTTAGCTGGGGGTTGAGAGGCATGTCACGCCAAATAGAATTACTCGCCAATGGAATCGAGCCAGAGGATGTCCATATGCTCAGTGAGGTTTTCCCGGTACGTTTGATTCACTCCCACCACCCCGTTGTGCAAAATGAATTATACTGATATATTGCGAGTTATAGACTATGATTATAGCTTTCGACCAAAGATGCTGTGCCCGTGTACTGTACTGTTACTTTGATGGTAGACTCCAAGTTCAATTTACCCCGGTCTTGGATTTTAGAGAATTTACTGATGTCGGATCGTCAACATTGGATGGTTATATGAGTCAAATCGATAAGAAGAAGTATTTCGATATGATGCACTCGCTGCTTTGTTGGGCGTGGCCTCTTGACCATCATCTTACCACTATCACTCAGCTTTGAGATGACAATTATGGCGACATGTGGAACCTTCTTTTAGCTCTGCTGCCCCAGTATAGCTTTGGATGGCTCATTTATATGGCTAAGTTTTCTTAATGTCGCTGACGGGCATTCGATCTTGATTTGCGGGGCAATTCTTTGTTTACATCGACTTTATTAGGGCTTTTTGACCCCTGTATGTAGGCTTTACTAGATAAATAATTCAACGGGGGTTATAAACTTGCAAATATTCGCGCTTACTCTTACATTTTCGATACGCAGTAGTGAAGATGACGTATCGCAGTACATTGAGCTCAAGCCTCAGATATTTGTTTCTCTCATCAACTATGTCTACTAGATCACACCCATGTCAATTCCAAGCCCTAAGCCAAAGCCCTATAACATCCCACTTCTTATCAACGATAAGAACCTGGATATTAATTTCTCCTCGGGATTCTATAGGTGGAAAAACTACTAAATCGGAGTTGATACGAGAATCCATCCACTCGACAACAGGATCTAGCGTTATCAACTACGTAGTATGGATACTATTAGAATCCCATCCCACCAAATAAAGCAAGTCACCCCACGCCCAGTCGTCATTCTTCTCAACATCACCCTTCGGGCGATATGGAACCCCGAATCTGCGCTCTGATTCCCCCTCGGTTGTCAGTTTAGCCGGTGAAGTGGGTCCACGGGAGAATGTCCGACTGGGGGAAATGTACTATACTGCCGTATGTCCTATAGCACCACGATGGTTTTGAGACTATATCCCGCGTTGGAGGAATCAGGGAATGATTACGATCCCCGCTCGTAAGGGTCTAAAATTTAGTAGCGTTGATATACCCCCTCCACCCCGCTTGTCGCCTGGTTTCTACTTTTCTGCTACTTTTTTATTCTCTCGACTTTGCTTTGTATCTTAGAGAATAGTCATTGAAAGACTTAAGACCAATCGCACATTATCACAATGCCTTACCCCGAAGAAGCTGAGGGATTCCAGGTCGATGGACCTAACACCTTTACCCAGTTCCACAAGCGCCACGTATGTGCTCTTTTCCGTGTGCTGGTTGGGATATGCGCTTACTTAGATTGGTTATGAATAGTTTAAGCTGAAGCCTTTCGGTGATTATGGTGAGTTAGGCTGTGCCACTATGCTTCCTCCCGATTCTAACCGAGTATAGATGTCGACGTTAAGATTGAGGCCTGTGGTATTTGCGGCAGTGATGTACACACCATTAGCGGTATGGTAATCCGTTGGAATAAGCAGAAACACCGGCTAATGTATTCTTATAGGAGGATGGGGTGATCAGAAGTTCCCCCTGTGCGTGGGTCACGGTATGTATTCAATCAAAAGAAAATGGCCATCTCAAGCTAATGACAATTTTAGAAATCGTCGGTCGGGCAATCCGTGTCGGACCTAAGGTCACTCTGATTAAGGAAGGCGAGCGTGTTGGAGTCGGCGCCCAGTCTTACTCCTGCGGCAAGTGCAAGCAATGCCGCAACGACAACGAGACATACTGCCAGGTCGAGCCGATGGACACCTATGGCTCGAAGTGGGCCGACAGTGGCATCGTTAGCCAGGGTGGATACTCATCTCACGTGCGGACACACGAGCACTGGGTGTTCCCTATCCCAGACGCACTGGAGACCAATGCTGTTGCTCCTATGCTGTGTGCTGGTCTGACTGCTTACTCACCCTTGGTGCGCAATGGCGCTGGTCCTGGCAAGAAGGTTGGAATTGTTGGACTGGGTGGCATTGGTCACTTTGGAATCATGTTTGCCAAGGCGCTGGGTGCGGAGACGTGGGCTATTTCGCGCTCGCGCGCTAAGGAGGCCGATGCTCTCAAGCTTGGTGCTGATGGATACATTGCTACTGCTGAGGAGGGATGGGAGAAGGATCATTTGTGCTCTTTCGATTTGATTATCAACTGCGCCAACTCCTCTGAGGGTTTCGATCTTGCGCGTTATCTGTCTATGATGGATGTTCATGGACGCTGGATCAGTGTGGGTCTTCCTGAGGAGGAGGGTCAGGTCATTAAGGCCCAGAACTTGATCTCTAATGGTGTTCTCATTGGTGCTAGTCACCTGGGTAGCCGTCGGGAGATGCTTGAGATGTTGCAGCTGGCTGCCGATCGGGGTCTCAAGGGCTGGGTTGAGGAGATCCCCATCTCGGAGGAGGGACTTAAGGAGGCCATGCTGCGCATGAAGAAGGGTGATGTTCACTATCGGTTTACTCTGACTGGATATGAGAAGATCTTTGGATGAAGGGGATGTATATTCAGTATTGAGAATTAGTATATAGTCGGTGTCAACAAAACCAGGGGGTAGAGGGCTGGGGGTTTAGGGGGGTTGGGGGTGTTATTCATATTGAACATTGAAGTTCTGAAGAAAGTGAAATTACATGATTTTTCCAATAATATTGATTTTGGCATTTCCCATGTGCCACATTCTCTAAAGCGAATCCGGCTGAAAGAAGTATACAAAGCGGACGAACACCCAATTCAGATTGGACTGCATTTGGGTATGTTTCCAATATTAGCATCAGCCTCAAAAGGGTGAAAGCCTATCATTATCCTTGTCTCACTAGAAATTTTCAAAGTAATTGCCACCGTGTGTAGACGGTACTTAGATCCGTAATAGATTTATTGTGAAGATCCCAAGTCACAGTTACTCCGCACTGCCGGTTTCCCCCCCAGGATTTGCCCCCGACTTTAAATTTCTGAACCATGCAGGCCCGAGTACTCTTGTCGTATTCGGTACTTATTATTATAGCAGACTAGCACAATAATATTAGTACCAGTAACTCCTCGGCAACTTGATGGTCGAACCAATCACTCCTCCTTAATTCACCGCCCGATAACTCAGATCCGTCCGTTCTGCTTTCTGGAATTCTTCCGCCCTTTTATTCTCCTTACGCCTTCGTCTTTTTTTTTTCTTTTGTTATTCTCTATCTATAGTTCATTCATTAATTCTTCTCTCTCTCTTTCTATCTTTTTTTATTCCCTTGGTCCTCGGAGTTCACAAACGGTCGTTGATATATACACTTTTGTTAGACTTATCTTACAGAACCCCCCAAGATCAATCGTCAATCGGTCGAACGATAAATAGACGAAACTCACAAAAAGCCTTGTCATTCTTTATATCCGCAACAGCCGGTACATATCGGCGGTCCCATTCATCCAATTGTTGTTTAATTTGCCCCTCGACACACCGACAACCTCGGTCATGTCGCCACGAGAGACCCACGCCGCCTCCACCAGGCGTCGCTCCTCTTTGTCGTTTCGTCCCCGCCCACGCACTGCTGGTCATGCCGCCCCGATGTCGAAAGAGCTTGCTTTGGACACATGGGAGGAGCCATACTTGATGGAAATATGCCAGAATGACCACGCACCGGTCGTGGAAGAGATAGACCCGTTCCCGAACGCGGCCCCGAGGCGCCGTGGTGCCAAAAGCTTTTCGAGTTTGAAGCATCCCGTGGATGGATTGGTCGCTCTCGGCCGTCGTCTGTCAGTCAGTCTTCGCAACAAGCCTTCCAAGCAAACACTTCCTATCACCGAGGACGTCAAATTGGTCGATGAAAATGAAGACTGTCAATACAACCGTGTTCCGAGCCACGCTAATCATAAGCGCATGGCTTCCGGTAGCTGGGATGCCCGGTCCACGAAAACACATTGGCACCAGGCCTACAGCGTCAACCGGCGCCCTTCTTTGAATAGTGTGTCTTCTCTGCATTGTTTCTATGCGCCTACCGCCTCGATTCACGCCGCGATCCCAGGCCGTGGGCGTCAGGCACCTCCAGTTTTGCCGAATCACATGTCCGGAAGTGCGGCACGCGCCGCAGCTGCAGCCCAGAATGAGCAAAGGGAGGCTGCGCGGCTGGCGAAGGCGGAACTGGAGAACAAGATGCTCGATATGAGGGTTCCGCAGGACTCGGAGAGCGGTATTTGTATCGACCTGCGCGATCAATCGGATGTGTCAGATGCCGATTTGCTGGGCGTCATGCGACTCGGTAAGGACGAATTCCCCTATAGGTAGCGTGTGTGTGGCTAACTTCTTTTTTTTTTCCAGATCCCGTGGCTCTGCTTCCGGCTGAAATTACATCACACATCTTTTCTTATTTGGACCCTGATTCCCTCATGGATGCGGAGCTTGTATCTCGCACCTGGTATCATGCGTCCTCTTCTCATGTTTGGAGGCGCGTATTCCGCAATTCATATGGCCGACGGCCAGCAAGCGAGACAGCCTCCAAGGTGAAGCTGTCATCTGGCCTAGGGAAGTCAATCCCGAACCAGGACTGGAAGAAGAAGTTCCTCGTTCGGCGCGCTCTCGATCAGCGCTGGAAGGATAGCAAGGCTGCAGCCATTTATCTTCAAGGTCACGAGGACAGCGTTTATTGCTCTCAATTTGACGAGTAAGTTAACATGGATATCTTGATATTGTGCACTGCTAACAAATTTGTAGGAACAAAATTATTACTGGCTCCCGTGATCGGACAGTTCGTGTGTGGGACGCACACTATCCGTGGTCATGCAAGAAGATTATTGGGCCGCCTGCAGCTCGGACTTTCCGCCGTGGTCCAGTGAATAATCCAACTTCCCAGGCCACGGGAACCTCCCCCTTCGTGACAATTACCCCGCCGTGGCCCACGGAGGATGAGACGGCTAAAATTACGGCACCTTTGGAAGAAGAATCAATGTACCACAGCGCATCAATCCTGTGCCTGCAGTTTGACGAAGAGATCATGGTTACAGGGTCTTCGGACTTCACCTGCATCGTGTATGACATTAAGGACGACTACCGACCGATTCATCGTCTTTCCGGCCACCACGCCGGTGTGCTTGATGTGTGCTTTGATGACCGGTACATCGTCTCATGCTCCAAGGATACCACTATCTGTGTGTGGGACCGAAACACCGGTGAACTTTTGAGGCAGCTCAACGGTCACCAAGGGCCAGTGAATGCCGTGCAGCTACGTGGCGACCTAATCGTGTCAGCCAGCGGCGATGGTGTTGCCAAGATGTGGAACGTGATCTCAGGTCAATGTGTCAAGGAGTTCACCAGCAAGGACCGTGGCCTTGCATGTGTTGAATTCAGTGACGATGGCCGGACCATCCTCACTGGCGGCAACGACCGCATAATTTATCAATTTGATGCTAACACGGGCGAGCTCGTTAACGAGCTCCACGGGCATTCGGGTCTCATCCGATCTCTGCATCTCGACAGTGCAAATAAGCGCATCATTAGCGGTAGCTATGACATGAGCGTCAAGGTGTTTGACCGTGATACGGGTGACATGTCCATCAACTTCCCTGGCTGGACCACAAGCTGGATGTTGAGCGTGCAGTCCGATTATAGACGCATTGTTGCGACAAGCCAAGACTCTCGGGCTGTAATTATAGACTTTGGATATGGTATAGACGGGATCGACCTGCTAGAGGAGTGATCCATTTGCATTTGTTCATATACCGCGTGCTCTTCTCAGCGTTGCCTCTTTGCCTTTGTGAGGTTATTTGGTGGTTGTTATTACATATATGTATACATTGCTACTGGATTATGGGGGGTGTACACGAGGTTTCTCGTGATTTCTTGGGTACAAATTGGTTCAGGCCCTGGAATATTGGCAAAATATATTCCCGCTCTTTGTTGTTCTTACACATCATCAGTGTAAAGATATATACCTACATAGCATACACATATATATTATCGTACATCGTATATCCTGTACCTTGTTTCGCAACAATAAACTCAATTTTCAATGTCTTGCGAGTTTGGTCGCCCGACGCGACAAAGCAGCCACAAGATCAATAGATCGACCATTTCTGCTAGTCAAATATGGCGGCGGGAAAGGCGGTAGCAGTGGCGGTCAATCCCTGTAGCAATCCTTAAGGCGACAGCTTGGTATCCTGGACGATAGCATAATGGAAGATTTGATATATGAGACTTGTCCTATTATAGTTGGATTGTTCCTCACTTGACGATGTAATAGTTTCATGCACTGAGATAATATCTCAGGCTAGGATGTGATACCTCAATGAAACCTGACAACTCAGGCATCAAACCATTGATTAACTAATCGACCTGTGATTCGCCAGAAAAGGTGGGCTAGTGTCAGTGTGATCCGTGGGATTTAGCATCAAAACAATCCCTCTGCTGTTTCCCATCAGCCACACAAGCAGAGACTACAAGGAGTCCTGATCTTGCGGTGTAATATCTCCATCAAGCTCCTCTTCCGCTTAGCGCTCATCTCAGTCTTATTTTCCGCTTTAGCGTTTCGATTGATATCTATTCTACCCCACCAACATGGGTGAATCCAGGTTCGGCTTTTCTCCTATTCCCCGCCATCTCGCGACCGATATAGCCTTACTGACGCCGATCAATTTACGTTATTAGACAGGAACTGCTGGCATGGCTCAACAACCTGCTGCAGCTGAACCTTACCAAGATTGAACAGTGTGGAACCGGGTATGGTTGATCAATATCCTCTCCGACGTCAAAGGGCCCGCGGGCCGGCCTATCTTTCTTTTGTATAGATCTGATGGGCTAACCTTCTATCTTTCTGTCTATAGTGCTGCCCTCTGCCAGATCTTCGATTCGATTTTCAGTATGTAATCACCACGACTTGCGCAATAATCGAGAGACAGAGACGGCTTTGAGATGTGAAGCATACTGACTGGTTTCTTTGTTCAGTGGATGTTCCCATGTCCCGGGTCAAGTTTAACGTCAACACTGAATATGCCTACCTCCAGAACTTCAAGATTCTTCAGAGTATGTGAAGGCGGATACCAAATCGGCCATCGATCCCTTTTTAACATAATCAATCACCCAGATGTCTTCGCCCGTCACCAGGTCAACAAGCCCGTCCCCGTCCAGTCCCTCACAAAGTGTCGCATGCAAGACAACCTGGAATTCCTTCAATGGGTTAAGAAATACTGGGACCAACACTACCCTGGTGGTGAATACGACTCCGTTGGTCGACGCAAGGCCTCCGGCGCCCCCGCAGCCGCCCCCGGTTCCCGCGCCCCCTCTGCCAGTAGCGCACGCCGTGGAGTGACCCCAACAACCGGCGGCGTCCGTCCCCGCGTCGCCGTCGGTGCCGCCAGTGGAGCGGCCACCGCTGCCCTGCAACAGGAGATCTCTACACAGAAGGAAGCCATCGCCGGACTGGAGAAGGAACGCGACTTCTACTTCGCTAAGTTGCGCGACATTGAGCTCCTGCTCCAGAGTGCCATTGAAGCCGATCCCGAGCTCGAAAAGGAGGAAGACACGCTTGTTAAGCACATCCAAGGAATTCTATACTCGACCGAGGTCCGTTCCCTTGACCTATTCACTGAGGATTTCCCAAACTGACGCTTATGCGCTCCCCATTAGGACGGCTTCGAGATTCCCGCCGAAGGAGAAGAGGTTGCTGGTGACGAGCTCGAGACTTTCTAAATGAAATGAGGTTCTGGAAGAGGAGGAGAGACCCGTTACTAATACCCCCGCGTCTTTGATTTCTCTTTCCATTGTCAAATAAGACGATCCGAGCACGTAGATATTGGAGTCACAAATGCATACAGCCTATTTTTTTTCCACCAATCCCTAAAGTGGTCTGACACTTAGGCTTAAAATAGCTTTATGGAGAATGGGATCGGCAAATGATTGTCTCTTAGTGTAACGTACGATGGGATAAGGTGGAGGGGACAATATTATTGGGAAATATTGAACTTATAAGGGGAGTCCAGGCAACTGTATAACTTATTTATTTACTTGTACTCTCTCTTTCTCTCCATGTATGTAGCCATTGTCCCTTGCCGAAAATAGCCAGAGACTAAAAATGATAATTAAACCTGCATGATAGACTAATCCTAAAATGGATTAGTATCCTTGGCTAGAACCTCATCTGGGCCCTGTCACTTTCTATTCGTTGATCCCATCAAGTACCTGACGGTACCTGCGTTGAGAACTGTCTTTTGTTTTTGTTTTTTTTTTTTTCAGTTCTGTTTTATGAACAGTTCTTCAATTTCAAACATCTTTTCCCTTAAAATTAGGGAGAAAAAAGAAAGAAAGAAAGAATCTGTCGGCCCCCGAGCCTAGTTCGTTACTAACACGGGTCGCTGAGACTAGGCCTCGATAGGGGATTTCGTTGGGTCCAGTCTGGGTCTTTTCCATCATTTTCCCGTTTCGCTTCTCTTTCGTGTGTCTCGCATTTTGCTTTCTTTTTGTTTCTTTTTGGTCGTCTTTTGGTCTCTTTTTGCTTTGCTTTTTGTGTTCACCCCTCTTGACCACGGAAAATTGTGCGCGAGTGTGACACTCTCAAAAAACTGTTCCGACCTGCTTACTCTCTCGACATATTAAATACGCTATATTTCTATTTTCGGTTCCAGATATCCAAAATGGATTAGGAAGTGAGACTGGCCTCTCTTTTTTCAAACCTCTTCTCGTCACTCTTTTACTCCAGGTTTGTCTATCAATTCATGGCCATCTGTTTGTTTATATGGCTTGATGCTTCAATTGAACCCATACTGACTCCGCTTAGTCGTTTGTACGATTGCCATTCCCTCCAACTGTGTGCCATATATCGCGATATTCTTGTCAAGCTGCTATCCATGCTACACTCTTGATCACAACGTTTGGCTACACTTTTGCCAACATCCATTCATTCATACTGTCAACCGGGTCATTCTTTTCTCAGTTCGACAATCTATCAATCTTTCCGCTCCAACAACACGCACGCTAGAACGTGTTTTTCTTTCATTTACATCTACATTTACCGCTTACTTTAACCTTATCAGCCCCATTCTTCGCAATACTGCGAAGCTCAACCTCTGTGAGGATCAACAACACATCCTTGGGATTGTTACTTTCTCTTGATATCCTATTACATGTGATTGCCAATTGCACGTGTATGGAAAAATTGTCAACATGGTTCATGGTCATCACCGTCACTCGCGCATCGGCAACCTAATTAGCGCCAAGCGCCGCCTGGATGCTAAGCTCGATGAAAAAGATGGCTCTGGTTTACTTGAGGATGATACATTTCAAAACCCCATCCTCCCAGTTACTGTTATAATTCCGGATGAAAATTGCGACTCGAAAAACTCCATGTGTCTTGAGCATGGCATGAATGAATCTGATCCACTGCTTGAAAAGCGGGACGAGACGACCTCCGCCGACCCGACTGTTACTGAGACTGTATTGCAGATAGTCGATGCTAGCTCACAGACCATTTTTCAATCGACCGGTACTGATTTTCCGACGACGATATCGGATTCCACGGACGCCATTTACACTCTACCGAGCTCGGACAGCTTGACAGCGACTGCACCTGCAACTACAACTACAACTACGAGTACAAGTTCCTCTGTAGATTTAGGGCCGACCTCGCCGGCGCCTACCTCTGCTACCCAACCGACAGCGTCGCCACTACCCGAGACGTCATTTTCAAGCAACTCCACGATCTCAACTCAAACTTCTTTGACCTCCACAAACTCCACAAGTCAACTTACAACCGCATCAAGATCTACCTCAGCAACAGTCATCACTTCGCCTGGATGGACTTCTACTCCCCTCGTCGGGCCTTCTAGCTCTATGCCCTCTGTTACGACAACCTCAACCCAGGCGCATAACTACTGGTCATATTCCGGCTCTAGCACCGACTCAGGTTTCGACCCTAGTTCCGGTTCCGGTTCTAGCTCCAGTTCCAGCTCGACGACCACGACTTCTGACACATACTACATAACCTCTTCGTCAGGTGTATACGGAGGTGCTGAGTCAACTGGCTCTGGGACTGGTACCGGATCCGCACCAACTACAAGTGACACGAACTCGGGGCACGATTCAGCAATCGATCCTGAGACATCTAAAATCGTGGGCGGTGTAGTAGGCTCAGTTGCTGGTCTCGCTCTCATTCTTTTCCTTCTATTTTACTACCTCCGCCGCCGAGGATTCTTTATGGGGAAAATAGGACGTCCCACTATGTTGGGTGACGCGGCAGCAGGGGCTGGAGCAGGGGCTGGGTCTCGAGAAATGGTCGAGCGACGCGAAAGCAAAGACCCCCTCTTCACAGCCTCATATCTCGCTCCTGCCTTCATGAAGCGATGGCGACAGTCAACGGCAACAGCACGCTCTGGCAGTACCGTTGACTCTGCCCCCAGTGAACGCGGGTTCCAAAAGATTTCTGGTAGAAAGCTTCCCCCCGTGTTCACCCACGGTGGCGACGGATATGGTGGCGGTCTAGACGGCGACTCCCCCACCATACCAGGCTTTATTGCTACCTCCCCAGCAACGGGACCAATGGGGTCGCCCTCTGCTTATGCTCCGCCCCCAACCTCACAACATGGTGGCATGCCCCTGGACTCAAAATTCACCCGCGAGGTCGAAGAGCAAACACCACCGTTACGTCCCAATCCCGTGCACCTCCCTGTCTCCAGTTCGGTCAACGTCGCTACCCCGATTACGATCACACCGGCCCACCCGATTGCGCAGCCCCAGAGCGCAGTCCCCTTTGCGCCGCCGCGGCCGGATGGGCTTGGCCGCAGTCTACATAGTTTCGACGGGAGTCGAAGCAGCCGCTTTACTGAGGTTATTGATCCGTAATTGTCAATGCGATATGGGACATGTGAAATGATGGAAATGAAGTGATTGGTTGGGTGCAGCCCCTGTCGGACTCCGGTGCTTCGCCCCGATCGTGCCTTTTATTGTTAATATTTTTCTGTTCGATTCTACCTTGTGCTGTAAAAGCGCATTTCCTGTCTTTGATTGGCATTTTGTTTTTGTTTTTCATCATTGATACCCCCCTCCCTTCTATTCTCGGCTTCTTTTTTTTTTTCTCTTGTTCAAATTACCTTCTCTTTATCTTCTCGTTTACCCTTGTCTCATTGTGAATAATCGTTAATTTAGCATGAATGACTACGTGTATGAATCTACCTTTGGAAGGCTTCAATGGTATCAGATCAGATAATCAAGATAATCTTAAACTATTGAGTTTCATGTAGGAAACCTTGTTTGCCATGCATATCGATGACTACTGGCTGAGAAACTATTTCAAGTTTCGGGTTGCTTACTATACATACGTGAGTACCTAGGTAGAATTGCCTAGATGCTTACGTGTGTAACAGATGTCTCGACTAATCCTGTATGGCCGGCCATGGATGCCGACCACGTGGCAAGGTCATCAAGACTACCTAGGTATCATTCCAAGATGTCATTTCTTCTTCGACTGCTTCATCTGACATGTAAGACTTTCATCGTGTCACCGTCTGAGACTAGCTACTGCAGTTGGATTAGATATTCCTTTCATGCAGGTGTCAGACGAGTCAGAAAGATGTATTTTCTCAAACGCTTTGCAAACCCTTCTAAAACACCTCTCAGGCGTCAAATGGTCGGGAGGCTGAGCACATTTGGAAGCAGGCGCAGGTTCGTGTCAACTTATCTGTCAAACATTGGCATCCGAACTTTATCTGAGCCAACGCGTCCCGAGACCAAATTTGGGTCGTGAGGTTTCTTTTACAGCCACTTTGAATTCCTTATATGTTGTGTTGGCGTACAAGTGCTTCTGCCTAGCTATTCGAGAGTCTTGGAGCTATTTCTTGGAGTAAATTCTCCAAGTATCACTGTCACCTATTGCACTGCCCTTTTATGACCAAACTGACTATGTTTCTTGCCTCCCAGGTCATAGAGCTCATGAGGCTCCCGTCATAGTATGAGCCGCACCGCCACATTTTAGACGCACCGCCACATTTACGCCACAGGAGGCGATCTTGTTCTCCTTTTGTCCGAAAATATCAAGTTACGAGTATGAAGTATGAAGTATAGAGTAGTGGTATCAGAGTAGCTAGATCAAGTTTGTCATGTGCTTTGATAACTAGGTTCCCATGTCACTCGATGATGCGCACAATTTAGCCGCTCAAGTGGACACTTCCCCAGCAACCATGCAAGCGAACCTCCTTACTTGCGCCCATGATCAAACAATGCCAATACATCCATATGGGATGTTAAAGGTGAGAAAATGGGGTTTATGATAGATGATTGGATGGGTCATTCTGAGAATCGAGGCGCAGCGAAGTTCTGGCCCACAGTGACAAAAACCCAAATTGATCGTAACGCTTTCACATTGGATACTTGACCTTGGCGTAACGCTATTCGACAGCCACTGATCACACAGCATTTAGCTCGCATGTCCTCTCTTGAAGAACGGGGTTGAAAAAACAAGTACTCCGTACGGCGCGTACATTCCTCGGCTTTTGCTATGATGCCTATGATGTGAAGAACTTCGCCTTCAAACTTAGCCCCTGTTCCAGCTAACAATGAGAAAAAGGGGGCTGTGTCTTCCCGTACTTAAGTGGCAACATCCTGGGGGACTTCAATGTATTTTACTTTTTACGATAGCTCATGTGGATATAATTTATCCCTCTTATACATTTGGCTTTCTTTTTTACTGCAAATCGCTGTAAAATTTGACTAAATCCTCGGCGTGTCTGGGCAATCCTTGGACCTACTACACAGCCCCGTTGAGAGGGGAAAACAGATAACACGGTCTCGGAATCCCGGCGGCATATTGAGAACTATTACATGAACTGCGACTGCTTTTTCTAATTTACAAATTTCATCCTTGATGCCATTCGCCCACTATGGCTTCTCCAAACAATGACTCTTCCCCTCAGGATACATTATTGAGTCCTGTGATTGTGACAGACTTTTCGGGCAGCAGAGAGGTTGGTCCCCCAAAAGCTATCCTATATGAACTTTTTCACTGATTTTTATTTCCCAGCGATCAATATCCACAGCCTCATCTGCATGGTCAGGTCCTACAGATACAAATCACAGCCCAACTTCTCCCGTCTCACCAGATATGGCGTGGAATCAACCAGACCCAGCCCGGCTGATGGTTCAAAATGCCTCACATCGACCATCACAGTCGATCGATGGCGATACATTGCGTCCGCGGGCGGGCTCATTCGCGTCTTCTGCTGATACCGTAGTTCGCTCACGGGCGAACTCCGAAGTAAATTCTTCCAAAGATGCTTACGACGATGTATCGCTATCTGATGCTTTGAAACCCGATCCGCGCAATGAATCTGATTTCCAAGTCGAGGATAATCGCTTTGCCTTTTCACCCGGTCAACTAAACAAAATGCAGAACCCAAAATCCCTAGCTGCTTTTCATGCTCTTGGCGGCTTGCAGGGTCTAGAGCGTGGTCTGCGCACAGATCTAAATGCAGGCTTGTCAATAGATGAAGGCCGGTTGGAGGGAAAGGTCGAGTTCAAGGATGTGGCTCCGCAACAAACTACAGAGAAATCTTCAACAGTCAACACGGCGCCGGCGCCGGTGTCGGCGGGTAATGGTTCACCCTTTGAAGACCGTATCCGTGTCTTCAGTCGGAATAAGCTACCCGCGAGGAAATCGACCGGGTTCCTGACACTGCTTTGGATGGCTTATAACGACAAAATCATTATCCTATTGACTATCGCTGCCGTGGTCTCGCTATCTCTGGGGATATACGAGACCGTGTCAGAAGGCACAGGCGTCGACTGGGTGGAAGGAGTCGCCATCTGTGTGGCTATTCTGATTGTTACAATTGTCACAGCTGCCAACGATTGGCAGAAAGAGAGACAATTTGCCAAACTCAACAAACGGGTAAGTTCATTCTCTCCTATCATGAAAGTGAGCATAGCTAACATCCCAACAGAACGATGACCGTGAAGTCAAAGTCACACGCTCAGGAAAAACCAATATGGTATCAATCTACGATATCATGGTCGGTGACATCCTCCATCTTGAAGCAGGCGATTCCATCCCCGCGGATGGCATTCTAGTTACAGGTTACGGTGTGAAGTGCGACGAGTCTTCCGCCACCGGCGAGTCAGATCAAATGAAAAAGACCCCCGGCCATGAAGTCTGGCAGCAAATTGTCGACGGCAAGGCAACCAAGAAACTCGATCCGTTCCTGATCTCCGGTAGCAAGGTGCTTGAAGGCGTGGGAACTTATGTCGTCACCAGTGTTGGACCCTATTCTACATACGGACGGATCTTGCTATCGCTGCAGACTCCTAACGACCCAACGCCGCTTCAGGTCAAGCTGGGCAAGTTGGCGGATTGGATTGGATACTTGGGTACAGCGTGAGTTGATCCTACTTCCCTTTTCTTGTATAGTTACTAATGATTGACAGGGCTGCTGGTATTCTGTTCTTCGTCCTGCTCTTCCGATTTGTCGCCGATCTTCCTAATCACCCAGAGAGGAACGCTACTATGAAAGGCAAAGAGTTTGTGGATATTCTTATTGTTGCTGTCACGGTTATTGTCGTCGCTATTCCAGGTAAGTGCTGATGATTCGCAACTTTTGAATTCTGCTAACATCCATCTTCAGAGGGTCTTCCACTGGCAGTAACGCTGGCTTTGGCTTTTGCTACCACTCGAATGGTCAAGGAGAACAATCTCGTTCGTGTCCTTCGCGCATGCGAGACAATGGGCAATGCTACAGTCATCTGCTCTGATAAAACAGGTACATTGACACAGAACAAAATGACTGTTGTGGCTGGAACCTGGGGCTCGGATCGGGCCTTCAGTCAGAGGACCGAAGATGAAGACGTCGAGGGTTCGATGACTATTTCAGCGGTTTCCCAGCAATTATCGGCTCCCATCAAAGATCTGATCATTAAGAGCATCGCTTTGAACTCCACTGCCTTTGAGCAGGAAAAAGACGGCGCCATTGATTTCGTCGGTAGTAAGACTGAGGTCGCGATGCTTCAATTGGCTCGGGATTACATGGGCATGGATCTTGTCTCGGAGCGTGGCTCCGCCGAGATCGTCCAATTGATTCCTTTCGACTCCGCCAGAAAGTGCATGGGTGTTGTTTACCGTGTCCCTGGTGCTGGCTACCGATTGCTCGTCAAGGGAGCGTCCGAGTTGATGGTTGGCGTCTGCACCTCGGAAATCATCAACATTGATACGTCCAAAGAGATGCCCGATGTAGAGCAGCTTTCTGAGACACAGAAGCAGCACCTCCTCGAGCTCATCGATGGTTATGCTCACAAGTCTCTTCGCACGATTGGCATGGTCTACAAGGATTTCGCTGCCTGGCCACCGGCAGAGGGCAAACAGTCTGATGATTCGGCGAACTTCGATGATGTCTTCCACGGTATGACCTGGGTCGGAGTCGTGGGTATCCAAGACCCTCTTCGTCCCGAAGTCCCAGATGCCATTCGCAAATGCCACTCGGCAGGTGTCCAGGTCAAGATGGTGACTGGTGACAACGTTGCCACTGCCACTGCCATTGCATCTTCGTGCGGAATCAAGACGGAAGATGGATTGGTCATGGAAGGTCCTAAGTTCCGCCAACTCACCAACGCGGAGATGGACGAAGTGGTTCCGCGTCTGCAAGTGCTCGCACGATCGTCTCCTGATGACAAGCGTATCTTGGTCGAACGACTCAAGGCGCTTGGTGAAACTGTCGCTGTAACAGGTGATGGTACCAATGACGGTCCGGCTTTGCGGACTGCGGATGTCGGTTTCTCCATGGGTATTGCTGGCACTGAGGTCGCGAAGGAAGCGAGTTCGATTATTCTTCTGGATGATAATTTCAAGTCCATCATCACAGCGATCGCGTGGGGACGAGCTGTCAATGACGCCGTTGCCAAGTTCTTGCAGTTCCAGGTCACTGTCAACATCACAGCTGTCGTCCTCACTTTCGTGTCATCTGTATACAGCAGTGATAACGCCAGTGTTTTGACAGCTGTGCAGCTTCTCTGGGTGAACCTGATTATGGACACCTTCGCCGCTCTCGCTTTGTAAGTTGTCCTTATTTTATATGCTTGGATATTTGCTAACCTTTACAATAGAGCCACTGATGCCCCGACTGAACAAATTCTCGACCGCAAGCCTGTCCCCAAACACGCCTCCCTCTTCACAATGACCATGTGGAAAATGATTCTCGGCCAAGCAGTGTACCAGCTCGCCGTCACATTCATGCTCTATTTCGCAGGCGAAAAGCTCCTCGGTTCCCATCTCAGCTCAGATCCCGAGACACGCACGAAGGAACTCTCGACTGTGGTGTTCAACACATTCGTATGGATGCAGATCTTCAATGAGTTCAACAACCGCCGTCTCGACAACAAGTTCAACATCTTCGAAGGAATGTTCCGCAACTACTGGTTCCTAGGAATCAACGCCATCATGGTCGGCGGTCAGATCATGATCATCTACGTGGGCGGCAAGGCATTCTCCGTGACTCGCTTGAGCGGCACCCTCTGGGGCGTGTGTGTTATCTGTTCTATTGCCTGCTTGCCCTGGGCCATTGTGCTTCGAACCATTCCAGACTACCACTTCGGGATTGTGTTCAATGCTGTTGTTGGTGGCATGGCTGTTGTTTTGCGCCCGATTGCTAAGGTGTTCAAGACCATTGGCCGTGGTATCAGGTCTTTCTTTAGACCTGTGAAGCGTTTCACTCGTCGTGTCTTCAAGAAGAAGTCAAATGATGCAGTCGAGTTGAATTCGCAGCCTGAAAACTCTGATCCTGAAGATGCTCCTAAGACACCTGAGAGCAAGGAAAAGTCCCCTGAGCGTCCTACTACACCCCCCCTTGTCGTGGTGCCTCCTATCACGATTACGACCTCTCCTTAGTTGTTATTTTAGCGTTGTTGTTAGCATTCGGCTGGCTGTCTGATTATTTTATTCTGCTATTTGTACATAAAGCATTGGGTTTGATAGAGGATGTGTATGTATACCACCGAGAAAATGATCCTGCGTTAATGAAATCTACTTCTGTCTACATGAAAAATCTTCAGAACACAGTAGCTTTCTTTACTACACAGTAGATACTCAATTCTATAGAAAAATATAGAAAACGAAAGCCTTCAGGCAACTAAGTTCAAGGTCTATATTCTTTTTGCCTCAGGCCCCAACACCCCATCCACCAAGTGTCCAGCTCCTCCCGTAGACTCCCCAACTGACTCCGCATTACCCTGTCGACTCACCTTGTCACATATCTGTGATCAGTCAATCTGATCTCTATCTCTTCAAACACACATTGATCTTCTGTTCTATTCCCATTGGATCTCATACCACCCGAGACGTTCCCACGTCACCAGTAATCTCCCCGCTTCCGCCCACCGCACCGATATACCAAACAGACAGCTCCACACAACCCTCACAACCCATTCTAGCCCGGCCAACTTGATCAGAACCCCATTTCTACTCTATTTCTATCCTCAATCCCCAACCGCCACCATGTCGCAAATCAACTACCGCACCATCAACATTGATGCCCTGGACCCCGAGTCCTCAACCAACTTCCCCATGGAATCCCTCCTCCCCGCCACACTCCCCCAAGCGGCCAGCGCCAGCGACGCCGCCACTGCCGCGGCACAGGTGCGACAGATGCTGCGCGGCGGAGACCCGGAGGGCGCTCTGCGGACTGTCCTCGACACGGCGCCGCTGGGCGGCGACGACCGCGCCAAGGAGGTGCATCTTGCTACTGTCATCGATGTGTTGCAGGGTATCCGACAGGGCGAGATGACTCGTATCCTGGAGGGAGTGTGCAGCGGGGATGGCGGTGCCGAGCGGGCGGATTGCTTGATGAAATACCTGTATGTGAATTCGATTACCAAACAGTCATTTGATGAAATTCGGATTTGGTTGCTGATTAATTATAGGTACAAGGGGATGTCGTCGGCTACTCCTGGTAGTGGTGCGCAGTCGCCGAAGAATGTGGTTTCGCCTCAGAACACGGGCTTCTCGCAGATTCAGGCTCGCAACTTGGCTGAAGGCGGTGGTGGTGGTCAGCAGATGAGTGTTTTGTTGAGCTGGCACGAGAGACTTGTGGAGATTGCTGGTACTGGGTCTATTGTGCGGGTCATGACTGATCGTAGGACGGTTTGAGTGAAACAGCATCGGTTCGTTTCTTATCTTACATTTGACTGTTTTTCGTTTTCTAGAGGCTTGCATTCCATACTCTGTGGATGATATCTCTGTGTCGCTTTAAGCGTAGTCTTACATTATTATATTGCGACAAAATATTGGGTTCTTTCTCTCCCTTGCATTCATGGCTTATTAAAATCACCTCCCTCAAGGACGTCCTTGAGGTTGATATCACCGCTGCCACGCTGCAATGGCTGCGCCTGGCCTTCGCCTTCCTTCCATCCAATCATATAGATCAACCGGAACGTCGCCGGGATACCACGATCACCCTCCTGCATATGCAGGGAACGATATATAGCCTCGTTCGCCAGCAAGACATCCCGCGAAAGCGGCGCCGAGTCACGGTTCATGATCGCGTTGCTCTCACCCATCGCCTGCAAATCCTGCATAAGCGCAAACGTATCCGGGAACTCGACCACAATATCCTCAACGTCGACAGTAAGCATCTTGAACCCAGCACGGTTCAACAAGCTCCCGACATCCTTGACATCTGCCAGAGGCGACACATGCGGACTCACACCACCGCGTCGCTCCATATCAGCCAGCTGCAGCGACCCGCGTAGTTCGTACAGCGTATCACCGCCAAACATGGCCGCGATGAACGGCGCATCCGGCTTCAGTATTGTGTTCACCTGTGCTAGCAGCGCGGGCAGGTCGTTGATCCAGTGGATCGAGAGCGACGAGAGCACGGCGTCGAAGCTGTTCGGTGCGTACGGCAACGTCTCCAGGTCCGGAATCACATCCCGCTGGATATCGATTTCTTTGTTAAAGTCATCGTTCTCGTCGCGGTGGAGCAGGGCGTGTGATGTCTCCACGCATGTTAGCTTCGAGATCTTTTTTGATAGTGGTGGTGTGATGGTTCCTTCTGGCATGGACGAGTCGAGATTGGGGGATGTGATAGCTCGGGCGATGTTGCAGCTGTTTGCGCCTAGATCTAGAACGCTTGGGAAGTCGCGTTTAATGTCCTATTCAAAGAAGCTTGTTAGTGAATTTGTCTTTTTGAGCTACTGCGCTTTTTTCTGCGCTTGCTTCGTTGAGCGGCTTACCAGGAGGCGCTCGCATAGCCGCATTGCTACTTCATCTTTCAGGTAGTCGACTTTCCGGCTCTCTTCAACATTCCGGGCTGCCCGATCCTTTTGGAGGTGCTTGACTTTGCGGTTGAAGACTTCAAGCATTGGGTTACCGGGTGTCTGGCTGGCATATTTGCGGATTGTTGTTGGGGCGAAGCATCGCCTTGAAAGGCTGGCGCGAAATGTCTGTAGAGGTATCATTGTGGTTGTATAATGGATATGGAGGATTCTAAATCCTCGAACATGCAGGTCTATGGTTTTGCGGCGATAGCGGGCAGAAAATGGCGGGATCTGACGTCGATTGTTGATGCGGAAGAGCTCCCTCTCCGCAGACTGTGGACTTCATACAATTGGGTGTTTTCGAGACACTTGATCTGGTGTCAATTCGTGCTGAATTGTACATATTGTGCATAGTACATTGATCGTGACAGAATCATTGAAACCGCTGCTCGAGTAAGTCCTCGCCTTTCAGGGTGATTTGGCGCAACAAGATTGGGACCTGAATATTAAGATATTTTTACTAGAAAAGACAAACCATCGAGTAGCTACGAATTTGATACCAGTCGGCCTTTTTAATCCACGATTTTTAGGTCTCGATCCCACAGAGACAAAGCATGATTTGATGCAGGTCACGCCTCGAAAGCTACCACACACCATCTCGATCGCTCCACGTCGATATCAAAATGTCGCGTCCTTTCCCTTATACCTACATATCATGCCCCTGCGCAGATACCCCAGTCCCTGACCCAGCGAGGAAGCGAAAGTCGAGGGATTTCCCGCAGAAATCGCCGCAGAAACCACTACCCGAGCGGGCGAACACAGATCAAGACAAGAAATTGTCGACAGAAGAGGAGGAGCAAGGAGAGGATGAGGATGAAGAGCAAACCTTTGACCCCCGCTCTCCACGGTCCAATTTCTCGCTGTATCCGCCCGAACAGCTTCTCTACTGCGAGGAATGCCACCAGATCAAATGCCCCCGATGTATTACGGAGGAAATTGTGAGCTGGTATTGTCCTAGCTGCTTGTTTGAAACCCCGAGCAGTATGGTGCGGAGTGATGGGAATCGGTACGTATTAGAGTGTGAAGGGTTGTGTTCAAGTATCCGCTAACACACACACTATAGATGTGGCCGGAATTGCTTCAATTGTCCTGTCTGCACGGCTCCGCTGGCTGTAAGTACCATTGAGAATGCTACAGGGAACGGGCCTCAACAAGGCCCCTGGGTGTTATCTTGCGGATACTGTCTTTGGACGACGTTAGATATCGGCATCAAATTCGACAAGCCAACGAATATCCGTAGCCAACTGCAAAAGATGACGGATTCCACGGCCCCGGCTGCTCTCGACCGCTCGAGGCAAGGTTCTCGCGCTTTTGGAGACCTGAAACATCCGTTGTCCAGCTACGCGTCGATTGACGAGCCGGCCAATGCGCGCGAGCGTGATGGAGAGCAAGTTGCACCAAAAGAGGACCCAGCTGCACCTCCAATGGGCACGGAAGCCCGATTCGCGGCCCTTAAGAACTTCTACCGAGCCCAGATCGCTGAGACATCAAACTCGCCAAATGATCATCTTAGCTCGGAATTTGGGTTCTCTTCGCCCGGCGCCCTAAACCGACTCATGTCTCTCTACTCATCCTCGTCACGTCTAAGCGGGCTATATGGCGGCAGCAAGAAGCCAAAATCCAAGCCACCTGTTATGCGCGAAGCCCTGACTGCAAGCGAGGGACTTCAGGTGGCTCCAGAAAACAACGAGACGGATATGATTGCACGACTCCAGTCTCCAGAATGTGGCTGGGACGGCATGGCCTCGATAGAGCAGCGCGCAACCCAATCACCGGACGCCCGCTTCGTCGACGATCTCCTACCACTCCCAGTCCTCCTCCGCACCAAGCGAGCCAAGCGCTGCAAGTCCTGCAAACATATCCTCGTGAAGCCCGAGACAAAGCCGCAATCTACTCGCTTCCGCATCCGCCTTATTGCCCTTAGCTATATCCCTCTCCCCACCCTCCGCCCTCTAGCCCTTTCTTCCTCGTCAACTCTCCCAGCCATGGCCCCAACCACCGACCTCAACTCCCTCCCACCCCTACGCCCAATCCACGTCCTTCTTACCCTTAAAAATCACATGTTCGACCCAGTCCGCATCACCCTCGCCACGCCCCCGGTAACTCCGGGGCAAGTCGCAACGAAAGTCACAGTTCTCTCTCCGCAGTTCGAGATTGGCGCGAACAGCGATGTCTGGGACGAAGCATTGCAAGGTTCTGCGCCCGTAACGAATGACTCTCGCTCCTCCGTTCTACGCGGAGTCCCCGAGGCAGGTAAGGTTTGGGATAAGGGCCGGAACTGGACGACCGTCGTGTTAGAGGTTGTCCCTGGTACGTTGCCTGGGAGTAGTGCTGAAGGCGGTAATGGCAATACCGAGACTAATGATGAGGATGTTGTGGCGGTTGCGGCTTCCAAGCAGGATGAGGATGTGCTTGAGATTCCGGTGTTCGTGCATATGGATTGGGATGCGGATGCGCAGCTTGATCAGAATGTTGGGAAGGGATCTAAGCCTGATGATAAGGTTACCAGGGAGTTGGCTTATTGGATGGTGCTTGGTGTGGGGAGAATTCAGCCTTCATTGTAGATAGATGTCATTGTCCATACTTGTGGTTTGCGTTTTATACCTTTCATACCCCGAGTGTACTTGTTATTCGTTGATAGAAGCATCCATATACTATTGTCCTTGAGCTTCTGATTTGATGCTGCCAAGGACAGATTCTAAGCGACTTGACTTGACCATAGAGATATATTCAAGAATTATATCAGGATATCCACAGTCAATCCTATAATCTACAAGCAGACTAATCCCAATCCCAGATAAAAGCATCTAAAGGGGAATGTAAAGTCGGAATTGTTGAATTGGAATACTATCAGATATTCCATCCCACCTTCATTAGATCGGGAAAGAGAGAACTCAACTCCATCGCCTCACCCAGAGCTCACACCGGAAAACAAATGCCAGTGACTGGGGGCGAAAAAAAGAAAAGAGAAAAAAACCGTCAATGCATTTTTATGGAGATCATCTCTTTGGAACCCATCAAATGGCGATTGAATCTAGCAACAATTCAAAACTAGAAACAATGCCATTCTCCCACGCATCAAGCACATTCCAAGCCCCTAGCCCCAAAAAAAATCAGAACAATGAAAATTCTAAATTATGCATTTAGAACTCAGCGCCGCTCTGGGGGAACTCGAAGGCAACGGAGCGGCCGGTGAGGCGGCGGTAGACCTCGCCGTAGGCATCGAGGCGGTGGTCGACACCACCACGCTCCTTCTCGTCAAGGATGACCTTGAGGGTCTTGGAGCCGTCCTCCTTGGTGCGGGTGCGCTTGCCGACAATCTCGACGGGGTAGACGAGGTCGGAGAGGATGGCGTCGTGGACAGCGGTCAGAGTGCGGGAGCGGGGACGCTTCTGGGTCTGGGTGGTGCGCGAGTTGACGGAGCGCTTGGGGCGGGGGAGGATGCGGCGCTGAGCCACGAAGAGGACGTGGCGGTCGGAGAACTTCTTCTCGAGCTCGCGGGTAAGACTGGGGTGTGGTGTTAGTCTTTGGTTGTTGGCCCCATTGAAAGGTTGATTTCTTACCGCTGCTGGATCTTGTGGAAGTTGTTCAGGACGGGGACGGGGACGAAGACAACAATGGCCTTCTTGCCGTGGCCGACCTCAACCTATCGAAAATAATGTCAGAGCGCGGTCCGGAAGTGTCGTGCACACAGAAACTGAAATTCCTCCTGGAACGGCGTCTTGCTCTGCGAATTTTCATATCCATTTGTATGTTGTCTCCTTTGTTGATTCTTCTTGTGTTGGTGATTTTTTGGCGTTGGTGGACATGGATTGAAATTAATCCACAAATCCAACCAATATACCCCGGAGCATCGAAAATCCCTCGAAAATTCACAGACGCCATTCCAGAACGATTCAATTCGTATGTCGGGAGCCTCAGATGACAATTCTTACCTCGCGGGCAGAGACGAACTGCAGGGGACGAAGGCTGGCCTTCAGGTCCTGTGTGTTGCTCTCGAGGTCGAAGAGAGCGCCGGCGATCGCGGTCTCCAGCTCGGAGGGGTTCTGCCGGGACGGCGAGTTGGGGGCGATCTTGTTGATGGCAGCCATTATTGCGAGCGACGGGGTGCTGCGGGAAGTGCTGGTGGTGATGTCGACGGAGGGGAGGTTCGCAGATTGAATCGAATGGGAATTTGCTGTGGGATCGGCGCATTCGCTTAGGGTGCGCTATTTCCTTGTTGGGTTTAGTGCGGCCGTCTTAGGGCTCGTTGCTAATTGGTGGATTGCCGCTGAAGGTGATCCACTATTCGACTCGCCTTTGGTTGACAACTACCCCAGGACCTTTTTTTTTGTATTGTTCTACTCGTCATGTTATCTAGGTACGGAGACTATTTCTCATTGCTAATGCCAGCTTCGAAAAAAATTTACACTCTAATCACATTGTCGAAACGAGGTGTCTCTCGGGGAATAGCACACTGTAGACTATAGGAGCACACGGAATCTCCATCGGAGCCGAAACAAGAAATCAAAAAAGCAAGAGGGACGCCTGTAACCATGGAAATAAAGTGCAAGAACATCTGCCCAAAAAAAGAAAGATCCAAATCAGCACGCACAGCCCTCCTTGGCCGTGGCAGCGTTTCGATCACCCAGGTTGACCCGGGATTCTTCTGCTGACCGACCTAACGAAGTTTGGCCAGTTCCCGCACCGGTACCACGACCAGTCTTCAGACTGCTCTCGGGGATGGCATTGGCAATCGCCGTGAAGACATCCACAACATTGGTTCCGGTCTTGGCACTAGTCTCGAAGAATAAAAGACCTTCCTCCTCTGCATAGCCGCTAGCCTCCCGTGCTGATACCTTGCGGGCATCGCCGGACACGGCATCCTGCACGTCATCTTCCTCATTGGCACCTTCCTCGCCATCTTGGGCCGGCTCAGACTCGCTCTGTGCAGCGGCAGCTTCAGAAACATCTCCGCCGTCGTTGGTCAAGTCCAGCTTGTTACCGACAAGGGCAATGACAATTCCAGGGCTCGCTTGGCGCTGCAGCTCGGCAACCCAGTGCTTGGCTTTCGTCAGGGAGGAGGGTTTTGTGACGTCGTAGACAACGAGAGCCGCTTGCGCGTTACGGTAGTACATCGGGGCGAGCGAAGCAAATCGCTC